GCGAGTGGCAAGGGGGGCGATGGCTCTAAGGGGAGCGGGCAGTCATCATGTGCGATGGTGAAGCCCGTTGTAGAGCAGACTCCTCTTGTCGTGCTGGAGCCTGAGGCCGGGGAGGGCTTACAGGCTCTTGCAGCTGCTGTGAAGGCGAACCCGAGCGTCGTGCTACTTGATAGCGGATGCTCCCACCATCTCATGGGAGATCGTTCTGCCTTTGTGGAGATGAGCAGCGGCGGTAGTATCAAACAAGTGAAAGGCTTCAACGGCGCGCTTCAGGACGTGCAGGGGCGAGGCACAGTCGCTCTTCTTGGAGAAGGGGGCAGGCGTGTCTTGGTTTCAGACGTGCTGTACGTACCTGGAGTGCAGGCGAGTCTTCTTTCTGCTGGGCAGCTGCGTGATAGTGGCGTGCAGCTGCTGGATGCAGGCGACGTGACTCTGCTGCGGGCACCAGATGGGTCGCTTCTTGGGCGTGCAGAGTTCAAGGGGCGTGTTCTCTGCACGAACTTCCAACCGTGTTTGTCGCAGCAGCAGGAAGGCGAAACGGTGGCACTTCGTACCTTGACGACGGGCGTGCGGTCTAAGGTGGACATGTGGCATGCGCGTATGGCACACGTTGGTATTGATGCCATCGAGCGCACTGCGTCTCACGGGTCAGTGAAGGGCTTGGACCTTGAGAAGGGGGGCAAGTCAGGCATACCGTGTGTCTCCTGTGTTGGGGGGAAGATCACTCGTCATACCTTCCCGTCAGTGGGTGCGGAGGAGGATGAGTTGCTTGGAGTGGTGCATGCTGACCTGTGTGGCCCTTTCCGTGAAACAGCTAAGGACGGCAGCCGCTACTTCCTGGTGCTGAAGGATCGCAAGTCGCGGTACGTCTGGGCCTACCCCTTGGCTCAGAAGAGTGATGCGCTGGCGGCGTTCCAGAAGTGGCTCCCGATGGCAGAGCGGCAGTGCAAAACCACGGTGCAGGCGCTGCGCACTGATCGGGGTGGCGAGTTCTTGGGGCATGACTTCACGCTCTTCCTCGACGGCAAAGGCATCATCCATGACCTCACGTGCCCGTACACGCCGGAGCAGAACGGGATGGCCGAGAGGGAGATGCGCAGCATTGTGGAGGCGGTGCGGACGATGCTACTGCACATGGGTGTACAGCATCATTGGTGGCACCTGGCGTTGGCGCAGGCCGTCTGGGTGCGCAACCGCGTGGAGCACGCCTCGCTGCCCTCTGGTGTGACGCCGTACGAGCTCGCCTTTCGACACAAACCCGATGTCAGTATGGTGCGGGTATGGGGCTGCATGGTGCAGTACATGGTGCCTCAGTCGCAGCGTGGGGGGAAGCTGGCACCAAAGGCTCGCTGGGGGTTGCACTTGGGGGTGTCCGCAGCGAGCAAGGGCTGGACTGTGCTGGACTTGGAGTCCAACCGCCTCATCACCACTGTGGAAGCTGTTTTTTTATGAGACCATGTCCCTAGCAGGGTGGAAGGCTTGGCACCAGCAGGAGCATGCGGGGCGTCCGATGCCCTATGAGCCCGTTCCCTCCCTCTTCCCGATCACTCTTGAGGAGGCGGTGGAGGAGGAGGAGGTGGTCGCACCTCCTGCTATGCCCTATGTCCCTACCTCGGTCCCCACCCCACCTCCGCCTTCAGTTTACCCTCGTGTGGTTCCCCCTGCCCCACCTTCTTCATCCTCACCCCCCTTGGCTTCCCCTCCTCCTCCTGTTATTCCCTCTCCCCTTCCACCCTCCATCCCTCCTGCACCTGCTCCACCCTCCTCTTCATCTTCCACGGCGCCGCCCGTTGGTGAGGGGGGGATAGTGGTGCCACCGTCTGTGGAGATCACCGACGGGCAGCGCCTTGAGACTGAGCAGCTGCAAGACAAGAGCAGTATGGATGGAGTGCAGCAGAGTGGGGGGCAGGAGATAGGGGAGCAGCAGTTAGGGGAGCAGCAGAGTGGGGAGCAGCAGATAGGGGAGGAGCAGATTGAGGAGCAGCAGATGGTGGATCAGCAGCTAGAGGAGCAGCAGACAGGGGAGCCGCAGACAGGGGAGCAGCAGACAGGGGAGCAGGAGATGTGGGGAATCAGAGATGGTGGTCGTGTGTTGGCTTCTGGGACGATCACTGCACCGCTGCGTCGCTCCACTTTCATCACTCGTGGTATCCCGCCTCTTAAGTATGCTTGGGCTTTGGTGATTGAGCCAGCGGGATTGGATGACGAGGAGGAGGACGAGGAGTGGACGGACCTGGATCCTGATGTGGTGGCCGACCCTGAGAGGCAGTGGGATATAGCGAAGATGACAGTGAAGGAGGCCTTGGGCTGCTGGAAGGGCGACAAGGTGAAGGAGGCGATGGATGAGGAGATGCGGAGCTTGATTGAGCAGGGGACGTGGGAGTTGGTTCCGCGTCCGCCAGGGGTGAATGTGATGAAGAACCGCTGGATCCTGAACACCAAGTTCCGACCTGATGGGGTAGTAGAGCGTGAGAAGGCGCGGCTGGTGGTGAAGGGGTTCACGCAGGTGGCAGGGGTGGACTATGAGGAGACGTACGCCCCTGTGGGAAGCTATGTGACGGCGCGCGTGCTTCTAGCGATTGCAGCTGCACTCGATTTGGAGCTGATGCAGCTGGATGTGAAGAACGCGTTCCTCCATGGCGTGCTGGACCGTGACCTTTACATGGAGCAGCCGAGCTACTACGAGGATGGGACCCCTCGTGTCTGTAAGTTGCTGAAGAGTTTGTATGGGCTCAAGCAGAGCCCGATGCTGTGGTATGAGGCCTTGGATGGGGTGCTGCTTGGGGCTGGATGGAAGAAGAGCCAGGTGGATGAGGCTCTGTACTTCAAGAGTGATGCTGAGGGGGAGATGTGCTGGCTGCTGGTGTATGTGGATGACTTGCTTGCTGCCAGCCGCAGTCAGAACATGCTGGGGGAGCTGCGGGAGATGCAGAGTGCGTTTCAGCTGCGGGAGATTAGCCCTGTGGAGAAGTACTTGGGGTTGCAGCTGATTCGGGACAGGCCTACGAGGAGGCTGTGGCTGCACCAGGGGGCCTATGTGGACAAGGTCCATAGGCGCTTCTTCGACGGGGAGCAGCCGCTGCGAGTGCCTCGCACCCCCCTTTCCTCTGACCCTTTCAGTGTGCAGACCTTCGGGGACGTGGGATGGCAGTCTCGTCAGGAGGAGGAGTACAGGCAGAAGGTGGGATCCTTGCAGTTCGCGGCCTGTACCGCCCTTCCCGACATTTCCTTCGCCTGCAGCAAGCTGGGGTCGGGCCAGACAGTGCGGAGTGACCAGCACTGGAAGGAGTTGGACCGGTGCTTGGCGTACCTGGTGGGGAGCAGGGATGTGGCGCTGGAGTTTGGTGGCGGGCCGGAGTCCTTGGAGCTGGTGGGCTACGCCGATGCTGATGATGCAGGAGACAAGCAGAACAGGACCAGCACTGGTGGCTACATCTTCGTGCTCGGGGGTGCTGCTGTCTCTTGGGCGAGCCAGAGGATTCGTTGCGCCACGCTCTCCTCCACTGAGTCTGAGTACGTTGCTGCTGTGGAGGCTGGGAAGGAGGCGCGCAGGCTGCGCTTCCTGCTGGCAGAATTTCAACTGCTGAGGAGTGAGGAGCCCACAACCCTCTTTGTGGACAACTCCTCCGCCATTTCAGTGGCAGGTGGCATGGGGCTCAAGGGGAGCCTCAAGCACATGGAGCGTCGTCATATGTGGCTGCAGCACATGGTCAAGCGCAGGAAGCTGCAGTTGCAGTACATCCCTACGAGCGAGCAGCCAGCTGACTACCTCACGAAGGCATTGCATTTCCCCGCCTTCAGTCGTTGCTTCGAGGCTGTGGGGCAGGTGAGGCTCTCGAGCGAGGGGAGTGAGACCTAGACACTCCTTGATGTGGTTGGTGCCATGGCCTATCCATGGCTGGTGCGGTGCGTGTTTGCACTTTGAGAGTGCTTCGTTTGTGTGTGTTTCCCTTTGTTTTGGTGTGTATGTGTGTATGCATGCCCTGTGTAGGGCCTTGCTGTAGTATGGCAGGGGAGTGTTAGAGGGCCCTACGACAGCAAGGGCCCTCGACGATGTGTGTTGACTTGGCAGGTCGATGAACGACCAAGACTGTACGCGGCCCTGCACCGACCTTATGACGTCGTGTGACTATGATGGCGCTAATGAAGTCACTGCTGGGGTGGTGCTAGCTTAAGGAGTCGTGAGTGTGCTTCTTGGACGGTCTTGGTAGTTGTGGGTGATTCCCTGTGAGTCTCGCCATTTCTAGGTGTGTTGGGAGAATTGGCGAGCCCGGCATTGACTTCCCTGCTGAGTCAGGTTGGGATTGGCCGAGGCGCGGTTCACCCATCCACACGACAGTTTCGTGGGGTTGGGTTACTCCGCAGCGCCACGCCAACTTTGTGCAACTTCCCCGTAGCCTATATCTATCTTGTGTGTTTGCTTTTGTATTCATAGTAATATTACAATCTCTACTCAACTTCTCACTTAGCCATTTGAGACAAGCTCTACCGAAACGCTACCGAATTCCTAGCGCAACATCATTCCCATAAGCAGAATCTCTCTCGCCGTCGTAGCGCTCTCCATAATATTCCTGCAGGCAGGCTCGTCCGTGTTTGAACAGACAGTAGCGTTTATCCAACGGTTGCGCCCCTCATTTGACGCACACGCACCAAGCACGGCAGCACCCTCAGTACAGTCACACTCCGTACTATCAACTGCATCTGCCTCTCAATTCGGAACCGATCTCCGCCGGAATATCTCGCGCTATACTCCCTTGTGCGACGACTCAACGTATTCACGACGGCCTGCATGGGCGGGCGGCAAGAAGCGACCGCCGGCGCCGACGCTCGAGCCGGCATGGGAGCGGTTTGGAGTGTGCTCGAGCAAAAAGGGTCCGGTCCGTGTGACGATTACTCCCCGAAAAATCGGAACCAAGTGGAAGGGATGGGGCACGTCGCTCGCGTGGTGAGCATGTAATTGCTTCTGTTGTAAAAAGCGCGCTTTTATCAGCTTGGATCTCATGGCGAGGTGATTGCAATTGGATGATGCAACATGATACCCATTCTTCCTCCTCACATTCCCCCCTTGCCGCCTCCCCCCACTCCCCGCCTGCCCCCACTCCCCTTTCCCCCCAGGCTGGGCAACTACATCGGCGGGTTCCCCCAGGCGGCGATGGACCCTCTCCTGGACCTCATGTTCCTCCCCTCGGGCCTCAACCTCAATATAGTGCGATTCAATATAGGCGGCGGCTCGCTCCCGCAGTACAGCCCGCAGCTTCACTCGGACGCGCTGCTGCGCTGGCGGGCCATGCCGGGGTACTGGCCGGCGCAGGCAGCGGGGTTCAACTGGACGGCGGATTCGAGGCAGCAGGCGGTGCTGCTGGGAGCCAAGGCCCGCGGGGTGAACGTGTTCGAGGCGTTTTCCAACAGCCCGCCCTGGTGGATGACCGCGAGCAAGGACGTCGCGGGCGGGAAGAAGGCTTTTCAGTCGAACTTGCTGTGGAAATACGAGGGGTGGTTTGCGAGGTATTTGGTGGAGGTGGTGGAAAGGTTTAAGACGGATCCGGCTTTAGGGAATATCGAGTTCGATACACTGGAGCCGTTTAATGAGCCGTTGGAGGGTTACTGGATAAAGGGGATGGGGCAGGAGGGGTGTAACTTCAACGTTTCCGCAATGAGCCGGATCATTTCCAAAACTGTGCGACTGCTGCGGAAGCAAAATCTCAAGACGAAGCTGGTGGGTTTGGACAGTTACCCAGGCTTCACCGCTGTCTGGTTACCACTGCTCCATGCGAAAGATGAACTGCAACGTATAAACATTCACGGTTATACACTGCCGGTGCCTAAAGATGGCCTGCCAGGGAATGGGAGTGTTTCTGCGGTTGAGAAGGCCTATTCCAGAATGAGGGTGCTGGCAAAGTCGCTAGGGAAAGAGGTTTGGGTGTCGGAATCTGGGCCGTTGAACAAGGTCGGGAGCGGGTACGATCTCTCGCTCTACATGATGCGAAATGTGATCGAAGCGGTGAACATTCTTGAAGCGTCAGCGTATGTTTACTGGCAGGTATTCGACCCAAATGAATCGTGGTCGCTGTTTGGGCTGAATTGGTCGTATCCTCCTGGATTTTCAGGCAGGATAGAACGTGCTACTAAGCTTAAACGGTTCTGGATGTTTAAGCAGTTTACAGACCTTGCAAGGCCTGGGAGTCGACCTTTAGGAGTGCCCCGGGAATGCCGGCATACTGTAGCTGCGTTTTACATCAAGGGAAGTCGAACAGTAAGTGTGTTTATAGTGAATCAGCGTGTGAAGGGTAGAGGGGTGAATGTGGAATTATCAAGGTTCAAGCTGAATGTCGGGGGGAAGACCCAGGCTCTGATTAGGAGGACAACATATGGAGAGGACAATGCAGAAAGAAGTTTAGATACTCAGGGTTCAGCCAAGGTGTTTTTCCTGATTGAGGGCCAGAGCTTTCTGTCAGTCACATTTACACATGTGCAGATGACAAGATGGAGATCTGAGAAGATGGTCATGTGAGCTATTGTTTGCTGCGGCTGGTAAGAAAATATATGAATTTCTTGTACATTCGTCCTCCTCTACAAGATGGCGAATTGCTTTTTATATCGCGAATTGTAAAATGGCACTGGCTGTGGGTGCGACATTGGAGATTGTGACTACGTGTACCAGATGGTCAGCCAGTCAGCGAGCAGCATTATCCATGACAGCGCAACCCTGAGAATATATTAGCCCTCCACGCCAGATTTTCTAGGCGAGTACGGTAATTACAGCTCAGCAGCGAAGCCTGACGAAGGAACAGCAACGCACAACAAGATGATCCATTAGGAGAACTAGGTTTGCCGTCACCTTTAGACGGTACACTTTATGCTTACGCGAAGTTCAATCTACACTCTATGCTGCTGGTTGGAGCCGAAAACAATTGTTGATACTAGTTACCTGGTCCTGAATTCTGGTCTAGATTCCTCACATACTCGTCGGTGCTGCTCATCCCTACATTCTGGTCCGATTTTCTTCTTTCCCCTGTTTGAAGAATCTCATTTTTCGTAACTACTCCTACCGAATTATTTTAGCCTGGGCCTTGCGGGTCAGGTCTGGCCTAGAACGTGTAGGGGATTAATCTCCGCGGTCGGAAAGCCAAAAATACTAATCGTGCCAGTCACTAAACGTTAACCGCTGGTCGATTGTAGCACAATCATTAAGCATTTTACGAGTTCTTAGTGGTAAAATCGCAGTCGACTGACGGTTAACGCGCCATTAAAACCCGTTTTCCTAGTCCCGCATTACTCAAGATCAGGCGTCGTCGCAATGCAGTCACTCACAACAGCACCGCATCCCACCACACTCCACCGCGGTTCCCGCCTCCTATACCCCGTTCCCCACACTCCCCTCCCCATCTGTCCCTCCTCCCCATGGACCCCCCCTTCTCCTCTCTGGTCGCCTATTAAGCTGCCACGTGTCGTAACCCCAAGCCTCCGAGCCGCGTCTCGAGGCGCATCGAATGTGACCGTTAGAGCGTCCGGCGACGATGGCGGAAGCGGAAGCGGCGCGTCTTCGTCTACCCGCCGGTCCGCGGCTCGGCGGTCACGACAATACTCTTCCTCCGTGCAAGAAGCGTCAGGAGGGCGACGCGGGAGTGCTTCTAACGCGGGAGTGGAAATCGACACAGAGCTAATAGGCATCGGCGCGATGCTATTGGCTGTCGGCGCAGGAATCTGGGGAGTTTCGCGGTTCTTAGCGCGCGGCGGGATCGGCAGTAGCGGGGATAGTGACGAGGAAGAGGAGGGTGCGGGTAGCAAGAGTTCGTCGTTTAGTGCGGGTGACGACAAGGAGAAGCAGCGCAAGTGGCGGCAGCAATCGATGGCGAAAGTGAAGGAGTTAGCGCAGCAGCTGCGGTCATTCAGGACCGTCGATCTCAGCGGTACGTTTGAGGGCCGTTGATCTTACGTTATCGTTGACCTGCATTTCGTCGCACCGTCGCACCTGCATTTCTTCATATCTGTTTTTTTTTTTTTTTTTCGACATGGTCAAGGAAAACGAGGATGTTTGCTGGGCAGGGGTTTAGTCAGGCAGCCACGCAGGAGTGTAGCTAAGCCTTCAAGTCCTCATTTCGCAGTTTTGCTCTCCCCCCTTCCTCCTTCCCCACCCAACACCTCCCCCCCCGCCCCTCCCTTCCCCCCACTCTCCCCCCCGCCCGCTCCTCCCCCTTTTCCCCCCTTGCCCCCCGCCCTTGCAGGCAAGAGTCTGGGCGACGAGGGCTTCAAGTACCTCGCGGAATCTCTCGCCTTCAACAATGTGAGTATGTTAGTGTCCCCGTTATAGAGCAATCTCATACATTTTCTGTTCTGGGAATGTAAAAAGTGGGAGAGAGCTATTAAAGAACCCCGTTCATGTGTGAGCTTGTAGCTCCAGAATTAGAAATAGCTAAAAGGAAAAAAAAAAAACTTGCAGGTTGGAATCATGGAGCAGAACGGGGGCCTGTTTTTGAGTCTAAAAGGCTAAAACAGGCTAAAAGGAAAAAAAAAAAAATTACCGGCAGGCTGGAACCATGGAGCAGAACGGGGGCGTGCACGGTGCACACCCGTCTCGTCCCACTCTTCTCCCCCTTCGCCTCCTTCCCTTCCTCCTGTCCCTTCCCTTTCCCTCTCCGCCGTCCCCTTCCCACTGTCCCTTCCTAATCCCCTTCCCCCATTCCCCCCTCCCCCCGACCCTTCCCTGTTCAATGACACGTGGAAAGAGTGGGTCAAACAACGGCATTGGCCTCGAGGGGATGAAAATCTTGACGGAAACCCTGGCCCCGTGCCCTATCCTTCTTCCCTATCCTCCTGCCCTATCCTTCTTCCCTATCCTCCTGCCCTATCCTCCTGCCCTATCCTCCTGCCCTTCCCACACTCACCCCCACCTCCTCTCTTCTGCAGAGTGTTGAAAGTGTGGATTTTTCAAACAATGGCATCGGCCCCGAAGGAGTGAAGGCCCTGACGGAAGCTCTAGCGACCAATGCATATCTCAAGACGCTCAACCTCTCTGGAAACGTGATTGGGGACGAGGGCGCCAAAGTTCTCGCGGGTATCATGGAGCAGAACTGCGGCGTGCAGACACCTCTCTCACCTCTCCCTTCTCCATCCCCATCCCCATCCCCATCCCGATTCCTGTTCCGATCCCCATCCCCTTTCTCAACAGAGTGTGGAGAGTGTTGATTTCTCCAATAATGGCATTGGTCCTGAAGGAGTGAAGGCTCTCACAGAAGCTCTGGCGACCAACGCGTATCTCAAGACGCTCAACCTCTCTGGAAACATGATTGGGGACGAGGGCGCTAAGGTGCTGGCGGGGATCATGGAGCAGAACCGCGGCGTGCAGACGCTGCAGCTGAGCAGCAACGGGATTGGGGACGAGGGCATGCGGGCGCTGGCGGAGATGGTGAAGAAGAACGAAGCGATCGTGTGCCTTGAGATGAACAACAATGGGATTGAATACGAGGTATGGGTGGGAGAGAGGATGTAAGGTATGGATGCTGAACTTGAGAAAGTTGGTGGTTTCAAGGACTGTGCGCTGGCAGAGGAGATGGGTAAGAAGAACGAGAAAACCACACGCCTTTTAAGGGTATGTGATGTGCGGATCGGATACAGCAGCAATGGGGCGTGGATGACCTATTTTTGAGTCGACTCAAAAATACGCCTTTTAAGGATGTGTGATGTGCGGATACAGCAGCAATGGGGTGTGGAAGAGGGCGCAGGGTGCAGGCAGGCAGACAGCCTATCAGCAATCGCATCAGATTATGCATTATAGAGCAGATGGAGCAACAATTTATGCATTTTGTCCTTCTGTGATTCCTCGGCGCCCTATCAGGACCCTATCAGAACAATTTATCCATTTTGTCCCTCTGACCCTGCTCCTGACCCTGCTCGCTTCCCTCGTCCCTCTCCTCCTCAACCCATCTCTTGGTCACCCCTCTCCTCCCCCTCCACCACACACCACACCAAGGCTGTGCTGCTCTCGCTTTGTTGCTATCCTGTTCGCCTTGCTACGAGAAGGCCTCACCTGACTCCCTCTTCCGTCCCTCACACCTTCCTCTCCTCGCCCACACACCACACCACACCACACCACACCACACCACACCACACCAGGGCTGTGCTGCTCTTGCCGATGCTCTCACCAGCACCAAGTCCCTGCGCTCGCTGCACCTCAAGTGAGTGTGAGAGGGCTATCAGTGAGTGTGAGAGGGCTATCAGTGAGTGTGAGAGGGCTATCAGTGAGTGTGAGAGGGCTATCAGTGAGTGTGAGAGGGCTATCAGTGAGTGTGGAGTGCTTGGCTGTGTGTGTGAAGTTCATGCATGACTGGCGGGCTGTGTGTGGTGTGTGTGTCGCCCACACACCACACCACACCACACCACACCACACCACACCACACCACGCCAGGGCTGTGCTGCGCTCGCCGATGCTCTCACCAGCACCAAGTCCCTGCGCTCACTGCACCTCAAGTGAGTCCTGGAGACTAGTGTGTATGTGTGTGTGTGTGTGTGTGTGTGTGTGTGTGTGTGTGTGTGTGTGTGTGTGTGTGTGTGTGTGTGTGTGTGTGTGTGTGTGTGTGTGTGTGCGCGCGCATGTGTCCATGTGAGTGTGTGTGAGTGCTGAGTGTATGTGTTTGCCTTACCTCACCAGCGCAAAGTCCCTGCGCCCGCTGCACATCAAGAGCCTTCAAGAGCTCAAACCCGCTCTCCAGTTCTCTCTTTCTCGTATCTGCATTCTCCCTGCTCCCCAATCGCCAGTGGCAACTGCGCAGGCGCCCTGGGAGCATCTGCCCTGGCCAACCAAGAGGCTCAGGGAAATAAGCCTGCTCTCGCTTTTCCCTCCCGTCTCTCTTTCTCCCTGTCTCGATTTCTTCTACCCCCTTCTCCCGTGTTTCCTTCTTCCTGTCCCCAAATCGCCAGTGGCAACTATGCAGGCACACTGGGCGCGTCTGCCTTGGCCAAGGGCCTTCAAGAGAACAAGTCACTCAGGGTGAGCAATCCCGCTTCCAAGGTTGGTTTTCCGTGAGGAGGGTTAGTTCTCCAACTCTTGATCACTACAGTCTGTTTGTATAGGGTCTAGAGGCTTTTGAGCCGACTTACAAGTAGAGGCGTTTCATTCATAGGGCCATAGACCTATGAATGAAAGGCCTTCCAAAAGCCTCATAGGCCATAAGGGGATGAGGGGGCGCGGCGCGTGTGCTGGCATCGGGATTGCTGGCGCACAAGGGCAAGCTCGTGACCATCGACCTGAGCACTTTTCCAATCAGTGTCCGGCCTTTATATCCCCCTTCCTCAACTCCCAACCACCCACAGGAGTTGCTGGCGTGCTGGCCTGCTGGCACATAAGGGCAAGCTTGTGACCATCGACCTCAGCAACAACAGCATGGGCGCTAAGGGCGCAGCTCCCACCACTCCCCTCCCCTTAACCACTCCTCCCCTCCTCCCCTCCCCTCCCTCCACCTTAGGAGTTGCACTTCAATGGGAATGGAGTAGGAGACGAGGGGGCGCGAGTGCTGGCATCGGGATTGCTGGCCCACAAGGGCAAGCTGGTGACCATCGACCTCAGCAACAACAGCATGGGGGCTAAGGGCGCGGCGCATATCGCGGAGGTTATCAAGAAAAGCCGCAGCCTGCAGTGGTTGAACCTCTATATGAACGACTTTGGGGACAAGGTGGGTGCTTCACTGACTGGTAGGTATACTGGGTGCTTGTGTAAGGTAGGTGTGTAGATGGGGGCGGCTCACATTGCTGAAGTGATTAAGAAAAGCCGCAGCCTGCAGTGGTTGAACCTCGGTATGAACGACTTTGGCGACAAGGTGGAGCAATAAGAACAGCAATAACAGCAGCAATAACAGCAGCAATGGCTCCAAAGGGGCGGCTCATATCGCTGAAGTGATCAAGAAGAGCCGCAGCCTGCATTGGCTGAACCTCTAGATGAACGACTTTGGGGACAAGGTGGGTTGTGGTGGGCGGGGGAACGGGAAGAAGGGAGCATGGGTGGGGGAAAGGCGGGCAACAGCAACAAAAGCATGGGCGCTAAGGGGGCGGCTCATATCGCTGAGGTTATTTAAGAAGAGCCGCAGCTCTCAGTGGTTGAACCTCTACATGAACGACTTTGGGGACCATGTGGGTGCGGTGCTGATTTGGGGAACAATGTGGGTGTTTGACTGGTTGATAGGTATGGAAGGCGTTGGAGGGGAAAGGAGGTGTGTTCAGTTGGAGGCTCCAAGTGAATATCTGCTCAGTTGAAGGCTCAGCTGGAGGAACCCAGGACACTATGCTGATGCACGAATTGGGAGTGGCCTGGGTTTGATTTGACCTAGTCCTGACATTTGTTCGATCACTTTTTTTTCGGAGGATATTTTTCATAAGTTGTGGCTCCTGTCTTGTTTCTGTCTTGGTCGCAGGGAGCGGAGAGAATAGCAGATGCTCTCAAGAGGAACAAGTCCATCGCCACCATTGACTTGGTAAGTGAGTGAGTCAGTGTGTGAGTGAGTGAGTGAGTGAGTGAGTGAGTGAGTGAGTGCATACATGTGCTCTGCATGTTTTTTGCTCTCAAGAGGAACAAGTCCATTGCCACCATTGAGTTGGTAAGTGAGTGAGTGAGTCAGTGTGTGTTTGAGTGAGTGAGTGAGTGAGTGAGTGCGTGTGTGAGTGCGTGAGTGAGTGAATGAGCGAGTGAGTGAGTGCATACATGTGTTCTGCATATTATTTGCCCTCAAGAGGAACAAGTCCATTGCCACTATTGACCTGGTGAGTCAGTGAGAAAGTGAGTGAGTCAGTGAGTGAGTGAGTGAGTCAGTGAGTGAGTGAGTGAGTCAGTGAGTGAGTGAGTGAGTGAGTGAGTGAGTGAGTCAGTGAGTGAGTGAGTGAGTCAGTGAGTGAGTGAGTCAGTGAGTGAGTGAGTCAGTGAGTGAGTGAGTGAGTGAGTGAGTGAGTGAGTGAGTGAGTGAGTGAGTGAGTCAGTGAGTGAGTGAGTCAGTGAGTGAGTGAGTCAGTGAGTGAGTGAGTCAGTGAGTGAGTGAGTGAGTGAGTGAGTGAATGAGTGAGTGAGTGAGTCAGTGAGTGAGTGAGTGAGTCAGTGAGTGAGTGAGTGAGTCAGTGAGTGAGTGAGTGAGTCAGTGAGTGAGTGAGTGAGTCAGTGAGTGAGTGAGTCAGTGAGTGAGTGAGTCAGTGAGTGAGTGAGTCAGTGAGTGAGTGAGTCAGTGAGTGAGTGAGTCAGTGAGTGAGTGAGTCAGTGAGTGAGTGAGTGAGTCAGTGAGTGAGTGAGTCAGTGAGTGAGTGAGTGAGTGAGTGAGTCAGTGAGTGAGTGAGTCAGTGAGTGAGTGAGTGAGTGAGTGAGTGAGTGAGTGATTGAGTGAGTGAGTGAGTGAGTGAGTGAGTGAGTCAGTGAGTCAGTGAGTCAGTGAGTCAGTGAGTCAGTGAGTCAGTGAGTCAGTGAGTCAGTGAGTCAGTGAGTGAGTGAGTGAGTCAGTGAGTGAGTGAGTGAGTCAGTGAGTGAGTGAGTGAGTCAGTGAGTGAGTGAGTCAGTGAGTGAGTGAGTCAGTGAGTGAGTGAGTCAGTGAGTGAGTGAGTCAGTGAGTGAGTGAGTCAGTGAGTGAGTGAGTCAGTGAGTGAGTGAGTGAGTCAGTGAGTGAGTGAGTGAGTGAGTGAGTGAGTGAGTGAGTCAGTGAGTGAGTGAGTCAGTGAGTGAGTGAGTGAGTGAGTGAGTGAGTGAGTGATTGAGTGAGTGAGTGAGTGAGTGAGTATATGGGTGTGTGCATGTACATGCTGTGCATACTGTTCGCCTTCTGAAGGAACATTTCTCCCTTCTATTGCAGCTCTTGACGTGCTCATCCTCTCATCCATGCAGAGGGCATTGCGGCCATTTGTAGTGCACTGAATCGCACTTATAGAGTTCTCTTTTAACGCGACACCCCCCCCATCCTCCCCCCCTACTCCCCTCCCTTCCTCCTTTTCCTCCTCCCCCTTCACCAGGGCGGCAACAACATCCATGCCGAGGGCATTGCGGCCATCTGTGATGCGCTAAAAGAGAACTCCACCATCACTACTGTGAGTAGACACCTCCTTCGATCAGAGAATGTGTCCTTTGAGTCGACTTGAGCGGTGTTTGCAGCCATCCATCTGTGACGCGCTGAAAGAGAATTCCACCATCACCACTGTAAGTTGCACCTGCTGCCGCTCTGCTACTCTGCCACGCACCGCCGTCACCACTGTGAGTCGACTCGAAAGCACTGGCGGGCACGTTCAAGTCCCCCCCCGCTCCCACTCCCTTGACATATCCTCATCACCGTTTCCCCACCCCTGCTGCTCCCATTACTCCCCAATTGGGAGGAATTGGGAGAAAGGGGAGTAACGCTCCAATTGCCCCATTACACCCCCGCTACTCCCCTTTCTCCCCTTTCTCCCACAGCTCCAATTCCTCCCATCCCATTCCTGTTTCAGCTGGAGCTGGGATACAAGCAACCCCTATCGGCCCAGAGGGCGCCACGGCTCTTGCGACACAGTCAAGTTTCCGCTTCCGACTCCCTCGTCATCTCTTCCCTGCCCTGCCTCTCATCCCTCTCACAGCTGGAGCTGGGGTATAACCCCATTGGCCCAGAGGGCGCCAAGGCACTGGCAGACACGGTCAAGTTCCATGGGAATGTGGAGACGCTGCGACTGGGTTGGTGCAAGGTGAGGATGAGGGATGGAGAACGGTTATGGGTGGTGCAGGGGTGGTGCTAGTTATTGCTGCTGCTGTGCACCTCAGTCAAGGCACTGACTGGCAGACACGGTGAAGTTCCATGGGAACGTGGAGACGCTGCGGCTGGGTTGGTGCAAGGTGAGGGTGGTTACAAGCAGTGCATTTCAGGGGTGCTCAGGTATGATGCTAAGGGGTGAAGGGTGGGCTTGGTGGGTGCAAGCATGGTGCAAGGTGAGGATGGTTACAAGCACTGCATTTCAGGGGGTATGATGCTACCCCACTCAGGGGGTGAAGGGTGGGCTGTATGCTTGGTGGGTGCAAGCAGTGCATTTCAGGGGTGCTCAGGTATGATGCTAAGGGGTGAAGGATGAGGGATGGAAAACGGTTATGGGAGAACGGTCATGGGAGAACGGTCATGGGAGAACGGTTATGGGAGAACGGTCATGGGAGAACGGTTATGGGAGAACGGTCATGGGAGAACGGTCATGGGAGAACGGTTATGGGAGAACGGTTATGGGAGAACGGTTATGGGAGAACGGTTATGGGAGAACGGTTATGGGAGAACGGTCATGGGAGAACGGTCATGGGAGAACGGTCATGGGAGAACGGTCATGGGAGAACGGTCATGGGAGAACGGTTATGGGAGAACGGTTATGGGAGAACGGTTATGGGAGAACGGTCATGGGAGAACGGTCATGGGAGAACGGTTATGGGAGAACGGTCATGGGAGAACGGTTATGGGAGAACGGTTATGGGAGAACGGTCATGGGAGAACGGTCATGGGAGAACGGTTATGGGAGAACGGTTATGGGAGAACGGTCATGGGAGAACGGTTATGGGAGAACGGTCATGGGAGAACGGTCATGGGAGAACGGTCATGGGAGAACGGTTATGGGAGAACGGTCATGGGAGAACGGTCATGGGAGAACGGTTATGGGAGAACGGTTATGGGAGAACGGTCATGAGAGAACGGTTATGGGAGAACGGTTATGGGAGAACGGTTATGGGAGAACGGTTATGGGAGAACGGTCATGGGAGAACGGTTATGGGAGAACGGTCATGGGAGAACGGTCATGGGAGAACGGTTATGGGAGAACGGTTATGGGAAAACGGTCATGGGAGAACGGTTATGGGAGAACGGTCATGGGAGAACGGTCATGGGAGAACGGTTATGGGAGAACGGCTATGGGAGAACGGTTATGGGAGAACGGTCATGGGAGAACGGTCATGGGAGAACGGTTATGGGAGAACGGTTATGGGAGAACGGTCATGGGAGAACGGTTATGGGAGAACGGTTATGGGAGAACGGTCATGGGAGAACGGTTATGGGAGAACGGTCATGGGAGAACGGTTATGGGAGAACGGTTATGGGAGAACGGTTATGGGAGAACGGTTATGGGAGAACGGTCATGGGAGAACGGTTATGGGAGAACGGTCATGGGAGAACGGTTATGGGAGAACGGTTATGGGAGAATGGTTATGGGAGAACGGTTATGGGAGAACGGTTATGGGAGAACGGTTATGGGAGAACGGTCATGGGAGAACGGTTATGGGAGAACGGTTATGGGAGAACGGTCATGGGAGAACGGTCATGGGAGAACGGTCATGGGAGAACGGTTATGGGAGAACGGTCATGGGAGAACGGTTATGGGAGAACGGTTATGGGAGAACGGCTATGGGAGAACGGTTATGGGAGAACGGTTATGGGAGAACGGTCATGGGAGAACGGTTATGGGAGAACGGTCATGGGAGAACGGTCATGGGAGAACGGTTATGGGAGAACGGTCATGGGAGAACGGTTATGGGAGAACGGTCATGGGAGAACGGTTATGGGAGAACGGTCATGGGAGAACGGTTATGGGAGAACGGTTATGGGAGAACGGCTATGGGAGAACGGTTATGGGAGAACGGTCATGGGAGAACGGCTATGGGAGAACGGTCATCGGAGAACGGTCATGGGAGAACGGTTATGGGAGAACGGTCATGGGAGAAGGGTTATGGGAGAACGGTCATGGGAGAACGGCTATGGGAGAACGGTTATGGGAGAACGGTGGGAGAACGGTTATGGGAGAACGGTTATGGGAGAACGGTTATGGGAGAACGGCTATGGGAGAACGGTTATGGGAGAACGGTTATGGGAGAACGGTCATGGGAGAACGGTCATGGGAGAACGGTCATGGGAGAACGGTTATGGGAGAACGGTCATGGGAGAACGGTCATGGGAGAACGGTTATGGGAGAACGGCTATGGGAGAACGGCTATGGGAGAACGGTTATGGGAGAACGGTTATGGGAGAACGGTCATGGGAGAACGGTCATGGGAGAACGGTCATGGGAGAACGGCTATGGGAGAACGGCTATGGGAGAACGGCTATGGGAGAACGGTTATGGGAGAACGGTTATGGGAGAACGGTCATGGGAGAACGGTCATGGGAGAACGGTCATGGGAGAACGGTTATGGGAGAACGGTTATGGGAGAACGGCTATGGGAGAACGGTATGGGAGAACGGTCATGGGAGAACGGTCATGGGAGAACGGTCATGGGAGAACGGTTATGGGAGAACGGTTATGGGAGAACGGCTATGGGAGAACGGTTATGGGAGAACGGTCATGGGAGAACGGTTATGGGAGAACGGTCATGGGAGAACGGTCATGGGAGAACGGTCATGGGAGAACGGTCATGGGAGAACGGTTATGGGAGAACGGCTATGGGAGAACGGCTATGGGAGAACGGTTATGGGAGAACGGTCATGGGAGAACGGTCATGGGAGAACGGTTATGGGAGAACGGTTATGGGAGAACGGTTATGGGAGAACGGTCATGGGAGAACGGTTATGGGAGAACGGTTATGGGAGAACGGTCATGGGAGAACGGTCATGGGAGAACGGTCATGGGAGAACGGCTATGGGAGAACGGCTATGGGAGAACGGTTATGGGAGAACGGTCATGGGAGAACGGTTATGGGAGAACGGTTATGGGAGAACGGTCATGGGAGAACGGTCATGGGAGAACGGTCATGGGAGAACGGTCATGGGAGAACGGTCATGGGAGAACGGTTATGGGAGAACGGCTATGGGAGAACGGCTATGGGAGAACGGTTATGGGAGAACGGTTATGGGAGAACGGTTATGGGAGAACGGTCATGGGAGAACGGTTATGGGAGAACGGTCATGGGAGAACGGTCATGGGAGAACGGTTATGGGAGAACGGTTATGGGAGAACGGTTATGGGAGAACGGTCATGGGAGAACGGTTATGGGAGAACGGTCATGGGAGAACGGTTATGGGAGAACGGTCATGGGAGAACGGTTATGGGAGAACGGTTATGGGAGAACGGTTATGGGAGAACGGTCATGGGAGAACGGTTATGGGAGAACGGCGACGGGGGAACGGTTATAGGAGAACGGTTATGGGAGAACGGCTATGGGAGAACGGTTATGGGAGAACGGTTATGGGAGAACGGTTATGGGAGAACGGTCATGGGAGAACGGTCATGGGAGAACGGTCATGGGAGAACGGTTATGGGAGAACGGTCACGGGAGAACGGTCATGGGAGAACGGTCATGGGAGAACGGTCATGGGAGAACGGTCATGGGAGAACGGTCATGGGAGAACGGTCATGGGAGAACGGTCATGGGAGAACGGTTATAGGAGAACGGTTATGGGAGAACGGCTATGGGAGAACGGCTATGGGAGAACGGTCATGGGAGAACGGTTATGGGAGAACGGTTATGGGGGAACGGTTATGGGAGAACGGTCATGGGAGAACGGTCATGGGAGAACGGTTATGGGAGAACGGCTATGGGAGAACGGCTATGGGAGAACGGCTATGGGAGAACGGTTATGGGAGAACGGTCATGGGAGAACGGTCATGGGAGAACGGTTATGGGAGAACGGTCATGGGAGAATGGTTATGGGAGAACGGTTATGGGAGAACGGCTATGGGAGAACGGTCATGGGAGAACGGTTATGGGAGAACGGTTATGGGAGAACGGTCATGGGAGAACGGTCATGGGAGAACGGTTATGGGAGAACGGTTATGGGAGAACGGTCATGGGAGAACGGTTATGGGAGAACGGTTATGGGAGAACGGTCATGGGAGAACGGTTATGGGAGAACGGTTATGGGAGAACGGTCATGGGAGAACGGTTATGGGAGAACGGTCATGGGAGAACGGTTATGGGAGAACGGTTATGGGAGAACGGTCATGGGAGAACGGTCATGGGAGAACGGTCATGGGAGAACGGTCATGGGAGAACGGTCATGGGAGAACGGTCATGGGAGAACGGTTATGGGAGAACGGTTATGGGAGAACGGCTATGGGAGAACGGTTATGGGAGAACGGTCATGGGAGAACGGTTATGGGAGAACGGTCATGGGAGAACGGTTATGGGAGAACGGTTATGGGAGAACGGTTATGGGAGAACGGTCATGGGAGAACGGTCATGGGAGAACGGTTACGGGAGAACGGTTATGGGAGAACGGTCATGGGAGAACGGTTATGGGAGAACGGTTATGGGAGAACGGTCATGGGAGAACGGTTATGGGAGAACGGTCATGGGAGAACGGTTACGGGAGAACGGTCATGGGAGAACGGCTATGGGAGAACGGTTATGGGAGAACGGTTATGGGAGAACGGTCATGGGAGAACGGTTATGGGAGAACGGTCATGGGAGAACGGTCATGGGAGAACGGTTATGGGAGAACGGTCATGGGAGAACGGTTATGGGAGAACGGTCATGGGAGAACGGCTATGGGAGAACGGTTATGGGAGAACGGTTATGGGAGAACGGTTATGGGAGAACGGTTATGGGAGAACGGTTATGGGAGAACGGTTATGGGAGAACGGTCATGGGAGAACGGTCATGGGAGAACGGTTATGGGAGAACGGTCATGGGAGAACGGTCATGGGAGAACGGTCATGGGAGAACGGTTATGGGAGAACGGTCATGGGAGAACGGTCATGGGAGAACGGTTATGGGAGAACGGTTATGGGAGAACGGCTATGGGAGAACGGCTATGGGAGAACGGTTATGGGAGAACGGTTATGGGAGAACGGTTATGGGAGAACGGTTATGGGAGAACGGCTATGGGAGAACGGCTATGGGAGAACGGCTATGGGAGAACGGCTATGGGAGAACGGCTATGGAACGGCTATGGGAGAACGGCGACGGGGGAACGGTTATGGGAGAACGGTTATGGGAGAACGGTTATGGAACGGCTATGGGAGAACGGCTACGGGAGAACGGCGACGGGGGAACGGTTATGGGAGAACGGTTATGGGAGAACGGCTATGGGAGAACGGTTATGGGAGAACGGCTTTGGGAGTACAGCTACCGGAGAACGGTTATGGCCGATGCGCTCAAGTACAGCAGCACCATCAACACTCTCTCAGCCTCTCTGCTCTCTTTCAGCCTCCCTCACACTTCCACCTTCTTGCACCCACTCCACCTCTGTTCCCCCATCCCCTCAGATCGGAGTGAAGGGAGCTGAGTACATGGCTGATTCGCTCAAATACAACAGCACCATCAAGACGCTTGACCTCAGGGCAAATGCTCTGGGTGATGAGGTGAGTTGTGGTGATGACAATCCATGCAGCAATCGAGGGGGATAATGAGCGGGCAGGTGCGCTCGCAATGGAATACAACAGCACCATTAACACGCTTGACCTCAGGGCAAATGCTCTGGGTGATGAGGTGAGCTGTGATGGTATGATGGCGAGGTGAGTCAGGTGAGTCATGTTTACCCAGTATAGGGACTCGTCACAGCTCATCTTGGCTCCATGTCTTACCCCTCCCCACCCCATCACACTCCTAGTCTCCCCTCTCACTCCCTTGCCCCTCGCAGCAGGGCACGGCCATCTTGGCTTTAAGTCTCCGAGTGGTCAACGAGCAGCTCTCCTCGCTGGACCTCGGCTTTAACAAGATCCGCGACCGCGGGCCCTCAATCGCGTTCTCTCTCCCTCCCCTCTCTCTTCCAACAGGGGGCGGCCATTTTGGCTTTAAGTCTCCGCGTGGTCAACGAGCAGCTCTCCTCGCTGGACCTGGGCTTTAATGAAATTCGCGACCGGGGGGCCTATGCTCTGGCAGAGGCCCTCAAGGCGAATGGGGAGGCGGCAGTGGAAACACTCAACCTTTCAAGCAACTACATCACCAAATACGGCCAGGTGTGGTGAATTTTCGGTTTTGTACTTATTGGTGTTATTTGTGTTTGCATATAATGTAGTCGACTCAGGCTGCTCTGAGCGAGGCCAAGGACCTGGTGAGTGAGGCGGCCAGTTCTTACCAGTGGCTCATTCCCTCCTTCCCACTCCCCTCTGGGTGTGCTTTCTCCTGTATGTATGCCCCCCAGGTTGCTCTGAGCGAGGCCAAGGACCTGATGAGTGAGATGGCCGGTTCTTACAAGAGACTGATGATTCTATCCTCCCATTCTGCTCTGTGCGTGTGCGTATGCATGTGCTTGTGGCTGGCACTGGGTCTGCTTTCTGTGTGCCTCTTTCCCAGGAGGCTCTGAGCGAGGCCAAGGACCTGGTGAGTGAGGTGAATGACGGCAAGGAGGTCAACATCTACTGGTGCTGCCTAGGAGGGACTGATACCACTGGGCTGGGATGTTGCCATCCACTCGCTCCCTCTTCCCTCCCATTCCCCTCTGTGCGATGCTGTGTATTAATTGCCTCCCAGGTTGCTCTGAGCGAGGCCAAGGACCTGGTGAGTGAGATGAATGACGGCAAGGAGGTCAACATCTACTGGTAACTGGTGATGCCATGGGTCTTCACCGCTGCACTGATGCCAATGGGCCGACTCCATTGCTCTGATACCACTGCACCGATGCCAGTGGACTGATGCCAATGCACCAATACCTACCACTCGGCGAGCCATGGCTATCCATCGACTCATTTCCTCTCATGATGCCACTGGGCAAGATAGAGCAGCAGGGTGAAGTGCGGAAACCGCATGATCACTGTCATAGTGTGATGTGAACATGAATTCAAGTGTTTTTTATGGTGATGGTTGGAATCTGAGACGAGAGGTGGTGATGGTTGTTAGTGATTGTACTGTAGATTATGGCAATACCATTTAGGGATTGTACTGGTATCGGTACGCACTGATAGTGGGGATGGAAGAGGTTTTGATAGGATCAGAACAGATCAGCTCAGATCATTTGCATTTGCCATCCAGCTGAAATGACTGTCGTGTGGGTGTACCATAGATTTGTTGATTGAAAGGCCGTCTCACATGTATTATGACAGTGAAATACAGATCAGTCAGAACATCCATCTTGTTCTCTGTACATTAGTGAATGTGACTGAAACGAAGGTTTGCCCCTCAACCAGAACTGGCACCTTGGGCTTATCCTGTATAGCCACGGTGCTTTCTGCATTGTCCTTTGCATATGTGGTTCTCCTGATAAGAGCCTTAGTAGTTCCCCCCACGTTGAGCCTGAACCTAGATAACCTCACATTCACCACCTTGTCCCTCACCCGCTGATTCACTATAAACACACTCACTGTCCGCTTCTCCTTACTGTAGAACGCAGCTACTGTGTGCCGACATGCTATCGGCACTGCTAAAGGCCGGCTACCTGGCCTCACCAGATCAGTAAACTGCTTAAACATCCAATACCTTTTAAGCATGGTGGGGGGGTCTACTGTACCTGTATATCCTGGCGGATAATACCAATTCAGGCCGAGCAGCGACCAAGTCTCGTTTGGATCGAAAATCTGCCAGTAGACATACGCGGAGACCTCGAGAATGTTGACTGTCTCGATGACATTTCGCATCATGTAGAGCGAGAGATCGTACGCGTTGCCAAACTTGTTCAACGGCCCAGATTCCGACACCCAGATCTCCTTCCCCAGCGATTTCGCGAGCACCTTCATCGCGACGTATCGAGCGGCGTAGGTTTTCTCGGCGACAGAAGCAGTCATGTTTACGACCTGCTGAACCGGCAGCGTGTAACCGTGAACGTTCACCCGGTGGAGAAATATTTTTCCCACGAGCAGTGGGAACCAGAGAGCGGTCATGCCCGGAAAACTGTCCACACCGGCGAGTTTCGTCTTGAGCTTTTTCTCGCGCAGTAGTCGCAGAGTTTTGAAGATTATCCGGGTCATTTCGACGACGTTGAAATTACACCCCTCCTGCCCCATCCCCTTTAGCCAGTGCCCCTCTAACGCCTCATTAAACGGCTCCAGTGTATCAAACTCGATATTCCCTAAAGCCGGATCCGTTTTAAATCTTTCGACCACCTCCACCAAGTATTTCGCAAACTTCCCCTCGAACTTCGGCAGCAAATTCGTCTGAAACGCCTTCTTCCCACCCGCGACGTCCTTGCTCGCGGTCATCCACCAGGGCGGGCTGTTGGAAAACGCCTCGAAGACGTTCACCCCGCGGGCCTTGGCTCCCAGCAGCACCGCCTGCTGCCTCGAATCCGCCGTCCAGTTGAACCCCGCTGCCTGCGCCGGCCAGTACCCCGGCATGGCCCGCCAGCGCAGCAGCGCGTCCGAGTGGAGCTGCGGGCTGTACTGCGGGAGCGAGCCGCCGCCTATATTGAATCGCACTATATTGAGGTTGAGGCCCGAGGGGAGGAACATGAGGTCCAGGAGAGGGTCCATCGCCGCCTGGGGGAACCCGCCGATGTAGTTGCCCAGCCTGGGCATGGGGGAGGGGGAGCGGGGGGAATAGGGGAAAGAGGGGGAGGGGTGGGGTTGTTGGGGTAGGGAAAGGAAAGCCAAGGGTCCATCGCCGCCCTGGGGAACCCGCCGATGTAGTTGCCCAGCCTGGGGGTGGGGGGAGCAGAAGGGGAAGGTGGGGGGAATGGGGAGGTGGGGGGAAGCGCGATGTGGGGCAAGGGGGATGTGGGGAGAAGGCGGGGTGCGGTGAGAGAGGAGAAACTTGGAGGAAGTGGGAAGCGTGGGAGCCGGATACGCTACTAGGACGATTCGATAGAATCACACATTCTTAGTACGATCAACTCACCATGCGAGCGAGGTGCCCCATCCTTTCCACTTGGTCCCGATCTGCCGCGGAGTGATCGTCACGTGGAACGGTCCCTTACCGCCCGAGCACACCCCGAACCGCTCCCACGCCGGCTCGAGCGTCGGAGCTGGCGGTTTGGCCTTCGGTCCTGCCGTCCATGCTGACGTGTTCACTAACGACGTATCGTGCCACGCAATGGGGTACCGCGTGAAGTTCCATGGTTCGGGTTCAGGTGCAGGAGCAGGGGCAGGTGACTGTATATTAGGTGCCTCTACGGGAGGTGCAGGAGGTGACTGAAACGGAGGTGACTCTAGGGGAAGTGACTGTACCGGGGGTGTGGCTGTGTCCTGTGCGTTCGCGTGGTTCGAGGGGAGTAGGCGTTGGAAAAACGCGACCACTTGGTCGATTATCGACGACCCTTCAGCGACTGTAGCTGAAGCTCCTATTAAGAGCAGAATCAGTACGATGGCTGTTTGGCACGACCTTGACGGGGATGTCACTATTCTAGGATGAAGGTGATGGGAGACACTAGAGCGCATTGTCAACGCCGCGTTGACGGAGAGAAGAAAAAATAGTTTCACAGAGAATTGCGGCGAGGATCACGGGTTAAACAGCGTGATCAGATTCGGTCTAGAGCCCCACGTCAACAGCATTTCCTTCGGAACGGTAACGGGAGCGGGATGCACGGATCAGGCTGAAACAGTAAAATAAAGGAGTCGAATATGATTGTCGCGAGGTGCGACTGAGACCCGCCGGATACCGCGCGTTGATTAGAACCAACTCGCCGAGGCTGTGCGTAGAGTTGCGTAAACGGAGCACATAGCGGGTTATAAACGAGCTGAGGAACAACTGGGTTTGTCGGTTGAATGTTGACCATGCTCGCTTCAGCTGAGGAACAGACCTCGAGATTGCCCCCTACCCCCGTTCAGCAGAAACGTGTGGAGCGCTGACTGAGGGAATGTGCTGAGAAGAGGTGTTGTTGGGCGGGGCGGGGAGGAACCCATGTTACTGTATCCGGACACCCTTCCCCGCGTTGAAAAAATTCCACCGACGGCGGAAATTTGGTGGAGCGGAACATTCCCCCCGTTTGAGGGCAGGAGGGGGAACGTGGAATGTTCGGGTGGTTGCGGGGAGCGCGATGGACACATCCGCGCACGGCAATGTCAGGGGAAGAGGACGAAACGGGCATTTCCAGGCGAGGCGCGATGAGGCTGGTTTGGCACCATGATGGCTGGGTGATTGGCTGGAAAGCCGAATCTGTCCAGTAAACCTAAATTTGACGGTTCGATGGACACCAGATCTGACGTTTTGTTGCGTCCCAATGTCTGGTAAGTATACCCGCGGTTCCAAACTAGCCTTACGAAGCTTTGTTCCCCTCATTTCAGAGCTCTTTGGTGTGTCTCATTTGGCTCGACAGCTGGTACGGAACCGAAGGTCTCTAGTCTGGAGGCGAGAAGTCGGTGGGACCCTGTCGCCCCACTCACCAAGAAGCTGAACGTGTCAAGTCACACTGCTAGCCGTCACCAGCAGCAGTCAAACGACGTGCCTTTCTCCAGTGAACCGCGAAGACCTTAGCGAATGTGTCACACGAAAGGGTTTTTATACGGGCCGTCACAAAACATTTCGTAGTTATCACGAGCAGTCACATGTTCCGCCAAATCTATCACGGACAGTCACAAAATCCGCCAAATCTATCACGAACCATCACACGGGTATCACCCGCCGTCACTCAAAGGCACTAATTTCTATCATGGGTAGTCACACTCGAAATCTTGCTATCACAGATGAACCCTCTCATCATTTCGCTGACGCGCCGCCCTGAAACACTGTACAGATTTAGGGACTATATTTCGGGTTGCTGGTTTTTGTCCTGTATACGTGACCATTTTGGTTGCAAAGATACCTGGTTACGTTCCAATCGACGTAACACACAATATCAAACGAGCGCATATAGATATTTCTAGAGTTCACCATTAAAAATATCTTGGCAATGTGTCACACGAAATCCTTCTTGACAAAAAGGCTCGTTTCATTTCGGTTCAGGTAGACTTATCGACAGGCTGTGATGGTTCGGTAGGGTGCAGACTGGACAAATCAAAACTGATGACAAGTCGCCACCACCATGGCATGTCGCCGTCGCCGACGAAACTGACTCCTGGACGTCAGATGATCAGACCCAAAGGGTCCCCAATCTCCTCGATTGAGCGCTGTCATTGCCATTTTCTTGGATTCTGACAATCAAGGCCGCTTCTGGGTCTGGGTCTGCCTAGCCCTACATTCCAGTGATACTTTCTCCAAGCCCCTCCCTAGTCCCAAGGCGGTTCACAATTGAGAAAGTCTATCCCAGCTCCTGACTTTCAGTTTTTTCTCATATTTAGCCCTATGTTTACTCAAAAAGCACCACTTTCCATTATTTCTCTCACGCGAGGCCCAAAGTATGTTCAAAACTGGTCCTGCGGGGCGAAGTTTTCGACACGTGTCCTTTTGTTACCAGCTGACGCACTTCCACTCTGAACTAACCGTTTGTCAGGGCAATTTTCGCGCCGGAAAAGTTTTTACGGGACAAAAAAACATAAAACCCCTAAAGGACCATTACACATTTTCGGGAGGGAGCAACCCTAAACACGGGACCTGCTAGGTGTTTAGGGTTGATCCCTCCCGCGAATGTGTCCTGGTTCTCTAGGGGTTTTATGTTTTTTGCCCCCGTCCAAATTTTCCATGCATGGAAGTTCGTCAGTTCGTCAGATGGTGTAACAAGAGGACACGTGTCGAAAAAATCGCCCCGCAGGACCACTTTTGAACATACTTTGGGCCTCGCGTGAGAGAAATTCTAGAAAGTGGTGCTTTTTGAGTAAACCTAGGGCTGAATATGAGAGAAATCTGAAAGTCAGGAGCGGGGATATACTTTCCATTCACAATTTTAGTGTACATCGGCCCCTCCTTTGTTATCGGGTGCACAAGCTTTCCCATCATATCCAGGCTACAGTCGGTGCTCATTTCAAGAACACCAGGTAGGCGGGCGGCATGTGCGTGAAACGAGTTTGTGAATTTCGCCACTTTCGCCGTTGTCGCCACGGGCAAAAATGTGATTGTAAAATGAAATTGGAATGTGAAACGAGTCTAGGGGTTTAAGTTCGTAACCAGGTAAACAATTCTGATGACAGGCAGCCGTTGTTGTTTATGAACTGTAGATGTTTTTCTTCCGCAACTTGGTGACTGTACCCCGAAATCAACACAATGGTCAATTTAATCACTCACGGGCAAAACGTTCGCGAGTGACAAATTTTCTAATTGTGAGTAGCAATTTTTTGTGATAGGCTGAGCATCGACTGTACATTTCAATGACCACCTTGTGAGAAGTTAATAATTTAGTACTACTGCGATACTTCTTCCTTGTCTGTAACATTCACTTATGTTCAGAAGAAAGGCTAATGTGGTGGAGAGCACCAGTATCTCATGAGAAACAGTATCCCAATGATAAGTTATGGTGGTTTGTCTCTGAGGAAGGGACAACCGCGCCCTTTAGCCTAGACCTAGCTAGAAAATTTATCCAAGCCCTATCTCTCATATTCTCCTAACGTTCGTAAAGTGTATTGAGACGAAACTTTGTCCCTCTATAGTGACGCTCGCTGTACCGCCGCTGGTCTCCTGGCTCTGCACCATATTATGCACCCAAGACGTCCGCCGAACAAACACCTTCGTGATCCCCCTCGAGTTTATCCGGAACCCCTGCAGATTCATCGATAACTGTTTCGGCTCCGCCTTCTGGTTCACTATAAAAAGACTCACTACAGAGTCCGCCTCGTTGAAGAACCCCGCAATGCCGTGAGAGCACTCCGCGGGGATCGCGAGCGGCTGGCTTCCCGGCTTAGCAAGACTAGTCAGCATCTTGAATATATACCATCGCTTAGACCGCTTCGGGTTTTTCACAGTACCCGTATACCCCGCAGGGTAATTCCACGGGAAGTGGATCATTGTCCAGCGAGGATCAGAATCGTACGTTAGCCAGTACACGTACGCAGATGCTTGCAGTATGTTGACGGTCTCGATCACGTTTCGCGCCATGTACAGTGACAGGTCGAAAGGTTGTCCGAATCGCCCCATTGGTCCGGATTCGCTTACCCAAACCTCCTTCCCCATCCCCTTGGCTATGTCGCGCATTTTACTGTACATCTGGGTGGTGTAGCTGACCGGATCCTGATTGCTAGGGGCCGGGTCCATGTACCCATGAACATTGATCCGCTTCACTTCGTTTATCCTCGCTATAGAGTTGATCGCCGAAACCGTGTCCTCCGTCCAGCTGTCAAACGCGGCGACTTTCGTCTTAAGCCCCTTCTTCTTCAGAGCGTCTATAGTAGCCCACAGCACGCGGGTTATGCCGGGGACGTCAAAATTACACCCCTCCTGCCCGTTCCCCGCGTTCCAGAAATTTTCCAGCGGCTCGTTAAACGGCTCCAGCGTATCAAAAGTCAAATTCCAAGCCGGGTCTTTTGCGAATTTCTCCACCACTGTAGTGAGGTAATCCACAAATTTTCCTTCGTACCGCGGCTGCAGGTTCGGCTGGTTCTTCTCCGACGCACCTGCCACGTCACCCGACACAGTCATCCACCACGGCGGGCTGTTCGAAAACGCCTCAAAAACATTCGCTCCGCGCTCCCTCGCGCCAAACAGAACATTCCTTTGCCGCTGATCCGCGCTCCAATCGTACGGCCCAGACTCCGCCGGCCAATACCCGGGCATGGCCTTCCAGCTACTCGTCACATCTTTAGAAAACTGCGGACTTAGCGTTTCGTTGTGCCCTCCGCCTATGTTGTACCGGACGATATTCAGACCGAGTCCTTTCCGGGGGTGGAAGATGAGGTCGAGAAGCGTATCCATGCGATCCTTGGGAAAGCCTCCGATGTAGTTGCCTTGCCTGGCGGAAACATGGGGAGAGATAGCATTCAGGGGGGAATTTGAGCAATGTTGTATTTTGAGGAATGAATATAAGGCATGGGAGGGTAATGAGGGGGGGGGTGTGGATGAGCAATGCGGGAGTGCTCGAACAGATGAAGGAATGGGGGCAGAGATGGGAAGAGAGAGGGATGAAAGGAAGAAAGGGGGGGGAAGGGGGGGGGGTGGGGGGGGTGGGGGGGGGGGGGGGGGGGGAGGACGTGCTAATGAGTAAATGAAAATGGACTCGCCAAGCCAGAGATGTTCCCCATCCCCTCCATGTGAGTCATTTTTTAGAATTCTCAAGAACGACTCCATCGAAGCTGAGAGAATGAAAATGGACTCACCAAGCCAGAGACGTGCCCCATCCCTTCCACGTTGTCCCAATGAACGAGGGAGTGATATTCAAGCTGATTGGCCCGGGGAAGCTACAGATGTCAAACAGCTCATTGGTCGGTTGTAGCGACGGCGGCGGGGAGAGCGACGCGGATTCGTCGACGGAAAACAGCCGGACGTTCCGTTTGCGCCGCTCGCGCCGCATGTGCGCGTGGATGGTGATCTCGTCGAGCGAGTATCGCCCCGCTGCGCCCGCTGTTGATGCCGGGCGGATGCTGTCGCGATGCAATGCGCGCGCATGGGCGGCGCGGAAGGAGGAACTCCATAACGTGGATAGTATGAGTAGCAATGACAGCGGAGGGAGTCTACAACGATTAGGGGCTGCCCCAGTGCTACTAGCCATGCTGGAAAAGCAATAGAGATTTAGTGAGAGCGATTTCTTTTTCGTAAGGCACAGAGGAACGAGCGAATCCGTGTCTAGGTTCTAATACGCTGTGGTTTCAAAGAAGTGCCTGCGCATTTGCTGGTTGGGCTGCAGACCTCGTCCTGCCGCCTTACAGAATTCTGTCGGAACGAGTACTTCTAGAGGCTGGCCCGAATCTGGCCCGAATTTATTAACGAATCCCGGTGAAAGCCCTTGACGGTTTAAAAACTGCGGACATCCAGTGTTCGACACGCCATTCTCGAGGCAAATTCGAAAGAAAACAAAAATCAGCATTGGGAATCGGGCGCCTCAATTTCGCGCGGGAGGTTGAGAACGCCATGGATACATGACGAAGGCTGTTTCTGAAGGGGGGGGAGGGGAGAGTGAAAGTGCAACGGGTGACAAGTACCGATGCATTCAATCACCCGCCCGCTCCCTCACGCAATTCCCTGTTGGGGTCGAAGCGCGACATTTTCCAATATTTGGTGGCTTTGGCCGGCATCTCTCCCCAACCACAAGGCGCGCGGATTTTCTTGAACACATTGCGCCACTTTGGTCTGGAGGCGCGGTTCGCCACCTGTCGTACTCGGCTTGCAACAACGATTCTCTGCGACAGTAATTTCCAAGAAATTGACGGTTTTCGTATCGCAACGCAAAGCGACTTAGTCGAGTCGCTAAGCTACATCGTACAGCTCTAAATGTCGCAAACAGGTCCACTGGCCGTCACCCGGACGTTTGAGGCTGGGTGCGATTGGGGCTTGAATGTCATATAGAAGTGATGCGACCTCATGCGACTCCACTGACATGTAATTTCCCAGCACTCTTCAACGGGGATGTTCCAAATTGTTTGGCATTTTGGTTAGCAAAAACGTAAGTTGAATGTAATTGATTTACAAGACCTTTCCATGTTGTGGCATGACCAACTCCACCAAAGCAGACCGCAGCACGTCACGATAAATAATATTCCTTATTAATAGAGACAGATTATGCAAAAGTGGAATAATATTGTACTGAAATGGCACCTGCATTTTTATACCCGAAACAGTCGTTGTGATAGAAGAGTATAAGAAATCGGTTGGGCATCGCATGCGTATATACCTTTATCGAGAAAACCAACAGTGAGTCATTCATTCCCCCCACCAACCAACCCCAACTAGAGCTTCGCGTGAAGCCCGCCTGCGCCTATTTCTTCGGCATTTTCTCCATTTTTTGCCTCCTTAGATGTTCCCATGTTCTCGACCTGATTTGTCACCACACTGATATTTTACGCTCCGGCGGTTCTATCACGTCGAGACTCGAGTCACCCTCGACTATGGCTGTTAAAAAAAAAGGCGCGCGCTTGGCAAATCATTATTCTTCTGTTGATTATCAGAACTCTTACCATCCTCCGCCGCCTAACTTATGTTCCCGTAGGAATAGGAAACGAGCCCTTCACGCGACTCTTCCGCGCGCAATTCGCGAGCCAGTTTCCAGCCTGTTTATTCTTTTATTTCTCTTCGCATTCGCCCCCTCCCTCTCTCTCTGCCAAAAGATTGACTCGACTAGTAGTTTCACGGATCTTGCGCAAGGGTCCGTATCCCCTCCAGTCCCTTCGTCTGCTCCTGATACCCTTGCCCCAAGCTCCGCGCCTTATGTAGATATAGATGGTCTCGCCGCCGACAGCGGCAACCCGGCTAGCAACGGAGTTGACAATAGCGAGTATTGGTCACCCGCTCCCGCTTCCTTACCAGCCACCTCGGACAAGGCATCCGCGGAGAAAGCGGGGGACTTGGGATCTGCGCCTGCGCCGTCGTACACAGGGTCGGGGAGTAGTGGCTCGCTAAGCAGTGGCGCGATAGTAGCTACAGTGCTTGGAGTTGTTTTTGGAATATTTATGCTGGTAGTTGTGATCTGGGTGGCTGTGGCTCGCGCCAAGAACCATGAGAGAGCTCGTGCCATATCTAGGGGAAACTTTGGGGACGTGGACCTTTAAAAGCGGAATACGTTGCTCATGCCGTATATTTTATTTCCCCTAATCAGCCAAATCCCCCGTCTACTGGGAAACAATACTTGGGAACTTGGCAAGACAGGGTTGAGATTTTTTTTTAGAAAAAAGGTTGCCAATGATGTTCAACCAGCTGTTGGAACAGGCACATTCAATACAAGTGACCCAACTGCAATTTGGCACTTCTAGCGTTCATGTGGCAAATTTGGTAATCAGAAATCGTTGCCCTATACGGCCAAGTTAGTGAAGGTGACAGAAACAAGTGATTGCCCCCATACAGTAACCGTCGCTTTTCCCGTAAACTGTTTGTATACCTTTTTGCTCAAATTCGCCGACCAGGAGGTCCTTTTGACAACCACTCGCGTGTTTCCCGCCAGGTTTGTCTTAAACCCTTGGAGATTAATCTTCACTTTCCGTTCAGTCGCTTGCTGATTCACGATGAACACCGTAACCCGCTTCTCATCCGGGCTGTAGAATGCAGTCGTTCCGTGCGCGCAGTCCGAACCTACCTTGATAGGCTTGGATCCAGGCTTGACAAGCTTGGTGAAATGCCTGAAGAGCCAAAACCGCTTATTCGGCTTGGGTGTTTTGATTGAACCCGAATGCCCAGGCCGATACTTCGACGGAAAGTCGATCATAGACCATCCGCCTCCCGTGTCGTACGCTTGCCAGTACAGGTACGCTGAAGCCTCCATGATATTGACGCTCTCGATAATATTTCGCGCCATGTACAGCGAAACGTCCCAGAAGCTTCCTTCTTTGCCGATTGGCCCTGCTTCGCTGACCCAGACGTCCTTCCCGAGCCGCTTCGCCGTTTCGCGAACGCGCCCGAAATTCTCCTCGTAAATCTTCCGCAACGTCGCTGGTGTCGTACTTGTTCATGTAAGAATGGACATTTATCCGCGATGGCAGATTAGTGTTAGCCACCTGAGGTAGCTTCGCAGTTGCCGGTGACCAGCTGTCCACACCAACCAGCTTCGTTTTAAGCCCCTTCTTCTTTAACGAGTCTGAAGTGTACTTAATGACACGCCCCATTGCCGGCGTATCAAAGGAGCAACCCTCATGCGCATTCCCCGCCTGCCAGAACCCCTCCAACGCTTCGTTGAACGGCTCCAGCGTATCGAAAGTAACACCCCACTTTTTCGCGAACTGCTCCACGACAGTCGTCAGGTAGTTCGCAAAAGCGCTCTCGTACTCTTTCTTCAGATTCGATTGCCCGATCAGCGGCGGGCCTGCAACGTCACCCGACTTGGTCATCCACCAGGGCGGGCTGTTCGAAAACGCCTCGAAGACATTCGCTCCTCTCTCCTTCGCTCCCTGCAGCACCTTCCGCTGCCGTTCGTCCGCGCTCCAATCGTACGGGCCCTTCTCCGTCGGCTTGTAACCCGGCATGCCCCGCCAATCCGTATGCTCCGTTTGATAGAACTGCGGGCTGCGTTTCTTGTCGTGCCCGCCTCCAATGTTGTAACGAACAATGTTCAAAGCGAGGTTGTCTTTCCCGAACAGGAGGTCGAGCATTTTGTTCTGCGTCTTCTGCGGCAGACCGCCGACGTAGTTCGCGAACCAGGCGAGCGAAGTGCCCCACCCTCGCCACGTGGTTCCGACAAATTTTGGCGAGACCGTGAAGTTGATGCCGCCTGTCCAGGGGTAGTAGAAACAGGGTTTCGGGTTTGAAAGGAAACGAAGACGTCACCTCATCATGAGAAGCCATGATGGCTTATACCTTGAAGGTAGTATGACCACCACAACAAGCATGAAAAGATTAGAATGAATAAAGCTGAATCAGCATGATCCATATAATCCACATGATTCCACCTGAGAACCTGCAGGTCGGGAAGATTTCGGACGACGGGTTCAGATTAGGAGGTGGCGGCTTGCGTGGACGGCCACCGCCTTTTTTGGCCGTCACTATTGCCGGATGCGAGGCAATCCCGAGGAGGGCTACGAGCAGGAACACACTGAGAGAAAAGCGGATGAACGGAATCCTGTTCATCGTGAAGCGGATGAACGGAATCCTTGTCATGGTCATAATTGTCATGAACGGGGTTTGTCTAGACAATTGCGGCTATTATTTTAGCCTGAGTCTGCTTCGCCTGCTTGCTAGTTATGATCGTCGTCGAAAGGGCTAAGATATCCTCGGAAGATAATGAAGTTTCCTGTATGGAGTCGCCAATGGGTTCCATTGCTGTTGATTAATAACCCTATATGTGCCAGTAGAGCGGTCAAGAGAGTCTTTCGCTAATACCTCCGCCTTCTTGACCTTTGGATTCGACAAACACTGCGTGCCGGGTCGCTAGACTGTTCCGGGACGACTATTCTGTCTAGTATCAGCTGGTCATTAGAAGCTGCATTACTAGCAGTAGTAGCGACTCGTATTCGTGACTCTATTAGGGTTTTGATGTTCTGCTATAAGAACTCGCGTCAAGCCGAACATTGCAGGAGTCGCGTGCGAGCAAGGGCAGGAGGGCAGAAAACTAGTAGTATGCGATGCGACGGTGTCGCTCACTTCGAGCAAGGGCAACAGCAGGAGGAGGTATGCGACGGGTGTGACTCGGTGAGCGGCGAGCGAGCGACGGGAGTCGCTCAATGCGAGCAAGTAACAACTGAGTCGCTTGCTACTGCTGAAGGGCAGAAGCTAGTATGCGACAGAGTCGTGGTCGTGGGCATGCGACGGATTTATTTGCAAGCAAGGGCATGCGACGGAGTCGTTTTGCAACCAAGGGCATGCGACGGAGTCGTTTTGCAACCAAGGGCATGCGACGGAGGTCAAGGCGAACAAGGCCAGGGTATGCGACGCGACGGGGTCGTTGAGGGCAAAGCGAGCAAGGGCTTGGCCGCTTGGTTACGAAGAGTCGCACGCACAGCGAAACGCGATGGGACCCAGTGGTCGGTTAATCATGTGCATGAACATGCATAAAGTGTATGGTTTCATGCGGCCGGATTACCGACCAAGGGTCCAACGCACATCGCGGAATCGGCAGGAGCGAATGTCGAATTTGATAACGAAGGGGACAGTGAGGGAGGGGCAGAGGGAAACAAGGTCACACGCACTTGTGGTCGGTTGGTATAGCTACACAGAAGTGTGGCAGGGCCACACAGAAGCGTGGTGCGTTGGAGTGGGTCGAGTCGGGTGGACTGGACTGCAGTGAAGGAAAAAATGCGGTAGGGGGAGGGGGGGCAACTGTTCGGTATGGGTGGGGTGGGAGGGACAGGGGCGAATTTCGAATGGACGCATGTGCGTCATTTCGAGTCGAGCCGCGTATGCAACGTGCGATGTGCGATTCGGAATGTGTGCGCTGTAACGGGCGCTGTAGCAGCACTTTTTCGTATTAGGAACAAACCAAGGGCTGGTTTTTACGAGCGCAGCGAATCAGCGACTTCGGTGGTACCAAATACATGGCAATAGCATTTCGAGCTCCGTGAAGTCTACACCTGTTTTTGAAATGGATTTAGCACTACAGGTGCGCACAGCAGGTTCTATCTATAATCTACCACCTCATGGGCATCATTCTATTCTACCCAAGGTCTATTATGGATTCCTCACAGAATCTGAGCATGCTTACAAGAGTAGTATGATTAGTACAAATAGACAGCAAAGCATCCACTCTAAGCGAAGCCATGACCAAGTCAGAAACCCAGCCTAGTGATAAGCTACCATGAAATTTCTAAAGTGCCACATTGCTGAATGTTACAGAAATGAAGGTCTGTCCCCACAGCGTGAGTGTAGCTCTCCCCTTGAACTGAGTGACCACCTTCTTGCTGAAATTCGCGAACTCAGACGTCCTCCTAACAACCACGTTGGTGCTCCCTCCCACGTTAGTCTTGAACCCCTCCAGATTAAGGGTCACTCGTCGTTGCCCAGCCTCTTGATTTACCATAAACACTGTAACTTGCGCCTCTTGGGGGTTGTAGAACGCACTCATACCGTGCTGGCACCGCGAACCTACCCTGATTGGCCTCGACCCAGGCTTGGCAAGCAGCGTGAAGTGTTTGAAGAGCCAAAACCGCCTGTTTGCCTTGGGCTGTTTCATGCGGCCATACGGCGGACGATAGTACGACGGGAAGCGAATGAAAGACCAGTGCGCGCCGAAATCGTACGCCTGCCAGATGACATAAGCCGACGCCTCCATTAGATTGACGCTCTCGATAACATTCCGCGCCATGTAGAGTGAAAGATCCCAAAAGCCCCCTCCTTTGGTTATCGGGCCTGCTTCGCTGACCCAGACCTCCTTTCCGAGCATTTTCGCAGTGTCGCGAATACTGCCGAATTTCTGCTCGTAAGACGAAGCTGCGTTTCCCTCTTCATACTTATTCACGTACGAATGAACGTTTATCCTCGTTAGTAGCTGGTGATTGTCCAGTTGATGCAGTTGGGATGTACCTCCGTACCAGCTATCCACGCCAACCAGCTTCGTTTTTAACCCTTTCCTTCTTAGCGAGTCAGAAGTGTACTTGATGACACGGCCCATTTCGGGTGGATTAAACGAGCAGCCCTCGTGATCCATCCCCATCACCCAGAACCCTTCCAGCGCCTCGTTAAACGGCTCCAGCGAATCGAATGTTACCCCCCATCTTTTCGCGAACTCAGCCACGACGGTCGTCAGGTAGTCTGCGAAAGCGCCCTCGTACTCGACTCGCAAATTCGTCGTCCTTCTCTTGCGCGAGCCTGCCACGTCACCCGTTACGGTCATCCACCAAGGCGGGCTGTTCGAAAACGCCTCGAAGACATTCGCGCCTCTCTTCTTCGCTCCCATCAGCACATTCCGCTGCCGTTCGTCTGCGCTCCAATCGTACGGTCCGTTCTTCGTCGGCTTGAAACCCGGCACACCCCGCCAATACGAATCCTGACTGAAGTCTTGGAACTGAGGGCTGAGTTTCTTATTATGTCCCCCTCCGATGTTGTAACGTACGATGTTCAAACCCAAGCCAGAAATGGGATCGAAGAGGAGGTCTAAAATCGTGGTCAGCTCCTTTTGCGGCAAGCCGCCGACGTAGTTCGCGAACCACGCGAGCGACGTGCCCCATCCTCGCCACGTGGTCCCGACGAAATCTGGCGAAATGGTAGTATTGATCGCACCTGCGACGCCACATCACGGAAGGGCACACACTGTCACTTGATCACCCACTTAACCAATGGAGCTATAGGAAGGAGGAAAATAAAACAAGACAGCAACAGGATTAGTGATATCCTGCAGTATGTCTTACCTGAGTGCGTGCAAGTTCCTAAGATTTCATACGGAGGCCATAAGTCGGGGGGTGAGGGGCGCCTTTTGCCAAATACTGCCACCGCTCTTGCAGGCGAGGCAATCTCGAGGACGGCGGCTAACGCTAGGAGGACCTGGAGGAGAGGCACGCGGAGGGACAGGCTTCTCGTCATCGTGCCAGTCGCTGGGTACTACTACAAACGAAACTTGTGAGACTGCTCGCAAAGCGGTTATTGTTGCATCGAAGTTTATACGCGACCTGGCATTTGTTGCCCACAGCATAGCACCTTCTGCCTACTACTAGGCACCTGGACAGGATCGAGTAGCTTGTCCTTCTTCCCACCTAGCCTGGGTGCACCCAAAAGGCCGAAGAAAGGAAATCTGGACCCTTGGTCGATTCTCGCGTATTGCGGCTCGAGGGAATACTTAGCGCGTGTTGGGCTGTTGCAGTTGGAGTCGAAGTGTGTGTTGTGATAATAACGTGGGGCTGACCCGCGCCAAGCACATGCAGTGTAAAACCAAGGCTGACTTGTGCCAGGCTGAAAGACCCGAAATAATCAGCCCCACCTGACCACCAAAACTTGTGCAACTAGCAGATGTCGCCGTGGTGTGCTTTCTGGTTGCGTTCTGGGGACTTTCGGGGCCTGCCCGGAGAGAAGATTGTGGTTTGTGGGTAGGGAAATCGGGTTGGTGATGTGATGATGGTTGTCAAACCGCGCGCGATTCGATCCCCCTAACATTTGCTTGCTGTAAATCGACGGATGGCTTTGCAGCAAGCGCGACGTCAAGTGGCACATTTCTCACACATCTACAGTCCTTGTATCGTGGTTCAGGACGGTTTTAACCGGTGAAAAACGTTCAATCGTGTTTACCGTTTCGCACCGTTACGAAACAAAGTCGACCGCATTGTTGTGCAACCTGACCTCGCCGTTACCGCAAGGCGGACTGAAAGATTGCATATTTGCAAATGGAACATATTTGTTGTCTATAACGGGGCAAACACAGAGATTCAGTTGATAGTGCCTGCAATATCATAATGGCTTACAAACTTCTAGCTTGCAGTGCTTGCTTGCTAAACTGAATCATCAGCAACTCCATGCCTGAAATTCCGTGCCTGCACGAGCCCTTAATCAGCAATATCGTTAAATTTAAAACCCCTAAAAAGCTTCAACCGTCAAGAATCTAGTGGAGATTATTGCGGGCTCGTGGGATCAATGAATTAGTTAGAACGGGAGTGTAGGTTGGCATGTGAAAGGGTGATGGAGGGGAGGGACGGCAACAGGGGGTAAGGGTGTTTAAACTTTATGCATAAGGGAGAGGGCGCAAAATGCAAGGCGTTGGGGTAAGGTTGGGAACCATGTTGGTAGGAAAGGAAACTGAGACCTTGTGCAACATGTTAGTAACTGAGAGCTCCTCATTCAAGCTGGACACGGAGACTTCCTTGTTTAGCCTGGTACCTCAGAGCTCCCTCTGCAAGCCATTTACTGAGACCTCCTTGAGAGTGCTGGTAACTGGGACCTCCTCGTGTATCCGCGGTTACATCTCATAGTACCGTAATTGAGAAAGTGCTCATTTCTGCATCATAGCCACAATAAACTAGTGGAACACTAATTTTTGCATTTCTACACTAACTTATTCTCCTTGAGATCAGCGGAGGAGAGGGAACCACCACCAACCATGCCAGCAGCTTCAGATCCCTCTGCTAGCTCAAACTTTTTGTCCCAGGCAGAACACAGCAATGTGGTAGGGACACCTGTAATGAGGACGCACGAGAGTACTACGGAGGAGAGAAAAGAAATCGCAAAAGAGATATGGAGCGTGAATGCGAGAACGAAAGCACCTAGTAGTAGGCCGTCGTTAGGATCTAAGGACAATGAGTGATAAGCAAAGGGCGCCTGCACATAAATAGAGACGATGGGGAGATTGCGTGAGAACGCGTCTTGGTTCTTGAAGGCATGAGGTGATGAGGGAACACGTCTGGAAGGAGGGGAGTCAAATGCAAAATGTTGCGGCGGATGGAGAATGCAACAAAAAAGTACTTACCGCAAATAACGCCAGTATTGCATTTACGACGACCACTGGAACCATGAGCGTGACAAGCAGGGCCAGTGCAGCAGCACTGGCTGTCAAAATTGGTGCAACGAAGTGCCACAGGATTGCGAGAGAGATACGCAGGGAACGAGTGCAGCCATTGCCGCTCATGGCGGCGGTGGGGAGGACGATGCACATTAGAAAGAACTGAATGAAAAGCTCTGTGCAGAGAAACAGCGCCACAAGCAGGCCGCCCGATACACCTTGACCAAAGTGAGCCAGGTAGAGGGCTGAGAGTATAAACATGCAGGCGGCTATGCTGGTGCTAGTGAAGGCAATGGCGCAACAGGTGCCTAGGGATGAGGCGCAAGCGAGGTGGAGAGTTGACTTGAAAAGCTGTAGCTGGCCTCTCAGCGTCACGCCCTGTTCACCTTCACCCGCCTGCCCGTCCCCCTGCTGCTGCTGCTGCTGCTGCTGCTGCTGCTGCTGCTGCTGCTGCTGCTGCTGCTGCTGCTGCTGCTGCTGCTGCTGCTGCTGCTGCTGCTGCTGCTGCTGCTGCTGTTGTTGCTGCCATTGATGCGGTTGCTTGTAACGTACAGTCGTGCGAAAACTGCTGCTGTGGAGTAAGTGAGGAGAGCTGAAAGCACTTGGAGAAAAAAGAGGAAAGTGAGCACCAAGAAAGCCGAAAGGCCGACCTTTGCATAAAGGCGAAAGCAATAAATTAAAGGGAGACTCAGAAACGAAGCTGCAAGCATGACGGGGAGCGGCATAATGAGGATGACCAGAGCCTTGCTGATGGCCGCATGAGCGGCGTGTGCAACAACAGAGGCAGCGAGCGGCAGGTGATGACTACAGCTCTTCACAAGGAGCAACGCAACAACACTGAGAAGCCCCAAGGCGACAAACTCGATAAAAAGGTAGAGAGGACGGTCTGTGAGCTTTAAGAAATCTATCAGCAGCAGCGCCGCCTTCCGAAATTGCAGCTCCTTTGGGGCTGAAGCGTCGAGCCGTCCTTGCAGCAGTTGACGGTGGGCAATGGAGCGGGCGGCGCCGCCCGCGGCAGCGCGGCGCACCCAACGGCCGGCGGCATGGCGCGCGGTAACGGGTACTTGGCGGCGTGCGACTATTCTGACGACGGGCACTGGCAGTGCGTGCTCAAGGAGGCCCCTCTCAGAGTCCCTCGCGGGCGCAGTGCTGCTGCCAAAAATTCTGCCTTTGCTGCTGCTGCTGCTGCTTCTGCTGCTGCCGCGTCCTTAACAGCCTCTGCTGCCACAACACCCCTTTCAACGACTACCCCCTCTCTGTTGGTCCTACTGTTGGGAATTTTCAGGATTGACGACTCCATTGCTGGATCAATGGTCTCCCCTTCCACTGCCGCATCCCTAGCAGCCTCTGCCATGACACCCCTTTCCGCTACTTCCACCTCTGTGTTACTGTTGGAGGTACTGTTGAGAATTCTCAGAATTGACTCCTCCATTGCTGGATCCATAGTTTCCCCTTCCACTATCAAGCCTCCCTTCTTGATGATGCCCCTTCCATCATGGCCCCCATTATTGAGAATCATAGTATGATGCCACCTTCCCACGTGACGATTAATCCGCCCCTCCTCTTCTTTAGAAGAGGGAGTTTTTTTAGAATTCTCAAAAATCATAGTATGATGCCACCTTCCGATGTGGCGATCATTCCGGCCTGCGTCTTCCTTAGAAGAGCGCTCTCCTATTCCTAACCCCTCGACATTCCCTCCCGCCATATTGACCAATCCGACGCTGCCTTGGTTCGTCTCGCCGCCTGTTCCCCGCGTTTCCTCTTCCGCGCGGCTTTCCGCGTTTGGCGGCGGGGGAAACGCGAGGAACCGCAGCGCGGAGCTAGCGCTCCGCAGAGCGCAAAGCACGGCGACGAGGAGTAGAAATGCCTTCAACGTGCGAGCGGAGATTTTTCGGAGACGTGAGACGAGCAACGCGGGGAAGGGGAGGCTGACGGCGAAGAGTACGAGAAACACAAGAGGGCAGAGGAGGAGAGAAAAGAGGACATTTAGGAGAGGGATTGAGGGGCTTAAGAGCGTGTTGACAAAGGCTAAGAGGCCCCCGATGACGTATACGACGAGAAGCAGGAAAAGGACGAATCGCCATCCCGCGTCGCGGTTGGGGCGTTCGTGGAGATTAAATATAGTTGACGATTTTTCGAACTCGTTCCAGCAGCCAGGATCGTCGAGGAGTTGTTGAGGAATGTGCGCCGCGGCTTTGCGAGCTTCGACCCGTTCTTCCCGCGGTCTGGTCGTTGACATTAGCGGAGGGAAATCGGCGGCGCGCGACACGAGCTCGGAAACGGTGACCTTGGCGTCATGCGCGCAGCGTTCCGCATGCTCGTGTTTTTTACCGCTTTCCGCGGGCTGCGCATGTTGAAAGAGAGGGGGAGGGGAGTCGGAGCTTTCGGCCGACTCGGAGGTTCTACTCGTTTGTGGGGCTGTTTCACTCATCAATTTTAGTTTACTAGTAGTATACGTGCTGATAATGGCTGCACGAACGCAGCTGGTAGTAATGGAAACCAACCCAACTCCGGAGACGAAAACACGCTAATAGAAGCAAGAATTATAAGTGGATTTGATAGGGGCTGCGTGGCTGGTGGTATTTAGAAGCAGGACTCATTTGAGGTGGAGTGGCAATCCATGGCGGCGAAACGCGGGGAAGCAAGGAAGCGAAGGGAAGGCACGAAAAAGGGGCGATAGACGAAGGCAATGCAGGGAAAGGGGCGAAAAGATGGGATGAGCAGGCATGGCAAGATTCGGATGGGGAGCCTGAGCTGATTGGTGCGCGAGGTCCGCGACATTCCAACGCTGAAGTGGAAGAATTTCGCCAAGCTAAGCTGACTGTCGGGAAACTCTTGTTTCGCATGACTACGGCGACTATTGCGAGGATTTCGTTGCAATGCTGGACTGAAATCGCGGATGCCGTGGGTTGGGATTAGAGTTGTCGGCTGTTGTTGACCTGAAAGTTCCGCATACATAAATACTGCCTAAAGCGGGTAACGTTTGTAGTAGGTTAATACGTAAAAGCATATTGCTAAAGCTGAATAGTTCGCAAACCCAATCCAAAAATACCTGCCTGATTGAGTCATGCTTCCTCAAATGGATTAATTTGAACATTTGCTGACACAATTATTTGATTGGTTATGAATATTGAACTCCACCATACAGGTGGTCAGAGTGGATCGTTTGGAAACCTATAACCTAGTTGTAAGGTGCGTGTAATTGGTTGGCTGCAGTTGCCATGGCAGTTCCTGCAATGTAGCCTCCAGTCCACGCATTCTGTAAGGGGGTGCATACACATCACGAGAAGAAAACAGGTTTATAAAATTAGTCGGTAACACATATATCTACGAGTGCAAACATCAATATTCTTGCACGCACTGCAGTGCCGCTCGGACAAAACTGGTACATTGAAATATTTTGCACCGCTTGTGCATAACCATGCAACAATCGAATGTTCCCATGTGTTTGGATGCATGCGCACCCAGACACATGCATATGTATGCAAACATGTATGGTGCAGAATGTACATGCATGGGTGTGAGTGCATCGATGTGTCTATGAAAACATGCATGCAAATACATGATGCTAAGGTGTGTAGGCAAAAGCTAAGAAAAACACCTGGAAATTGAAGCCTCCTGTGATTCCATCCACGTTCAGTATCTGTGTCACAGCAAAGGAATTAAACAATAATAAAAACGTTTCCCGAAGCATCAACGAACATAGTACATCCACATAGGTCGTTGCTCAGGTCCTAGGAAGCTGGGAGCTAACGACCTCACAGGTCGTTGCAGGCCTCTCCTACAAAGTAAGGCTGGGAACACCGCGACTCTCCGTTGTTGAGATGGGAGGGGGTGATGAGACGGAGAGTGATAAGGGAGGGGGTGATGAGACGGCCCGGAGGGGGCGCTGCTGTCTGCTTCCCTGCTCAAGAAAAGCTCACCTTGCTTGCTCCCCTGTACAAAAAGGCCTCACCTCTCCAGCAAAGAAGAGGTTGGGAACGAGACGGCTCTCCATTGTTGCGAGATTGACCTTGAGGTGTGGCACGGGATGGGGGGGGGGGGGGAATGGGGGAGGGATAGGGAAAAGAGGTGAGGGGAACGGGAGAAGAGGGCTTTAACAAGAGTAAAGCAAAGGAGAGGTTGGTAATGAGTCGAGTCTCCATCGTGGTGAGATTGACCAGGATGTGTGGCATGGGATGGCTTTTGAGGCGCCTCAAAAGTCGTCTCTTATTCCGACAGCAGCACCCGCAATTTTCAGATTGACCAGGAGGTGTGGCATGGGATGGGGGAGGACATGGGGGAAGGGATGGGAAAGACAGTGGAGGGAAGGGCTTGCGGAGAGACTCGGGAAGCAACAAGGGAGAGATGAGGGAAGGGATCTGGAAAGGAGCGCAATGGGGGAAGCCGTGAAGAGGGTGAATGTTAAGGGATCGAAGGAGAAGAGGGGCGGAAGGAGAACGAACAAGGGAAGTAGAAAAAGGAGGAGAGGAAGAAGAAAAAGGAAGGAGGAAAAATACCTCTTTTAGAGGAACACCACCTGCAGTCACAAACTCGTCCTTGAATCGACCCTGCAGGATAGAGGAGAGGAGAGGAGAGGAGAGGAGAGGAGAGAAGAGGAGAGGAGAGGAGAGGAGAGGAGAGGAGAGGAGAGGAGAGGAGAGGAGAGGAGAGAGGAGAGGAGAGGAGAGGAGAAAGAGGCAGAAGGACCAATGGGAGGGAAGAAGCATGCGGGAGGAAGAAAGGCTGGAAGCAAGGGGGGATTGAATGACAAATTACAAAATTAAAGGATTTATATATTTATATACACGGAAAAACTGGGCGGAAAGGCCAAGCTCTCCTCACCTTCCCTGCAACTGCTAGCTCAGCTTTGTGGATGATGTCAGCAAGGGCGAGCAAATGGGCTTTTGACACGTGTGCCCAGAGGGTATCTGGATGGATAGCCTTCGGTGGTTGAGTGGAAGGGAGTGGCGGGGTGGGGGGAGAGGAGGAAAAGTAGAGAGAGAGGGGAGGGCAGAAGAAGGGACCAAGTGTGGGGGCACCTATAAATAAACATTTTTGAGGCACCTCAATCAAGAACCAAGTGCTGAGGCGGGCAGATGTTAAAACTTTAAGATGCCGTTAAACAACACCTTCAGACGCATTTATCATCATCAACACTTTTGAGTGCCCTCGTTATACAGATACTTGAGGTGCCAAAAACGAAAGTGCACTTGGGGACTACAAGAGAAATGGTTTTGCCAATTGTACCATTGTTACTCACAACACGATCAAGCAGGTAGCACCAGAACCTTCTGGGAAGGTTCAGCTCCACCGGGGCAGTGGTGCCGATTTGTTTTTTCTGCCAGTGTCACAGGGAGGAAACAGGCGAGACAGTGAGCGAGTGAGTGAGCGAGTGAGTGAGTGAGTGAGTGAGTGAGAGAGTGAGGGAGGGAGTGAGTGAGGGAGGGAGTCAATAAGCGGCATTTGTGTCAAGAGGTGACTTTTGAAGCAGTTAAAATGGCTTGTGTGAATTTTGGAGGGGCCGAGCGAGCATGACCAAGAATATGCAGTGGGGAGGAAACTGGTTTGTTGAAGGAAACGGAAGGTGGAAGACTTCTGAGGCGCCTCAAAAGTCAAAAGTCGCCCAAACAATATCCAGTGGGGAGGAAACTGGTTTGTTGAAGAAAACGGAAGGTGGAAGAATTTCCTATTTTTCTATAAAATCACCTGAAGTGATGATTTGGCAGCAGTTAGTGCGGAGAGGAGAGCAGCAGCGGAGAGATGAGGGGTAAAGTCAGCCACTAAGGTTGCTGGTGGGGTGGTAGGAGGGAGGGAGGGAGAAAGTGGGTAGGTGGGAGGGAGGGAGGGAGGGAGGGAGGGAGGGAGGGAGGGAGGGAGGGAGGGAGGGAGGGAGGGAGGGAGGGAGGGAGGGAGGGAGGGAGGGAGGGAGGGAGGGAGGGAGGGAGGGAGGGAGGGAGGGAGGGAGGGGGAGGAGGGAGGAGGGAGGGAGGGAGGGAGGGAGGGAAGGAGGAGCAGGAATACATGACTGAGAAGCAGAAAAGACCGGCAAAGAAACGCATACAAAGAAGAAAATACCGGCAACCCCTGAGCCTTCTTCGGCCACCCCAACCCAGCCACCCCAACCCACCAGTGTAAGCAGAGGCGTGCAGATTTCGAGATGCCCAGGCCGACAGTTTCAGCACTGCAGGGCCGCTCACTCCCCAGTGCGTGAACAGCAGGGGCCCTCGCTGCGTGAAGGAAACTTCCTTGCCGTTCCGCTGCTTGGACTTGGTTTTGCCAGTGGTGGCAGCGGTGGCAGGAGCAGTGGCAGAGGCAGCGGCAGCAGTAGTAGTAGTAGCAAGAGTGTCAGGAGCACCAGTGGTAGTGGTGATGGTGGTGGCAGCAGTAGTGGTAGAATTGAGGGGTGCCAGGGGGAGGAGGAAGGGGAGGATGGAACGAGCAGCTTGAAAGAAACGTCTTCTAGAGACACCTGGTTTGATGGGTATGGCAAGACAGACAGAGAGAACGAATGGAGTCACCCACTCAGTCATTCATTCACTCACTCACTCACTCACTCACTCACCCACTCACTCACCCACTCCCTCCCTCCCCACTCACTCACTCACTCCCTCCCTCCCCACTCACTCACTCACTCATCCACTCGCTCACCCACTCACTCCCTCACTCACCCACTCACTCACTCGCCCACCCACTCGCTCGCCCACTCACTCACTCACTCACTCACTCGCTCACTCACTCCCTCCCTCCCTCACTCACTCCCTCACTCACTCACTCACTCCCTCATTCACTCACACATGCACTCACTCACTCATCCCTGCGAGAGCAGTGAGAGCAGCGCCAGGGATGTTGAAGGTGAAGAGGGAAAATGGCAAGGTGGAACACACTTACAGCTTAGAGAGGAGAATAAAAAATAAGAACACACTCACTTATTCACTCACCCACCCACTCACTCATTCACTCACTCACCCCTGCAAGGGCAGTGAGAGCAGCGTCAGGGATGTTGAAAGTGAAGAGAGACGGGCAGGGAGGGACGATTCTGTGAGCTCACTCACTCACTCGCTCGCTCACTCACACATCCACTCACTCACTCACCCCTGCTAGAGCAGTGAGAGCAGCGTCAGGGATGTTGAAAGTGAAGAGAGACGGGCAGGGAGGGACGATTCTGTGAGCTCACTCACTCACTCGCTCGCTCACTCACACATCCACTCACTCACTCACCCCTGCTAGAGCAGTGAGAGCAGCGTCAGGGATGTTGAAAGTGAAGAGAGACGGGCAGGGAGGGACGATTCTGTGAGCTCACTCACTCACTCGCTCGCTCACTCACACATCCACTCACTCACTCACCCCTGCTAGAGCAGTGAGAGCAGCGTCAGGGATGTTGAAAGTGAAGAGAGACGGGCAGGGAGGGACGATTCTGTGAGCTCACTCACTCACTCGCTCGCTCACTCACACATCCACTCACTCACTCACCCCTGCTAGAGCAGTGAGAGCAGCGTCAGGGATGTTGAAAGTGAAGAGAGACGGGCAGGGAGGGACGATTCTGTGAGCTCACTCACTCACTCGCTCGCTCACTCACACATCCACTCACTCACTCACCCCTGCTAGAGCAGTGAGAGCAGCGTCAGGGATGTTGAAAGTGAAGAGAGACGGGCAGGGAGGGACGATTCTGTGAGCTCACTCACTCACTCGCTCGCTCACTCACACATCCACTCACTCACTCACCCCTGCTAGAGCAGTGAGAGCAGCGTCAGGGATGTTGAAAGTGAAGAGAGACGGGCAGGGAGGGACGATTCTGTGAGCTCACTCACTCACTCGCTCGCTCACTCACACATCCACTCACTCACTCACCCCTGCTAGAGCAGTGATAGCAGCGTCAGGGATGTTGAACGTGAAGAGAGACGGGCAGGGAGGGATGATGGATGGAGGGACATTGGAGGTGAGTATTGAGTTCAACGACACACTCACTCACTCACTCACTCACTCACTCACTCACTCACTCACCCCTGCAAGAGCAGTGAGAGCAGCGTCAGGGATGTTGAAAGTGAAGAGGGAGGGGCAGGGAGGGATGATGGAGTGACCAAGGGATGCTGCCATGTCGTGACCCTGGGGGAGCAGAGAGCGGTGGGGAGGGATGAGAAGGGGATATGAGGGGTGAGGACGGTTGGGAAGGGGTGAGGAGGAATGATGCCATGGGATGCCTGGGGGGATTGAGAAGCGTGAGAAGAGGTAAGACGGGTAGTGAAGGGAGGAAGTGTGAGGAGGGTGAGGATGAGGGGTGATGGGGGGTGTTTAGGGGTGTGTAGGGGTGTTGATGGGTGATAAGTTGAAGAGGAAAGTACAGGCAGGGATGATGGTAGGACCGTAAGGAAGGCAAAAGTACTTGCTGAAATCAGTAAACAACATCAAATGAAGTTCTGAAATTACCCTGAAACAAAGGTCTAATACCTTGATTGACCCACCGGTGGCGATAAGAACAAAATCGGCCACGAGGGAGAGGGGAGAGGTGGAGGAGGAGGGAGAGGAGGAGGGAGAGGAGGAGGGAGAGGAGGAGGGAGAGGAGGAGGGAGAGGAGGAGGGAGAGGAGGAGGAACTGTTGATGCGTGTTGTTGGAGCCTTCTTGGAGGAGGTGACGAGGAACTGGCCTGAAGAGGTGCGAGCGATGGATGCTACGGGCCAACCGGGGGAAATGGTCACTGGGGGAAGCGGGGACGGAGGGGCGAGGCAGGGAGAGGGCACGGAGAGAAGGCACGGAGAGGAGGCACGGAGAGAAGGCACGGAAAGGAGGCACGGAGAGAAGGCACGGAAAGGAGGCACGGACAGGAGGCACGGAGAGGAGGAGCTATTGATAATCGTTGGAACCTTCTTGGAGGAGGAGATGAGGAACTGGCCTGCAGGGGTGTGAGTGATGGATGCCACAGGCCAGCCAGGGGAGATGGCCACTGGGGGAGGGACGGGTGGAGAAGAGGGGATCCAAGGATGCAGAGACGGGGAGTGAGAGAGCGGGTCTGCCGGAACTGGTCCGAAGGGGTGTGAGCGATGGATGCCACGGGCCAACCAGGGGAGATGGCCACTGGGGGGAAGGGGGGGCGTATTTATTTGAGAATTCACCTGAACATGCACCTGAGAACCACTTTCGAGAATTCTAAAAAGTGATTCCCGCATGTGAGCAAGCACACAAAAAGGTACCTGAGAGTTGATGGGCTTGTGAGAGCAGGCAGTCAATAACCGACTGGGAGGAATCTGAGACAGGGAACATGCGCCCGTCTGGCTCGGTCTGCCATGGGGATGGGGGTTGAGGGAGGAGAGTGGGGTGGGGATAGTGCGTTGGTGAGGTTGAGACGAGTGAGTGACGGCAGGCAGTCAATGACCGACTGGAAGGAATCTGAGCCAGGGAACATGCGCCCGTCTGGCTCGGTCTGCTATGGGGATGGGGGGTTGAGGGAGGAGAGTGGGGTGGGGATAGTGCGTTGGTGAGGTTGAGACGAGTGAGTGACGGCAGGCAGTCAATGACCGACTGGGAGGAATCTGAGACAGGGAACATGCGCCCGTCTGGCTCGGTCTTCGCAAAAAAAAAAATTCCTAAGCTGCAGCTCGCCTAGTCTAATGGCTGAAGGTAATCTGAGACAGGGAACATGCGCCTGTCTGGCTCGGTCTGGCCTGGCAGGGGGGTCAGGGGGCAACGAGGGGGGGAAGTGGAAGGGAGTATGCAGAGAGTGAAGGGGTGAGGGACTGAGAGCAGGCAGTCAATGACCGACTGGGAGGAGTCTTACACAGGGAACATGTGGCCATCTGGGCCAGTCTGAGATGGGGTGCGAGGGACTGTTGTGATCAGAGCAAACTGGCAGCAGGCAGGCGATTGTCCTGGCCTGGAAGCACAGTCTGATTTGTTTTCACAGCCGCATGCGCATCCCTAGAAGCACAGATACAGTGTTGCACCAGCCATATGCACGCATACCTTAAGGGGCATCCCTTGTTGTGTGAACCACTCGACTGTGTCTGTCTGATGGACCGTGTGCGTTCGGAAAAAAGGAGCTTTATGGAGCCACGGTGAGAGCAGCAAGAGAGGCATATGGTAGGAGCGTGAAAGGCCTGGAGGCATAAAAGACAGGCGCACGCACCTTAAGGGGCACCCCTCGCTGTGTGAACCACTCGACTGTGTCTGCCGGACCATGCGTTCGGAAGAAGGAGCCTTTGAGCTCCCGATGGCCTCGTGGGTAATGGGAGGAGAGGTGCTGGGGTGGGAGGAATGGGCAATAATGACGCAGAGAAGAGGAGAGGGAGAGGAGGTAGCGACGCTGAAACAGCATGACAGGAAGGACAGTTGAGGCGCCTCAAAAGGTGATGCAGGGAAGCGGAGAAGGAGCGTGTGTTTTTTGAGAATTCTCAGAAGGCAGGGAGTGGGAGAATTCTCAAAAAACACACGCTCAAGGTGATGCGGGGAAGCGGAGAAGGAGAGGAGAGGAGAGGAGCTGAGAGGAGAGGAGAGGAGAGGAGAGGAGAGGAGAGGAGAGGAGAGGAGAGGAGAGGAGAGGCGACTTTTGCGTCGATTAAAAAATCACCTCTGGATGGAACAGAAAGAGGTGCTAAAACAGCATGACAGCAACGACAGTTATCCATGCAGGAGCAGTATGTTACAAGTTACTTGCTTCGTCTTACAGGCTGCGGGTTCCAAAGTGCAGGTTACATCTTCCACGTAACAGGTTACACGCCCCACATTACAAGCTACGTGTTCCAGACTACGAGTTACATGTTCCACAAAACAAGTTACATGTTAAATGGTAACACATAACATTACACAAGGTGCACGTACTATGGGGTTGGCTGAGAGGCCTGTTGACTTTCGAGTCAACTCAAAAGTCACTGCATTACATGTTACACGGTAACATGTAACATTATATTTACAAAGTGCACGTACTATGGGGTCGGCTGCGAGGCCTGTTGTGACGTTGCAGCGCCCGCCTCCTGATATGCGCACCTGACGCATGGGAGGGAGGAGAGGAGGCATGGGGTAAGCATTGGAAAGATATGACTTTTGAGTCGACTCTAAAAGAGGCTGTAAGGCCTGTGGTGATGTTGCAGCGTCCGCCTCCTGATATGCGCACCGGATGCATGGGAGGAGGCATGTGGGTAGGCAGGTAGGACACGAAATGGCATGAGAAATGGTGCAGTACAGAGCGGGGTGCAGTGCGGTGCGGTGGTGTGCTGTGCTGCGAGGCCTGTTGTGATGTTGCAGCGCCCGCCTCCTGATATGCGCACCTGATGCATGGGAGGAGGCATGTGGGTGGGGATATGAGATGGCATGAGACATGGTACGGCACATCGTATCAAGCCAAACACTCCCGGTGAAAAAAAGTTGACTTTTGAGACGTCTCAAAAATGGCATGAGGCATGGTACAGTACATCTTATATCTGAGAATCTCAATAATGGCATGAGGCATGGTACAGTACATCATATCATACCAGCTCTCCCCTAAATCCCTCCCCTTTCCCCACAACCCTCTCTCATTGCTCTTACCTTCCCCAGCGGTTGACTCTTCTCCACCACCCGGACCTCCAAGCCAGGAGCCATCTCCTTGGCTCCCACTCCCATCCAAACACCCAGCTGCCCCAAATTCAATCCCCTCCTCCTCCCCCTCTCTCTCACCTTCCCCAGCGGTTGACTCTTCTCCACCACCCGGACCTCCAGCCCAGGAGCCATCTCCTTGGCTCGAATCGCACCAAACACGCCCGCCGCGCCTCCCCCGATCACAACCAGCCGAAGCGGGCGCTTTTCCTCGCCAACCTTGTGCCCCTGTTCTTCCACCGCTTCCCCCTTCCCCGCCGCTTCCCCCCTCCCCGTCGCTTCTCCCTTCCCCGCTAGTTCCCCCTCACCCCCCTTCTGAGCATTTGCGTTCATCCCATTGCTGTGGCTGTTGCTTGTCGTCGAACTAGAGGTCTCCCGACTGGTAACCCCATTTCGCGTGTTACAAACTACGCGAAACTTCGCCTGGAGCCAAGCGCTGCGGGAATTCGTCTCAAAGGTCGCCTTATTCGCCACTATCCCACTGCTGCGACTCGGAATCGAAAGAGATTTCTTTGATTCCCCAAAAGACGTTGATGTGCGAACTAGCCGATCTGGTGCGAAAGACGGCGCAACAGGCAATGTTGTAAAATGAAGCGCGCCAAACCGGCTTGCCGTCAAGGCAACGGTCAGCCGGCTACCTGAAACAGGCGACAGGCGGCTAAGCCGAATCCCTATGTCCATCGTCATATCTTTCAATACATGTCAACGCCGTCAATGCAGCCAACCCCAACAGGGCCCTGTAACTACACGTCTGGACCGCGCAGGAACAGCGTCTTACATGAGCAGAGATATTCCTGAAAGATAGAGCCTCCTGAATGATAAGAGGCTCCTGATTCCTGGGATCTCCGCCAGGGTTGAAGCTTGTAAGGCAAATTCCTGTTGGAGGAGAACAGACAACTTGGAGGGTGAAACCGGAAACCCAACTCCAGCTCTCCTGACCGAACTCTACCGCTTCTTTACCCAAAAAACTGAATGCCAAACTGAAATCCCAGGTCGAACCCAAACCGAGCACCAGCCGCCAAACCCCCGTTTCCCGCCCAACGCTTCAACCAAAGCTTCAAGGCCGCGTCCCGGACCTGGATTTACGCTTGATCTCCGGCTCGGCAGCTCGTAGCCGTACCCAACATTTCTATTATCTATTTAAACCGTTATGCAGCTCAAAACATCCTCTACATCCCTATAGTTGGCCACTCGGCCTTTTATTAGAGCCGTCATACCCGTCCTTAGAACCCTTGGAATCGTGCCATTTTGCCATCAAGGGGTAGGATATCAACAGGAAATTTACCCCGAAAACACCTGAATGACGACGTCTTCTTCGTTTTCAAGCAGACGGAGATCAGCGAAGCCTTATGGATTGGGTGAGACTCACTACGATGCTCTCTGTATAGCTCGAAGCGCGAGTCTGGACGAGATTCGTCGTAATTTCCAAGAAGCAGCGCTGTTGTTGCACCCAGACAAACAGCAGCAGCAACAGGAGCATCAGAACCAGGAGAAGGAGCAACGGCAGCTGGAAGGCGAACAGATTCACGAGGATCTGGAATTACTGGTGCATGCTATCGGCGATGGCATTTCCAACGGTCGGGAGCAACGGTTTCAGCGCGTGCACGCAGCGTGGTCTGCTCTGCGAGATTCGTCCACGCGCGCCGAATACGATCGCGTGCTTATAGGTGCGTGATTCAACCAGTCGGTCTTTTCATGGGTAGGATTCAGAAGCTGATTCATGATTTACCCAAATTACCCGATTTTCTTGTAATAATTCTCTCGTGCAGAGTCGGACAAACGGGCGGCGGCACTGGCTCTGGTGCAGCAGGGCTGCTACAGCCGGAGCTACAGTGCTGGCTGCTACAGCTCCACCAAAGGTGGCTACAGTCCCAACTCTGCAAATGGTTGTCACTTACAAGAAAGGGAGAGACAAAATGGGGTGAGGCTAGGTGGTGTGGAGGAAGGGCAGAGGGAAAATGGTGAAGTGGCAGCGACACCCACAGCAGTAGAGGGGACCAAAGGAGGAGGAGTAGGAGGAGGGAGTGCAGGAGGAAGGGCAGCATCAGTGGCCCAAGAAGCAGCAGGAGCTAGCTGTGGTGGTGCAACGTCGTGTGCTGATGGGATAAGCATAGACGACATGACATGGGAGGAGGAAGAATAAGAAGAAGCAGACGAAAAGGCAGAACGCGGAGAGGAGGAAAAAGAGGGGGCTGTGGGAAAGTGTGACAGTGGGAAGGGGGGAGAAGGACGGGAGGGAGGAGGCGGGGAGGCCTACAGGAAAGGTGTGTTTGTGGCCGAGTGTCGGTGTGGGGATGTGTTTGCTCTGGAGGCACAGGAGGTGGTTCAGGCTCTAGGTATAGAAGGAGTGGCTCCTGGGGGTAAAGGATCGGTGGTTTGTAACAAAGGATCCAGGACGGTGAGAGGGGAAGGTGGGGGGAGTGCTGGAGGTGTGGGGGCAGAGAGACATCCGGATGGAGGGGGAGTGGGAGAGGGGGGAGTAGGATGGGGGAACGAAGGGGTTGGGGAGAGGAGTAGGGAGGAGGGAGGAGTGGGGGTGACGGGAAATGGTGGGGTTCCTGGTAAGGGTGTGGAGATTGTTGTTCCTTGCTGCTCCTGTTCGTTACATTTGCTTGTGTTAGCACATGTGAACTCAAGATCGTTACGAGTGATTATGGGAGAAAATTAGCTTGGGATATGTTGTGCGATTTTCTGCTTCGATGTTGACAACTTGACTACCCTCTAGTATGTAGGCTGCATGGTGAAATTGACATAAGCCGTACCGGAGAGGTTGGGTACCATCATAACCTGAGACTTGCTGTGCCTGGTTTTCAACTTGTTGCACATGCTAGCCTGCTTCGGCTTGAGCCCTTTCTGCAATGATGGTGACAACTCGCAAACGTTGGCATCCCATGTAACATTAGTGCTTGAGGATATGCGTGCAAGACACAGACCATTAGATATAATTGGGGAGCAAGAATGAACAAATAACCAAGTATACTTGTGTAACACAGACAATTTGTGTGACATGTATGAATAGGGAGCGCCATAATCCAAAGAAATAACTGAAACGTAATGCTTTTTCTGCTCTGGTACGTGTGTGAGGGTGTAGCTTGCTATGAAAAATCCCTCAACCTCTACAAGCGCATAATAATTGCTAGATTTTCTCGAAGCGCCCTCGATTCAGTCAGTGCGTCGGAGCCATGTCGAATGGTTCGAATCGCACGCAATTCGTATCGTCACATTTCTCGCCCATTTTCCACGCATGCAAGTGGATTTTTCCAACATCCTCCCCCTTGCACGTGGCCCAGGGCGTGCATTTCATACTACCCACCCAGCCCTTGTTCATTCTCCCAACCCAGCCTACCCATCCCACCATCCCCCCTGCCCCTCATCAGTACAACACAACCCCCAAGTTCACTTCCTGCTTCAGCCGACGCTGCGCGCGCGAATCCATCGATACGCGCTCGCTCTCGTCTGATAGAGATGCCCGCGATAGAGACACGGTGCGGCGAGGACCTTGGGGTAGATCCCCTTACTACGCTGCTACCAACCGATGATAGCACAGCTAGTACAGGAGCTCTGTTGGAGCCAGCCCCTCGCTCCTGCTACATGTACTGTCTCCTGCACTGCGCGTTCCCGCTTCGTGAACATTGGACATCAAAATATCCAGCCTAGTAATCATAGAACCAAGGCTGGGTGATTCTCGCTTAGAAGTTCCCTAGAAAGTAAGCACGATGACGAGGCGTTTGATCATTGGCGGCATGCCTTTTACAGTCCTCCTATTTCTAGCCATTTTCGGGAGTGCCGCGCACCGAAAAAACAGTGGTGGCGGCATGGGCGGTTGGCAGCAAACGAGGTCCGCCTCCCGATCTAATGCCCAAGGAAGAATTGCTATCCACCTGCAAGTTCCCAGGTACGCTAGTGATATTACAACCTGCTAGTTTGATATTAGTCAACTCAAAACATACGACGGCAATACCGGCTGCATCCAAGTATCGGTTTTCACGCACTCAGCAACCAACGAAATCCATTTTGTTCCATTTTTAACGATTTCCTTGCAGGTGCGATCAATCTCACAATTTCGCCAGAGTTCATCGGGACTACGTGGCGAGGGTGGGGAACTTCGCTCTCGTGGTTCGCGAATTATGTCGGCGGCTTGCCGCAGCAGCAGCTGACCGCGATGCTTGACCTTATCTTCGACCCCATCAACGGGTTAGGTCTGAACATCGTGCGTTACAATATCGGAGGGGGACACAACGAAACACTCAGCCCGCAGTTTCATCAAAGCTTACAGGCGTACTGGAGGGGAATGCCGGGTTACAAGCCAACAAGGTACGGTCCGTACAATTGGAACGCAGACAAAAGGCAGCGGAACGTGCTGCTGGGTGCGAAGGCGAGAGGTGCGAATGTCTTTGAGGCGTTTTCAAACAGCCCGCCTTGGTGGATGACCCAGTCGGGTGACGTGGCAGGTGCGTATTCGAAAGGGAGAACAAATCTGCTACCTCAGAACGAGAAGGCTTTCGCAGACTACTTGACGACAGTCGTGGCGGAGTTCGCGAAAAGGTGGGGGGTTACTTTCGATGCGTTGGAGCCTTTTAACGAGGCGCTGGAAGCTTTTTGGAAGGTCGGAAAGGAACACGAGGGGTGTACATTCAACCCGCCCGAGATGGGGCGAGTCATCAAGTACACTTCAGACTCGTTACGAGCGAAGGGATTGACAACGAAGTTGGTAGGGGTGGACAGCTGGGATGGCACGACAGCGGTGCTACCTTTGATTTCGAATCATGAGCTACTAACGCGGATAAACGTTCATGCGTACGTTAATCAGTACTTTAAGGAGGGTGTGGCTTTGACTTACGAAGGCAGATTTGGCAGCATACGCGACACGGCGAAGCTGTTGGGGAGGGAGGTGTGGGTTAGCGAAGCGGGAGCATTAAGCAAAAGCGGGAGTAATTGGGACCTTTCACTGTACATGGCGCGAAACGTTATCGAGAGCGTCAATATCATGGAGGCTTCGGCGTACCACGTCTGGCAGGCGTACGATTTCGCGGCGCATTGGTCACTTATCGATTTCCCGCCGGATTATCCACCTGGGTATCGTGGCGAAATGGCGATGCCTAAAGCGAACAGAAGGTTTTGGGTTTTCAAGCATTTCACCATGCTTGCCAAACCTGGATCCAAGCCGCTGAAGATACGCTCGGATTGTTGGCACGGCATGAGCGCATTCTACAGCCCCAGCCAAAAACGGGTTACGGTTTTTATCGTGAATCAGAAGGCGGAGGACAGGAAGGTGATGATTAATCTAGACGGATTTAGAAGGAACGTGGGGGGAGCTACCAGGGTCGTTGTAAGGCGAACTACTTGGTCTACGGATATCAACCGCAGGGTGTACACACAGGAAGTAGCTAGACTGACAGTATGGGGACAGAACTTCGTATCTGTCACCTTCACTAACGTGTCGCAATGATAGTGTTTGTAGTATGCTCGTTCTGCAGCAATCATCACTATTTGCTGACTCCTTCGCCCCAGCTACGGTATTACCCCTAGAATGTTAGTTTCCATCCAGCAGCTAGAGTTAGGGAATTCTGTCATTATTGATCATGGATTAGGCAGGTATGTTGAGCTTTGACTCTCACAGATGTTTTCCATTAGCCTTAACATGGCATATTCAACGCTTCATAGTCCATACAGGTAATCTACTGCCACATACACTCATCTCTTTACTATACTTCTCAATCTGTCTCAGGCGGCAGTGGGAGCCCTGGCCTCAGTACATGGCAGAGGGCAGGGCCTTGAGTAAACAGCACCCCATGAGTGTCTAGGTGCCCTGGAAAGATAAAAGGGAGGGGAGGCTTGCCTAAGAGAGAATCATGTTTGACCAGGCGTGCTGGTTTAGGATAAGATTCTGTGCCAAGATTGAGTTGGGTAGGTATGAAAAATTTTTATTTGACGTTCAGCAACATGTTTTTGGACGACTCTGATTGTATAGCATGCCCACCAATTTGGGGTTGTGGCATTCATGCATAGAGTGCAGGTAACAATGAGTTTCTAATCCTTGAAATGTTCAGCTCAGTGCATTAGTTAAATCCAATATACAAACAACTGAGGGTGGTTCACAGTTCACAGAAAACCGAGGCATGTCACTATCGAGCTTCACCAACTCCTCCAAGCTGGTGCGAATATACTGTACTGGGGCTTTGCGGGTATCCACGTGTTCTTCAAAAACTGGATTTTCTCGCATCGCTCTCGATACAGTGGACTCGCGTCGCAGATACAGCAAATCTGCCCACATTTCACCCCACTGAACCATTCTCTCTCTCACCTGACAACCCCTCCACACCCTACCCCCCTCTCCACTACTTGTCTGTCACACTTGCTCTTTCCCCCTTGCTCTGCCCTCTTTCAAGCATATGCCCCTCCCTTTCCCCTAACCTGTCTACAACTTGCTTCAGCCGGCAATGCGCGACGCAAATATATCGAGTCGCGCTCTAGTCACACCGCACGAGAAAGTACCATACTAAGAGATGGCCGCCATAGGGACACGGCGCGGCGAGCTCCTTGGTGTAGATCCCCTTCTTACGCTGTTATGAACCGACGACAGCACAGCACAGCACAGCTAGAACAGTGGCTTCGTCGGAGCGAGCCCCTCGCACTTACTCCTCGCTTAGCAGTGCGCTAGAAAATCAGCACGATGAGGAGGAGCGAGCTTCTTCGCAGCGTGACTTCCAGTGTCGTCGTAATTCTAGCGCTCCTCGAGATTGCCGCGCACGCGAAAACAGTGACCGCAACACCCGGGAATGGCAGCATGCAGAGTCCGCCCCCCTATCTAGAGCCCAAAGAAGAATTACTACCCACCTGCAAGTTTCCAGGTACACTACTATTGCCTGCCAGTTCGTAGTAATGACTCGACTCAGAAAACTTTCGAAGTGACTCAGAACACGCGATGCTAGCAAGGGTCGCCCCCAGCTGTACGGAAGACGCGCTATCCACCTTCACGTTACCGATCTGAGCATGCTTCACATGCATTCGGCAAACAACGAATTTTATATCTGTGGCATGCTTCACGTGTTGCTTGCAGGTGAGATCAATCTCACAATTTCGGCAGACTTCATCGGAACCACGTGGCGCGGGTGGGGGACTTCGCTCGGGTGGTTCGCGAATTACGTCGGCGGCTTGCCGCAGCGGCAGCTGACCGCAATTCTCGATCTTATATTCGATCCCATCAACGGGTTAGGCCTGAACATCGTACGTTACAACATTGGAGGGGGACACAACGATACACTCAGCCCACAGTTTAATCAGAGCTTGGAGGCGCATTGGAGGGGCATGCCGGGTTACAAGCCGGCAAAGGACGGGCCGTACGATTGGAACGCAGACGAACGGCAGCGGAACGTGCTGCTAGGAGCGAAGGCGAGAGGAGCGAATGTTTTCGAGGCGTTTTCGAACAGCCCGCCTTGGTGGATGACCGTAACGGGTGACGTGGGAGGTGCGGTATCAAAAGGGGAGACGAATATGCTGCCGGAGTACGAAGACGATTTCGCAGACTACTTGACGACAGTCGTGGCGGAGTTCGCGAAAAGGTGGAGAGTTACTTTCGATGCATTGGAGCCGTTTAACGAGGCGCTGGAGGAGTTTTGGAAGACAGGAGATGATCATGAGGGGTGTACATTCAATCAGCCCGAGATGGGGCGAGTCATAAAGTACACTTCAGACTCGTTACAAGCGAAGGGATTGACAACGAAGTTGGTGGGAGTGGACAGCTGGGATGGAACGACAGCGCAGCTACCTAAGATTTCGAATCATGAGCTATTAACGCGGATAAACGTTCATGCGTACATCAATCAGTACTTCAAGGAGGGTGTGGATGTGACTTACGAGGTCAGATATGGCAGCATACGCGACACGGCGAAGCAGTTGGGAAGGGAGGTGTGGGTTAGCGAAGCGGGAGCGTTAGGCAAAAACGGGAGTAATTGGGACCTTGCACTGTACATGGCGCGAAACGTTATCGAGAGCGTTAATATCATGGAGGCTTCTGCGTACCTCATGTGGCAGGCGTACGATTTTGCGGCGCATTGGTCATGCATCGATTTCCCGCCGGATTATCCACCCCGATATAGTGGCGAAATGATGATGCCTACTATGAACAAAAGGTTTTGGATTTTCAAGCATTTCACCATGCTTGCCAAACCTGGATCCAAGCCGCTTAAGGTACGCTTGGGTTGTGTACACGGTGTGAGCGCATTCTACAACCCCGGCGAAAACCAGGTTACGGTTTTCATTGTGGCTCAGAAGGCAGTAGACAGGCAGGTGATGATTACTCTAGACGGTTTTACAAGGGACGTGGGTGGAACTACCAAGGTCGTTATAAGGCGCACAAATTCGTCTTCGAATTTCGACTGCACGGTGTCCACACAGAAAACTGCGAGGTTGACTGTATGGGGACAGAACTTCGTTTCTGTCACCTTCACTAACGTGTCACCTTCACCTGAGAGTCTAGGCTTTTACAGTGCTGCTAGTGCTGGTGCTAGTGCTGCTAGTGCTGGTGCTAGAGCTAGTTTCTTTGTCACCTTAATCTGTGTGTTGCTGGTAGCTGCAGTAGCCATCACCATTTGATGACGCCTTAGCCTAGCTATGGTTCAACCCTTAGCTTGTTACCAGTAGCTGGAGTTGGGAAACTTTGTACATGCATATTCTAGTTTCTATGGGCATGACAAGGTTGGTTATCTATCGAATTTTGTTTGCAAAATACACATTTCTTGGCAGTTGTTACAATGTAGCATAATTACGCAAGGAAAAGGAGTGGAAACGGGAAGAGAGGAGAAAAGGAGGAATAACGTGAGTAGAAAAAAGGAGAGAGGAAGAAAGGAGGAGGGGAATAGGGGAAAAATGATAGGAGGAAGAAAAACAGGGAAGAAGGAAGAAAAAGCAGCACACACAACCCCAAGAAAACCCCAATAGCACACACATTTAAAACACCATCAAGCCCTCCCATCAAAGCACCCCAACTGCACTCCCATCGAACCAAACCTCCCCCCCTAAACCCACTCCCTAAACCCGCATGTCTACCAAGTATGGTGCATCCGCCCACGGAGCATCCCATCCCATCTCCTCCTCAACATCCTCCCGCTCCACCCAAACAGCCTCTGGGCCTCTCATCATCGACGCAGCGCGTAACAAGATCACACGCGCCTGAGCCCGTTGCAAAGCCACACCCACAGCCGCTTTGAGCGATCCGAGCAAATAAGCCGAGAAACCCTTTCCCGTAGCTCGCGCCGCCCCTTTCGTCTTTGCTATCTCGATCTGCGCGTCACCCTGCTTCTTAAGCCACCGTCCAAAACTCCCCCCCAAGCATCCCCATGTCTCAGCAATGAGTGGTGTGAACTGCACTCCCCCATACCGCTATCGAATTTTGTACTGGTATTTTGCTGCCACTTGTTGAGTCAAAGTCCTCAACACTATCATTTGGAAGGGGACTAAGGGGAGTGTAGCACCCCATTCAAACACCTGCTTAAAAGATTTTACACAGGGGAGTGTAGATTTTTCACTATCATCTAGCTATAGTAGCTTGTTAAAATAGCTATAGCGCTAATATAGCTGGGCCCACCAGCTCACACGTTCTTCAAATTCTGGGTTTTCTCGCCTCGCCCTCGATACAGTAGTCACAACAATGTCGTCTGGTTCGAAGCGCACGCGGTTCGTGATCGCCACATTCTCCTCCCAATTTCTCATTGCCTCTGAAATTTCCTCCGTCTCCCTCCCTCCTCTCCTCTCCCTCCACCTCGAGCCCTGCTCCGCCAACCAAGCAATTCCAGTCCAGTCCAGTTTCTCTTGCCTAGCCAGCCACACGCAAATCCCGTGCTCTTGCATTTGCCCCTGATTTTTCCAGCCTAGCTTTTTAGCCACCCTTCCCCTAATCCCGCCCGCCACTCATCATCACACAACTCCCCAGGTTTCCTCCAACATGCTTGAGCCCTCGATGCGCGCGCGACTCGAAGTTGATCGTGAGTGGCACGCGCTTTCTCCACAAGCCACGAGCCTTCTCACCATCGTCTACACTACACTACACAGATGGCGCGCGCTGTCCTTTCGGTAGTAGGTCGTTTCTACCAGCGCGAGATACGGACAGATGGTGCAACAGGCTCCGCTGGAGCCATCCGCTCGTTCTTACACATACATCCATCAAAACCTTCTCTTGCGCCTCGTGACTCGTGAACATATAACTACGGGGAGCAGTGGTAGTCAATCCAAGGCAGTGCGATCCCATGCTTGCCAAGTGATTGCGCCATAGTAGAATATCAGCGCGATGGTGAGGCGTTTGTTTCTTCGCGGCGTGTTCTTCAGCGTCTTCCTAGCTCTAGCCCTCCTCGAGTTTGCCGCGCACCCGAAAACAGTGACGGCAGCACGCCGCGCCGGCGGCGCCGATGGCAACAAGCGGGCTCCGCCCCCTGATCTATTGCCCGCGATTGAATTGCTATCCACCTGCAAATCTAAAGGTAAGATAACTACCTGCTTGTTTTAGTCTTGAGCAGTGTAGCCTGCGTATGAGGCATGTATCTCTCTCACTGCGCAGTTGGCAGGGTACCAGACTTTTCCGTAAGGCATGCGGAAAACTCTCAACCAGCACAGGTTTATTCACTGCATCGTTCACGCTTTGCTTGCAGGTGCGATCAATATCACAGTTTCGCCAGAATTCGTCGGGACCACGTGGCGAGGGTGGGGGACTTCGCTCGCGTGGTTCGCGAATTACGTCGGCGGCTTGCCGCAGCAGCAGCTGACCGCAATTCTCGATCTTATATTTGAACCCATAAACGGTCTCGGACTGAACATCGTACGCTACAACATCGGAGGGGGACACCACGATGAACGGAGCCCGCAGTTTCACCAGAACTCGGAGGCGGATTGGCGCGGGATACCGGGTTACAAGCCGACAAAGGACGGCCCGTACGATTGGAGCGCAGACAAACGGCAGCGCAACGTGCTGCTGGGAGCGAAGGAGAGAGGCGCGAATGTTTTCGAAGCGTTTTCAAACAGCCCGCCGTGGTGGATGACCGTAACGGGTGACGTGGCGGGTGCGGTTTGGAAAGGGGCGACGAATTTGCTGCCTGAGTACGAGAAGGCTTTCGCAGACTACTTGACGACAGTCGTGGCGGAGTTCGCGAAAAGGTGGAAATTAAAATTTGATGCATTGGAGCCTTTTAACGAGGCGCTGGAGGGCTTCTGGAAAGCTGGAAAGGAACACGAGGGGTGTACGTTTAATCCCCCCGAGATGGGCCGTGTCATCAAGTACACTTCAGACTCTTTAAAGGCGAAGAAGGTTAAAACGAAGTTGGTGGGGGTGGACAGCTGGGATGGCATGACCGCGCAGCTACCTCAGATCGCGAATCATGAGCTACTAACGCGGATAAACGTTCACGCGTACGTGAATAGTTACCACGATAAGACCGTGGCTGCGACTTACGAAAAGCGATTCGGCACCATTCGCGACACGGCGAAGCAGCTGGGGAGGGAGGTGTGGGTTAGCGAAGCGGGAGCGCTGAGCAAACGCGGGAGCAATTGGGACCTTTCACTGTACATGGCGCGAAACGTTATCGAGAGCGTCAATATCATGGAGGCTTCTGCGTACATGATCTGGCAGGCGTACGATTTCGCAGCACATTGGTCGTGCATCGATTTCCCTCCGAATTATCCGGCGAATTACACAGGCGAAATGGAGATGCCTAGAGCGAACAAGCGGTTTTGGATTTTCAAGCATTTTACTTTCCTTGCCGGACCTGGATCCAAGCCGCTCAAGATAGGTTCGGACTGCTGGCACGGCATGAGCGCGTTTTACAACCCGGGCGAAAAGCGGGTTACTGTTTTCGTTGTGAACCAGAAGGCGGAAGACAGGCACGTGACGATTAATCTAGACGGGTTTACGATGAACGTGGGGGGAACTACCAAGGTTGTCGTAAGGCGGACAACTTGGTCTACGGATTTCACTGTCAAGGTGTACAGAAAGCAAGTTGCGAGGCTGACTGTATGGGGACAGAGCTTAGCTTCTGTCACCTTCACTAACGTGTCATATTAGGCTCAACTAAGGTGTCATATTACCAGGAAGTAGATACCTTACTCTCCATTTAGTACTCCTCACATCACTAATGTAACGTGACATATGCCATACTACCAGTAATAGACTGTTCTGGAGTATAATGTCGTAACCTGCTGCCCATACACACTCCATGGGTGAAACAAATTCATACGCTGTTCAATCGGATTTGGATTCGGCTGGGACAGGCGGCGGAGGGGGTAGCCCTGGCCTCATTACAAGGTAGAGGGCAGGGCCTATAACGGGGATGAAGGGGAGAGCAACACCCCATGAGTCTCTGGGCGCCCTGGAAAAAAAGACGGGAGGGTTGGGGTGAGTTGAGTTGTGGGGTGAGATGGAGAGAGGGTTGGGGTGAGATGAAGGGAAGCAATAGAGATGTCTCAAAAGTCTTAAAACGAGGAGAAAGGGAAGAGCAGCAACCCATGAGTCTCTAGGCGCCCTGGAAGTATAGACGAGAGGGTTGGGGATATGTGATGGAGAGGGTTGGGGTGAGATGGAGTGGGTTGGGGTGAGATGAAGGGAAGCATTTGAGATGTCTGAAAAGTCTTTCAATGGGAAGGAAAGAGTAGCACCCCATGAGTCTCTAAGCGCCCTGAAAACACAGACGGGCAGGTTGGGGCGAGTGATGGAAGGTGAGGGTGAGATAACAGGAGGCCTTTGAGAGCAGCACCCTATGAGTCTCTGGGCGCCCTGAAAACACATAAGGGAGTGTTGGTTGGGGTGAGACAAAAGGAGGGTTTGAGTGGGATTAAGGGAAGCATTTGAAATGTCTGAAAAGTCTTATAACGAGGAGGAAGGGGAGAGCAGCACCCCATGAGTCTCTAGGCGCCCTGGAAACATGCAAGGGAGGGAGGCATGGGAGAGTGCAGGAAGGTTAGGTGACTTTTGAGTCGACTCAAAAGGGGAGAGCAGCGCCCCATGAGTCTCTAGGCGCCCTGGAAACACGCAAGGGAGGGAGGCAGGTTTCAGGTTGCCTCTCTAGCAGCAAGGGAGGGAGGCATGGGAGAGTGCAGGAAGGTTTGGCTGCAATAAGGGAAGGCCTTTGCGACGTCTCAAAAGTCATGACATGGCAGGGAATCAGGCAAGGCAGGGAATCAGGCAAGACAGGGAATCAGGCATGGCAGGGAATCAGGCATGGCAGGGAATCAGGCAAGGCAGGGGATCAGGCATGGCAGGGAATCAGGCATGGCAGGGAATCAGGCATGGCAGGGAATCAGGCAAGGCAGGGAATCAGGCAAGGCAGGGAATCAGGCATGGCAGGGAATCAGGCATGGCAGGGAATCAGGCATGGCAGGGAATCAGGCAAGGCAGGGAATCAGGCAAGGCAGGGAATCAGGCAAGGCAGGGAATCAGGCATGGCAGGGAATCAGGCATGGCAGGGAATCAAGCATGGCAGGGAATCAGGCATGGCAGGGCATCAGGCATGGCAGGGCATCAGGCATGGCAGGGAATCAGGCATGGCAGGGAATCAGGCATGGCAGGGAATCAGGAATGGCAGGGCATCAGGCATGGCAGGGCACCAGGCATGGCGGGGCATAAAGCATGGCTCTAATTACTGATCGCACTCACCAATTCCTGTAGGCCATGTCGTTGACGAGCCAGAAGGGCAGAAACATGTTGAGGAGGACGAAATCCATCGAGGTGACGTGGATCTGATGGGGGGAAGGAAGGGGAAGGGGGAGGGGAAGGGGGAGGGGAAGGGGGAGGGGAAGGGAGAAGGGGAAGGCGGGAGAAGAGGGAGGTTGGTTGCCAAAATTGGGGTGAGTTAATGGGGCAGGAACATGCACTTCACTGAACTGTATAGGCTCTCCTGGAAAAGCACCCTGAACTCAAGCCAGTCACAACCAGCATAGGAGTTTATAATAATTAAAAAAAAAAAAAAAAAACCTCGCACTGTATTTCCCCAGACCACTCAACACCACCCTCCACCACTCTGTACCACCCTGCACCACTCTGCACCCATGCATGCACCTATCATCATGCTCTCCTGAGAATACTACCAGAACTCAAGTCAGTCATTAGCATTCTAACTGACTGGAGAACTACTCACACTGCAATCACCAGCACCGAACCGCACCACCCTACACCATTCTCTACCGCACAGCACCGCCCTGCACCCATGCATGCACACACCAGGAGGCTCTCTTGAAAATACTGCAAGAACTCAAGACAGTCAGTCAGCCGATGGCACTGCTGTGAATTGTCAAGAACACAGCGCAGTAGACAGCAGACCACAACACACCGCACTGCACTGCACCTACACCGCACTGCACCGCTCAGCACCCACCATGAGGCTCTCCTGGAAGTACTGCAGGAACTCAAGCCAGTCAGCTGACGGTGCTGTTGCGTGTGAATTGTCAAGAACACAGCGCAGTAGACAGCAGGCCACAACACACCACATTCCAATGCACTACACCGCACTGCACCGCTCTGTACTCACCATGAGGCTCTCTTGGAAGTACTGCAGGAACTCAAGCCAGTCAGCCGACGGTGCTGTTGCTGCGCTGATGACCAACCCTGATGCTGCCAGCAGCAGTAACTGCGGGGGGGAAGGGGGAGAGAAATTGATTTTCCATGAGGGGAAGAGAAGAGAGGAGGGCGGAAGAGAAGGGAAAGGGTCTCAGCTGATGGTGCTTTTGCTGCACTGCTGACCAGCCCTGATGCTGCTATCAGCAGTAACTGCGGAGGGGAAGGGGGAGAGGGATCGAGAGGGTAAAGAACAGCAGTGGCCTGCTCTGCAAACAGCCAAACAGGCCAGAGCAGAGCAGAGTAGAGCAGAGCGCTGGTGATTTTGAGTGGCTCAAGACTCAACGCGCTGGTGATTTTGGACTCGAGAACGCGCAGCCCCACCTTCCCCCTCTCCTCCTCAGTCGGTACTGCTGCCTTTCCGGGCGCTGGTGACTTTCATCCCATGTCACTGCAGGCCACCTTTCCACGACTCACCGCGCTTGTGATCTTGGATTCAAGCACTCGCAGCCCCACTTTCCCCCTCTCCTCCTCAGTCGGTACTGCTGCCTTTCCAGGCGTCCAGAGGGCAAAGAAGGGCAGCAGAGACGCAGGGGCGAAGAAGGGGAAACACGCAAAGGGCTGGGCTCGAGACTCACCGCGCTGGTGATTTTGGACTCGAGAACTCGCAGTCCCACCTTCCCCCTCTCCTCCTCGGTGGGTACTGCTGCCTTTCCGGGCGTCCAAAGAGCAAAGAAGGGCATCAGGGCGAAGGCCCCTGCGAAGAACGAGGCGAGGAGAAAGGGCCACGCTGGGATGGTGGTGCGGTTGCTGGGGGAAGAACGGGAAGGGGAACGGTGGGGGAACGGTGGGGGAACGGTGGGGGAACGGTGGGGGAACGGGAGGGGTTGCAAGGGGAGAGGGGGGAGAAGGCAGGGGTTAGGAACCCTGGGCGTCCAGAGAGCAAAGAAAGGCATCAAGGTGAAGGCCCCTGCGAAGAACGAGGCGAGGAGGAATGGCCACGCTGGGATGGTGGTGCGGTTGCTTGGGGGGGGGGGGGGGAAGGGGGAGGGGGGAGAAAGGCGTGTATCAGGGACCCAACACGCCCAGAGAGGGCAAAGAAGGGCATGAGGGCGAAGGCCCCTGCGAAGAACGAGGCGATGAGGAAGGGCCACGCTGGGATGGTGGTGCGGTTGCTGGGGAAGGAAGGAATGGGCGGGATTGCAAGGGAGATTGGGGGGAGGTAGGTAACTGGTATGAGGAATCCTGAATGTAAAGAAATGCCACACAGCACAAGAGTGGCGGCATGTGCGCCCGGCACGGCACCGGCAAGACACCCATGAGGTTCCAGAGCGCCACGAGCACCTGGTTGGTTGGTTGGTTCATCACGAAGCCGAGACGCAGCTTGCGTAACCTTCCCTCCCCGTCATCCTCCCATGAACTTACGTGCGAGAAGCGGGCACAAGTGTTGCGGCGGCGTATATGCCCGGCATGACACCCATGAGGTTCCAGAGCGCCACGAGCACCTGGTTCATGACGACTGGCAGTGTTGATGAGTACGAATCATAGCACAGACTCACACATGGACTCACGTGCGAGAAGCAGGGACGAGCGTAGCAGCGTAGATGCCCGGCATCACACCCATGAGGTTCCACAGCGCCACGAGCACCTGGTTCATGACGAAGCCATCGTCGCCCCTCAGGTTGAGCAGCTTTTCTAGAAAGTACTGATCGCGGTACTGCAGGGAAGGGGAAGGGGAAGAGGGGCGTGGGGGAAGGGGAGTGGAGGGGAGCACCGGGGTAAGGGTTAAGGGGAACAGGAGCGGAAAGGAGGCGACACACCCATGAGGTTCCACAGCGCCACGAGCACCTGGTTCATGACGAAGCCATCGTCTCCCCTCAGGTTGAGCAGCTTCTCTAGAAAGTACTGATCGCGGTACTGGAGAGGGGGGAGTGGAAAGGTGGGGGAAGGTGGGGGAAGGGGGTTGGGGGGAGGGAGGAGGCGGGAGAGGAGAATGGGGGGGTAAGGAGACGAAGCACCAACACCTGGTAACCCGGTTCATCACGAAGCCATCGTCGTCGTCGCCCCTCAGGTTGGGTTGGGAAGCTTCTGGCTACACCACCAGCCACTGATAAGCTGCCACGTACTGGCGTCTGATGGGGCGCCAAAAACGCGCCATACGCGATGAGCCCCGCCCACAGGAGGAAAATCCCCGCAGTCGTCGCCTGCCCCAGAAGGCCCCCGCTCTCCCCTTCCGCCGATACCGCTCCCCCCGCTGCCGCTTCCCCCGCAGGCGGCTGCGGAGCCTCTGCCAGCTTATTTGCTTCCGCGCTTGCGCCTGCGCCTGATCCTTCCGCGGATCCACCAGCTGGCGCTTTCGGCGGCTCCACGCTTGCGCTTACGCGCGGTAAGGCGCGGGATTGGCGGAAAACGAGCTTCTGTGGGGAGCTTGGCCGCAACGCTTGCGCCAGGGTCATCCGCGGAAGCGGAAAGGCGGGATTTGAGGAGCGCGCGGGCGCATGGAACGCGGAGATTGGGGGAGTGGGGAGGGAAGCGACTGCATTGGGGAGTGTAGCGAGTCTTAGTGAGGGGGAGAGGGCGTGAACCAGCATGATGGGTGTGACTATAACGAAAGCAGGGCAATGGGGAAAGAGCGGGGGGTGGGGGACGCGGAGGCTTTCTTGCGAAGCTAACTCTGGCGCTGCGGAAAGGAGCCACCTATAGTGGATGGATGTCGCGTAACGCGCGGGAGAGCTTCTAGAGGGGGGTGGGGAAGAGGTTATGAAAAAGATGAACGAGGTCACAACAATAGTGAATGCTCAAAACCCCACCCGAACGTGCTGGAACTAAACTAAACCGTTTCATAATCAAAACCAACCTCTTTCAACCACACTTCACGATTAACTTCTGGCATGATCTCAAGGTATCCTCGGCAAAGACTGAAGCAATTTACAGCTTAAAATTACAGCAGAAAACACCTGTCTTTCTGTTCTGTGATCACAGCTCTTTCCCAAGAAGTCAAATACGGTAGCAACCTCTGAAATGCAGTTACGGTAGTATTCATTCTCTCCTAGTGATCACAATATGGCAAATCCAGTTATGACAACCCTGCCAAACTGCGGTTCTAGTGCATTAAGATCGTCACTTATAGCCAACAGAAGATGTCCATGCTACCAATCATGGCATGGCACCTGGTTCCGGACCTGGCTGGCAGTGGGCTGGGGCACTGAAGGGGCTGTCACACCATTCCACTTGCTCTTTCCAAGACAAACCATTCTGTGTCACAAGCTTCTCAGCCTGCTCTCAATATCGGCACCAGCAACAGCCAGAAGCTTTTAGAGCTCAGACAGATCCAGAATCTGTTAACATTCTAAATAGACATTAACACAATTGAGACAATAATGTCGACAAATGGTTTGGTATCACAGGGTGAAGAAACAATAAAAACGCTTCATGACAACTTTTCTACCCCAACATACACGTCATGAACCAAAACTTACATACTGGCACCTGAAACAATCTCAATCAGCTCGCCAGTAATCTTGGCTTGCCTCCGCCTGTTGTAGGTCAGGTTCAGGCTCCTCTTGAGCTCCTTAGCGTTATCGCTGGCGTTACCCATGGCATTCATACGAGCAGCGAGCTCGCTGGCAAGCGACTCTTGCAGAGCACGGAGGATCTGGCTGTTCAGGTAAAGCGGGAGCAGCGCGTCCAGGATCTGCACAGGCTCCTGCTCAAACCCTAGCACGCCGGTGAACTCGGGAGTCTCGGTCCTGATCGTCTCGCGCTCGACGGCGAACTTGCCCTCCTTGGTCGTCAGCCTGAACAGCTCGTCCTCAGCAGCATCGACGCAGACGCCGTTGATATCGCAGACCTCGCCGGCGGGGGAAAGAGGCAGGAGAGTGTGGACCACAGGGTCGGACTTGATCAGGGACACGAACTTGGTGTAGATCAGCTCGACCTTGTCAACCTCCTCAGACACGAACAGGGAAAAGATCTCGTCGGCGATGGCCTGGGCCTCCTTGGTGGTGGGAGCAGCGCCGACCTCGAGGTACCTGTCGACGGCGTACTGCGGACGCCTCTTGAAGAAGGCGTTACCCTTCTTGCCGATGGACACAATGGTGTAAGCCACACCCAGCTTCTGCAGCTCAGCCACGCGAGCCTCGGCCTTCTTGAGGACGTAGTTGTTGAAGCCACCGCAGAGACCGCGGTCGCCGGTGTTAACGACGATGGCGACCTTCTTCACGGGACGGACCTCGGTCAGGGGAATGTCAACGTCCTCGTTCTGGAGCTGCTCGTTAACGTTGTAAAGCACCTTAACGAGGTTTTCCGAGAAGGGACGGCCGTTGACGACGGCCTCCTGAGCCCTGCGCACCTTCGCGGCAGCGACGAGCTTCATCGCATCAGTAATCTTCTGGGTGTTCTTAACCGACTCGATACGATCGCGCATCGCCTTCAGCGAGCAGGTGGTGCGGGGAGCACCCTCCGCGCCCTTAGTCTTAAGCTCCACATTGGAGTCAGCGTTCACCCGGCTGGAAGGCAGGCTCCGGCTGGACAGACCCTCAAAAGAAGGGCACGCGAGCTTGGTGCTCCAGGACATAGCGGCGGCCATGGCGTCTTGGGAAAAGGTTCACAAGACTAAGAACCAGTCTAGCGAAGCTGGAAACAGCTTCTGAGTGCAGAATGGAGCTACAGAGACCCGTAAGAGATGAGAGGAAAAACAGAACCTTGGGAGGGAGGAGGTTCCAGGTGCAGAGCGGAACACGCGGAAATAAAACCTAATGGCGCGCGGAATATAGTACCGCTCGGGGGATGTTCCTCGGGAATACCGGAATGGCGCAGCAGATATCAAAGGGTGCGCGGATAGCTGCGGGAAAGAGGGAAGGCGGTGGCTGGGAAAAGGAAATCTCGAGGGAGTGGCGGAACGAGGGCGCGGGACTTTTGGTATGGTATCTGTGATGGCTGGGAGGTCAATGGCGCAGATCTCACCGTCGATGTGCCAGGTGGAAACGAGTTGGACGGCTTTCGTGTGGTTTGCTCGTGCCACGTGGCATCGCAGATGTCCTGGTCGGATGGATGCGTTATCCGCTGGGCTGCAGTTTGGTGGCTGCGGCGAGGAGATGGGAAATGCGCGTGATGCCAGTGGTCCAGCGAAGCAGCTAGCTTTTCTGGCTACCATTTTGGATCGCTAGCCAATCGCGAGTTTCCTGTCGCGAAAGAAAACAAAACTGGAAGAACGCTCAAGGGAGTTCGGTTGACAGCGATGGTAAACTCTTAGGGATGCACGCAACTCTACTCGTTCTTATTATTAGTTTCCACATCTAGCATGTTGCAATTTGCAAAACCATTGTAAACGATAAATATAAATTGACATATATAGTCAAGTTAGTTCTAGTCATACTCATATTGTATGGCTCGTCCTCGCTCTCCTCCACCTCTACTGTACCTATCAGCCTCTTGCATCCTCTCTGCTTCACGTGCTGCTTTCATGGACGAATTCCCATCAGACTTGCTCCTCTGTTGACCCACAAACTGGTAATCCTCCTCATCACCCTCATTATAGCCACCCCTCCTACGAGTCCATGAATTCCCCTCACCAACGCCACCACCTCTGTGATTTCTGCTACTATTTACCCTACGGTTTCCGTTGCTATCAGGGCTATTTCCTGGGCTATTATGGGGGCTATTACCTGGTGATATTGGGGGAGAGCTCTGCAAGCGGCGCAGAGAACCCGCGCCGCCTGGGCTGGACGAGAGGGGCGGCAAAAAGGCCGGCACCTCGCTCCTTGTCTTCTTGTGCCCTGCGTTTCTGGGCGGCGTGCTGTTTGCCTCGACCTGCAGAAAAAGGGGTTGTGGTGAGTGGAAAGTGTACACATGGGGAAAACAAAAACAAGCAGGACAAACCACAGCCGTTCCTTTCTCTTGAGTCGACTCAAAAGTCACCTTGTGCACATGGGGAAAACAAAAACAAGCAGGACAAACCACAGCCGTTCCTTTCTCTCCCACTACTGAGTCAACACAAAAGTCGCCTCTCCACCTGCCTTTGTCCCGCGTGGGTGGGACACCCATCTTTTGAGACGTCTCAAAAGTGGGACACCCATCTCTCCCCTCACCTGGGAGAAAAATCCACTTGTCAACTTGCGAGTTGTGAGCGCGCTCAATCCACATGCGCAGGTCCTGCGCCGCCCTCTGCTGTACCCACATACAACCATTTGCCCTACTGGTTACTGTCAGCAGGCAGGCTCACACACTGCTCTGCGCTCACCTGGGAGATCCACTTGTCCACTTGCGAGTTGTGAGCGCGTTCAATCCACATCCGCAGGTCCTGAGCCGCCCTCTGCTCTGACCCCGTCCGCCTCTGCTGCTGCTGCAGCAACGGAGGCTCCATACTCGTGCTGCGCACCAATGGTCGAGGTAACTCCCCTCCTCCTCGAGACGCTTCCCCTCCGCTCCACTCACTTCCCTCTCTCCCTTCTCGTCTGTTTCCTCCATCTCTCCCCTCTCTCCCCTCTCTCCCCTCTCTCCCCTCTCTCCCCTCTCTCCCCTCTCTCCCTTCTTTCCCCTCCCTTCCCCCCCTTCCCTCCTCACATACACGGGACACCTGCAGCTCCCTGCCTCTTCCCTCCTCGCCCTGCCCCCCCGCTCCCCTCTCCACCGCTCTGCACCGCTCTCTCCTTGCCGCCTCCCCTCTGCTCCCCCACTTGCTCCTCCCCTTCCACCCCCACTACCCCTGCTGCTACCCTCCCTCACCTCACCACCTCTCACCGTTCCTTCTCTTCCCTCCCTACCCTCTCTGCTGCTACTGGCTGTGGTAGTGCTACCACTAGTGATGGTGCTGGTGGTGGTGGTGGGGGGGTTGGTGGGGGGGTTGGTGATGGCAGCTAATGGTGGTTTCGGGCTGAATCCTGGGCTTCTTCCCACTCCCCCCATCCCCCCTCCTGCTCCTCCCAACACCTCAAACCCCCCTGTGGGCCTTGGAGGGATTCTTATCGGCAATTTGCCCATTCCCGGCCGTCGATTCTGCTGCCCGGCCGATCCTGGCCCTTGATTACGCGACTCCTGATCCGAGCCGTCGGATGAAGTTCTACTGTGGGGAGGCTTCATCCCTAGTGCTACAGTACCTTTCCCACTTCCCCCTCCCCCTCCCCCCCCCCTCCCCCTCCTCCCCCTCGCCCTTCCCCTCGACCAGCATCCCCCCTTCCCCTTCCCCCTGCGCCCCTCCCTCCTGCTCCCCCAACCACTGCCCCCCTCCCCCCAACTCCCCCTATCCCTGCTCCCCTTCCCCCTGACAGAGTCCCCCTTCCCCCTACTACTGTTCCCCGCCCTCCTGCTGCCCCTCTGCCTCCCCCCTCCACTCCCCTCCCCCTTCCTCCTCCTACTACAATCCCTCTCCCTCCTCCCATCCCCCCTCCTCCTCCTCCTCCTCCTCCTCCTCCTCCTCCTTCTCCTCCTCCTCCTCCTCCTCCTCCTCCTCCTCCTCCTCCTCCTCCTCCAGCTGCAGCTGTTGCTGCCGTGGGAGATTTGATTTTCTCCCACACTTCCTCTATAGTGGGGGCTGAAATACGACCACCAGCAGCAGCACCACCACCACCGGCAGAACCACCAGCAGCACCACCGGCAGCACCACCGGCAGCACCACCGGCAGCACCACCGGCAGCACCACCGGCAGCACCACCGGCAGCACCAGCAGCAGCGCCACTTACTGCAGCACCAGAAGCAGGAGCACCGAGATGGGGGCGAGTGGGGGCGACACTAGGAGGGCTGACATGCCTGCCCACGCCCATACCCCTCCCTTTGGACGTCAGCGCTGCCAGTGCAAACTCTCGAAGCATCCTCTCATCTTCCCTCTCCAACCCTCCTCCTCGCACGCTCCCCCTTCCTGCTCCTACTCCCGCTCCTCCTCCGTCTCCCCCGCCCCCATGCGAATGCTCATAATCATGTTTCTGCCCAGAAATAGCAGGCCTTCTGTTCTCTCCACTATCAAACGCTTTCCTGCTATTACTATCCATCCTGCTATTACTATCCATCCTGCTATTACTATCCACCCTGCTATCATTCATCCTGCTAACGTCTCCCCCATCTAAACTGCTCCGTCTACCCCTCCTCCCTCTCCTCCCTCTCCTCCCTCTCCTCCCTCTCCTCCTCCCACCCTTCCTCTCCACCCCACACACTTCTCCCTTCCCGACCCTTCCCCTTTTCGCCCCTCATTTTCATCGCATCTACTCGCCCAATTGTGCTGCTTCTCCTCGTCTCCTCAACCTCCACCTCACCGCACCCCACCTCCCCATAACCCTCTCCACCGCTCCCTCTCCTCCCGTACCTCCCACCATCCCATGCTCTCGCTCCCACTCCCCCTGTTCCATGTTCTCTCCACACATCTCTCTCTTCGCCCATTCGCCTTTTCTCACTCGCCCCTGTTCTTCTGCTTCGCCTCGTGTCAGGAACACCTACCATTTCCTCCTCTTCCCCCTCGTCCTCTTCTTCCTCCCTCTCTCGCCCCCTCTCTCCTTCATCCCCCCTCGCGTCTTCATTCCCCCTACTCCATTCCCTCCCTTCATCCCACTCCCCATCCCTCTCCTCCACGTCACTCAGCCTATCCCCCCCACTCCACCCATCGCCCTTCACCACCACACTCCCTGTATCTGACTCTTCTCCCGACTCTCTCTCACGCTCCCTCTCCAGTTCCCTTTCCCTCTCTCTCACCCTCTCTCTTTCCCTCACACTCTCCCTTACCCCTTCCCTCCCATTTTCCCTCCCTCTCTCAGCAATACCGCCCCCCTCCCCCCACCCTCCTTCTCCTCCACCCCTCCCCCACGACCGAACACTAGAAGGGGAACCCGCACTCGACCCATCATCACCGCTCTGCACCCCGCCATAACCACCCCGCGGGCTCGGCCGTCCCCAACCCTGTCCCTCAGGTGTGAACCGCCCAGACCTGGGAGACCGAAGCGGCTCCGCTGCCGAACCTCCTCTTCCCGTACCTGGCCGGGTGGTTTGGCCCCCGGCGTGTTTGGAACCAGGTAACGGGGGAGCCTGCTGGTTCGGTGAACGTCTAGGGGAAGGAGGAGGGGCGTGACGAGTGGCGGTAGAAGCAGAGGCGGAATGGGGAGTGGAGTGAGGAGGAAGGGGAGCATAGTGTTGCTGCTGGTGGGAGCTCCTTCTAGGGGATGGGATCGGTTGCTGCTGCTGCTGCTGACGCCGCTGCTGATGTTGTTGCTGTTGTTGTTGGTGGTTCCTGCTGCTGCTGTTGCTGCTGCTGTTGCTGCTGCTGCTGCTGCTGCTGCTGCTGCTGCTGCCTCTGCTGCTGTTGTTGCATAGGAGGGCTCTCAAGCTCTGTATCCTGCTCTCCCTCAGTCAAAACGTCTACTCTCAGACCCTGTACAACGGGTCCCCCTCCCCACGCACCAAAGGACGGACTAGGAGCGAAACCCTTTGGTTTCTTAGGCGCCTCTACTGTTGCTTCCCCTGCCATCCTCTCCTCCTCCTCCTCCTCCTCCTCCTCCCCCTCCTTTCCTGCTCTGAATGCATCAACTGCCGATCCTTGCACGTCTCGCCCGCCCTGCCAAGCACCAAAGGATGGACTAGGGCCGAACCCAGCAGCACCACCAGAACTACCACCATATTTTGAACCTCCCACACTTGAATACCCACCTGATTTTTCACCTGAATCTCCAGTGCTCCCGCTAAGAACTGGGACGGTCGGAGGGAGCTTGTTATCTGACCCTCTGCTTCCTCCTCTACCTTCTCCCTTCCCTCCTCTCCTCTCGTCTCTACCCTCCCCACCTGCCATCCCTCCCCTTATAGGGCTCCTCCCCGCCCCTCTTCCCCCACTCCCACTCCCCTCATCCCTTCCGTGTTGAACCCTCTGTTCCTGTTGCTGTGACCGTTGCTGCTGCTGCTGCTGCTCCTGGTGCTGTGGCTGCTGCTGCAACCCTACCTGTCTTCTCACCTGCTCCTTCCGCTCCTGACCACCCCCTTCCTGCACTCCCCGATCCTGCACTCCCCGATCCTGCACTCCCCGATCCTGCACTCCCCGATCCTGCGCTCCCCGCTCCTGCACTCCCCGATCCTGACCACCCCGACCCTGCACTCCCCGCTCCTGACCACCCCCTTCCTGCCCTCCCCGCTCCTGCCGCTGCTTAAACGTCAGAGGAGACAAAGGCCTATCCCTGTAAGGGGAAACAGCGCTTCTACCCCCTTCAGATCCCGTAAAAAGAGGGGACACCGGCCCCTCATCCACTTTGTAGCCCATCTGGGGCGACAGTGACCCCTCACTCCCCTCACACCCCATCTCAGAATTACCGCTTCTCACCCCTCCGAACTCCACTCCACCTGGCTCCACCCTACTGCTATCCCCCCCCACCTCTTCACTGATTGATTCTTTCCTCCTCTTCACTACCCCTTCTCTTATCACCCGTTCCAAGTCCCGCGGCCGGATGGGCTTAGCTAAGTAATGATCCATCCCAGCAGCCATGCACGAGTCTTTATCCTCGCTAAGAGCCGATGCGGTAAGCGCCACAATGAACGTCCGGCGGGGACGGCGGGAGCGGCGGGTGCGAGAGCTGCTGCTGCTGTGGGGATGACTGGGAGAACTTGCCTCACTCATATCGCCGTCTGTGCTGCTGCCGTAACCACCCCTGCTGCTGCTCCTACGGTACCCTCCACCATTACTGCCCCTGCCACCAGCAGTACCAGTTGCAGCAGCACCACCGGAAGCAGCATAGGCAGCGAGTCTCTCCTCTTCCATGGCCCGTATGTGTCGGGTGGCTTCAAAACCATCCATCTCAGGCATGTGACAGTCCTGAGGGGTGGGGAAGAGTGGTGTGGTAGTCACAGATTGCAAGTAGCTCATGGAACATTCTACAGTGAATGCATCCTCTCACCATGAGCACCATGTCGTATTGCAGTGCACCAGCCCCCACCACTCACCACCCCCCGCCACTCACCACCCACCATCACCACTCACCATGAGCACCACGTCGTACTGCCGGTCAGCACACGCCTGAACAGCCAGTCTCCCATTCTCCACCACGTCGTATTTGAGCCCCAGGTTGTGCAGCATGCGCGTCGCCACCATCTGGTTAACTTTATTGTCCTGCAGTGAATTGGGAGGGGAGTTGAGGGGACGGGTGGAGGGGTGGGTTGGGAGGGAAGGAGCTTCTCTCACAGCAAGCCAGCCTCCCACTCTCCACCACGTCGTATATGAGCCCCAGATTGTGCAGCATGCGCGTTGCTACCATCTGGTTAACTTTATTATCCTGGTGGTGGGCATGGGAGGGGTGGGAGGGAATGAGCTTGTCTCACAAGCAGCCAGTCTCCCAGTCTCCACCACGTCGCATTTGAGCCCCAGGTTGTGCAGCATGCGCATTTGAGGCCCAGGTTGCCACTATCTGATTCACCTTGTTGTCTTGGCAGTGAGAGGGGCGAGGTGGAGAAGGGAGGTTGGGGGCAATGGGAATGTTTGGTTGTTGCTCATGGCAGCAGATGTCGCAATAACACCCACACCACACACACATAACCCCAACCCAACCTCTCATGGTCTCGCCACCCACCAGCACCCCCCTCACCTCGGCCACCAGCACCCCCCTCACCTCGGCCACCAGCACCCCCCTCACCTCGGCCACCAGCACCCCCCTCACCTCGGCCACCAGCACCCCCCTCACCTCGGCCACCAGCACCCCCCTCACCTCGGCCACCAGCACCCCCCTCACCTCGGCCACCAGCACGCGCATGTGCTGCAGCTGCACCCACAGCGGCTCTGCATCGCTGCTCGTGGCGCTCTCCCCTGCCGGCTTGGCGCTCTCCCTGGGGTTGACTCGCTGCATTCTGGCATAGAAGAAAAAGGTCGACCCTACTCCCACCTGGTCAAGAGTGGGGGATCACAGGGGAGAGAAGAAATGATTCTGAGGTTGCATGGCTGCTCGTGGCGCTCTCCCCTGTCGGTTTGGCGCTCTCCCTGGGGTTGACTCGCTGCATCCGCACATAGAAGAAGAAGGTCGACCCTACTCCCACCTGGTAAGGGTGGAAGCGACGACAGGGAAAGGAAGAAACAAGACAAGAGTGTTTTGAACTGTACGGATCATAATGCTTGGCTCGGCTTGGCGCTCTCCTTGGGGTTGACGCGCTGCATTCGCACGTAGAAGAAAAACGCCGACCCCACTCCCACCTGGAGGGGACCACAGGGATAGGAACAAACAATAATGTGTGAGCAGTGCGGATCCCAGTGCCTGGCTTGGCTTGACGCTCTCCCTGGGGTTGACTCGCTGCATTCTCACGTAGAAGAAGAAGGTCGACCCCACTCCCAGGTGAAGCGGACAATGGGGAAAGGAACAAACAAGAATGCTTGAGCTGTGGGGATCACAGTGCCTGGCTTGGCTTGGCTTGGCTTGGCTTGGCGCTCTCCTTGGGGTTCACCCGCATTCGCATGTAGAAGAAGGTGGACCGCTCCCCCACCCGCTCCCCCTCCCCCTCCCCCTCCCCCTCCCCTCTCCCCCCACCTCACTTGGCTGTGCATGCCGATATCTCCCCCCATGAGGAAGCACAGGCTCTTGCAAATGGCGAGTCCCAGCCCCATGCCGCCATATCTACGACTCGTTGAGTTGTCCGCCTGGGAGAACGCCTTCAACAGCCGCCCCTTGGGTCTTCCCTTGGCCGCTGAGTCTATACCCGAATTCTCTCAATCCCTCTCCCCCCCCCTCTTCCCCCCTCCCTCCTCACCTGGCTGTGCATGCCGATATCCCCCTCCATGAGGAAGCACAGGCTCTTGCAGATCGCCAGCCCCAGCCCCGTGCCACCATATCTGCGACTCGTAGAATTGTCCGCCTGCGAGAACGCCTTGAACAGCCGCCCCTTTGCTGCGTCGTCCATGCCCACCCCCGTGTCCCGCACTTCAAACCGCACCACCACACTCTCCTCTGCTTTCCCTGCCCCTTCTGACTCTTCAGCTTCTCTTCTCTTCACCGCTCCCTTCTCTCCCTTCTCTCCCTTCCCTCCCTTTCCTCCTGAACCACCACCACCACCACTGCCGCCGCCGCCTCCTGTCTTTCCTCCCTCTCCCCCTCCCCCTCCTCCCCCTCCTGCCCCTCCCTCAGCTGAGGAGGTGAGCAGGTTGCCAGCAGCAGTGCTCGCGCCTTTCTCCTTGCCCTCCCCCCGCTGCACGCTCATGCACTTGCTGCTCTCCCTCCTCGCCTCCTCCACCTCCCCCAGCTCTACCTGTGTCGCCAGTCGGAGCGTCACTGTGATGCCGCCACTGGGGAGGAGAGGAGAATGGGGAAGGGAAGAGGAGGAGAGGACAAGGAGGAAGGGAATGAGTATGCATGCAGTATGACGCCTGTAACTTCTCACTTGCCGCTCTCCCTCCTCGCCTCCTGCACCTCCCCCAGCTCTGCCTGCTTGGCCAGGCGCAGATTCACTGTAATGCCACCCCTGGGAGAAGGGAAGGGAAGGAAAGGGAGGGAGAGGGCACAGAGAAAATGAATGGGTACATGGAGTGACTTTTGAGACGTTCAAAAGAAAATGAATGGGTACATGGAGTGACTTTTGAGACGTTCAAAAGAAAATGAATGGGTACATGGAGTGACTTTTGAGACGTTCAAAAGAAAATGAATGGGTACATGGAGTGACTTTTGAGACGTTCAAAAGAAAATGAATGGGTACATGGAGTGACTTTTGAGACGTTCAAAAGAAAATGAATGGGTACATGGAGTGACTTTTGAGACGTTCAAAAGAAAATGAATGGGTACATGGAGTGACTTTTGAGACGTTCAAAAGAAAATGAATGGGTACATGGAGTGACTTTTGAGACGTTCAAAAGAAAATGAATGGGTACATGGAGTGACTTTTGAGACGTTCAAAAGAAAATGAATGGGTACATGGAGTGACTTTTGAGACGTTCAAAAGAAAATGAATGGGTACATGGAGTGACTTTTGAGACGTTCAAAAGAAAATGAATGGGTACATGGAGTGACTTTTGAGACGTTCAAAAGAAAATGAATGGGTACATGGAGTGACTTTTGAGACGTTCAAAAGAAAATGAATGGGTACATGGAGTGACTTTTGAGACGTTCAAAAGAAAATGAATGGGTACATGGAGTGACTTTTGAGACGTTCAAAAGAAAATGAATGGGTACATGGAGTGACTTTTGAGACGTTCAAAAGAAAATGAATGGGTACATGGAGTGACTTTTGAGACGTTCAAAAGAAAATGAATGGGTACATGGAGTGACTTTTGAGACGTTCAAAAGAAAATGAATGGGTACATGGAGTGACTTTTGAGACGTTCAAAAGAAAATGAATGGGTACATGGAGTATGATGCCTCTCACTTGCTGCTCTCCCTCCTCGCCTCCTCCACCTCCCCCAGCCCTGCCTGCCCTGCCCTATCCCGCCTTCGTGAACGGCACTCCTCCGTACCGTACCCCACTGATCCCAACACAGCGGGATTGTGATAATAAAATGCCCCTCAACTCACGTTTCAGTGAACTTGATGGAGTTGGAAATGAGGTTCAGAAGGACTTGTCGCAGCCTCACAGGGTCCCCCATCACCACCCCCGGCACCTGCACGAGAAAACAGCAACGAGGTTTTGAGAGGAGCAAAGGAAAGGCGAGAGGCGGACATAAGAATGTGCGTGTGATGAGTCGATTTTTTAGTCGACTCAAAAATCGACTCATCACACGAGGAGCAAAGGGAAGGCGAGAGGTGGACATAAGAATGTGCATGTGATGAGTCGATTTTTTAGTCGACTCAAAAATCGACTCATCACACGAGGAGCAAAGGGAAGGCGAGAGGTGGACATAAGAATGTGCATGTGATGAGTCGATTTTTTAGTCGACTCAAAAATCGACTCATCACACGAGGAGCAAAGGGAAGGCGAGAGGTGGACATAAGAATGTGCATGTGATGAGTCGATTTTTTAGTCGACTCAAAAATCGACTCATCACACGAGGAGCAAAGGGAAGGCGAGAGGTGGACATAAGAATGTGCATGTGATGAGTCGATTTTTTAGTCGACTCAAAAATCGACTCATCACACGAGGAGCAAAGGGAAGGCGAGAGGTGGACATAAGAATGTGCATGTGATGAGTCGATTTTTTAGTCGACTCAAAAATCGACTCATCACACGTGGAGCAAAGGGAAGCCGAGAGGCAGACATAAGAATGTGAATATCTTGTGGTGTCTCAGAATGTGCAGCAGCAGCCTCACAGGTACCATACCATACCCCTTCACCATCCCACTTTGGTTTTCAGAATTCTTAAAAGTGACTCCCAAACGTGCAGCCTCACAGGATTCCCCATCACCACCCGACTTAGCTGCTCACCTCCCCTCGCTGCATTTATTCCCCTCTCTCACCTCGTCTCTAGTACCCCCCACTCCCCCAACCTCTGCGTGTATGAATATCCAGCTCCAAGAAGAGCCCCTTGTCCTTCGCCACCACTTCCAGCCAGCAACAGCGCCTGTTGAGGCGCCTCAAAAGCCAGCAACAGCGCCTGTTGATAGGTTGATAATAGCATGTTGACAAACAGCAATCACCACTGTCTCTAACTCACCTCCTCGTGGATATCAAGCTCTAAGAAGAGCCCCTTGTCCTTGGCCACCACTTCAAGCAGCGCCAGAGCCTCCGTGACCTGCTGGTGCATGTTGAACTCGATGCTCTCCAGCGCTAGGTTCTTGGACTCGATCTTGGAGAGGTCGAGCACATCTGATATGATTCGAAGGAGGTTGTCACCAGAGGAGCGGATGATCTCGAGGTACGAGCGCTGTTCTGCTGTCAAATCTGTTCCTAGGAGCAGCTCTGCCACCCCAATCACACCTGGGGAGCGGGGAGGGAAGCAACAAGGGGGTGCATCTTGACCTGTATGCTCAATCTTCGATTCGATCTTGGAGAGGTCGAGCAAGTCGGAGAAGAATATTCGATTCGAAAAAACTTCTCTGCAAGTGAGCTGATGACCTCTCAAAGTATACAGTTCAATTCAATGCGCTGCTCTGCTGTGATATGAGGTCTGCTCCCAAGAGAAGCTCTGCTCACCATTCATGGGGGTGCGGATCTCGTGGCTCGTGTTCGCCAGGAACTGGCTCTTGGCCTCGTTGCTTGGCCCTCTCCGCTCCCTCCGCCGCCTCTCGTGCAGCTCCTGAAATGACTTTCAAGAACTCTCAAGGCAAGGTAAATCTCGTCACCATGGCTCACCATTCATGGGGGTGCGGATCTCGTGGCTCGTGTTTGCCAGGAACTGGCTGTTGGCCTGATTCGCCCTCTCTGCCGCCTCCTTCGCCGCCTGAAGCTCTTGAGTCGACTCAAATACTACATACATACTCAACAGCTTGTCCCCCTCTCACCATTCATAGGGGTGCGAATCTCGTGGCTCATATTCGCCAGGAACTGGCTCTTGGCTTGATTCGCCCGCTCTGCCGCCTCCTTCGCAGCCTGCAGCTCCCTCGCCTGCCGCTTGATCTCTGACAAGTCGTGCCAGACGACCATGTGCATGGGGCGGTTGTGCTCGAGTTGCAGGAAGGAGAGCGTGACCTCCACGGGGAACAAAGAGCCGTCCTTTCGCATGTGCATCCACTCAAACCTGTTTGAGAAGGGAAGGAAGGGAAGTGGAATAAGATGAGACAATTCATGCCAGACGACCATGTGCATGGGGCGGTGCGGTTGTGCTGGAGGAAGGAAGGGAAAAGAGATAGAGTGACCTCCACTCCATGGGGCAACTCGCTTCCGAACATGCAGATGCGGCAGCTCAGTCCATGCGATGCGATGCATGCACATAATCTCACAGCTCATATCTCTCTTAGCTCACTTGTGCAACGACTCTCCACTCCTTCCAGTTATCCCACTTGTGCATGCCCGTCTCAGTCGCCAGAGCCACCATTTCAACCGCTTCTCGGCCGACCGGCTTGTGCTACGCTTCCAACCCTCTCCTTCTCACACTTGTGTGACAACCATCACCCCAAACTCCCTTGTGCTGCTCTTATCTCTCTCCTCACTTGTGCATGCCTGTCTCAGTCGCCAGCGCCACTATCTCGACCACCTTCTCGTCTGTCTCCGCCCATCGGGCTAGTGCTGCCACGCTCTCACTCATGAGCCCGATGCTTGTAAAACCAACCATGCATATCTCTCTATCTACTCACTTGTGCATGCCCGTCTCAGTCAAGCATGCACACACACGGCATCTCACTTGTGCATGCCCGTCTTGGTCGCCAGAGCCACCATCTCAACCGCCTTTTCGTCCGACCGTTGCCCGTCCGGCTGACGCTCGGGGGAAAAGTACGCCGGATGCCGCCCGATGAGCTCGCTCTTGTCGCTGCAGCGCAGGCAGTGGATGGCCGCGTCGTTGCACTCCGTGATGCCCGTGTCGTCAAACACTAGGTAGCCGTCCTGAGGGGGTGGGGAAGGAGCGGAGAGGATGGGGAAGGGAGGTTAAGGAGACATGAGAGCATATTGCAGCGCAGGCAGTGGATAGCCGCATCGTTGCACTCCGTGATGCCCGTGTCGTCAAACACAAGCGAAGCCCTCCAACCACTCACTGAGGAGGCTTCATAGAGCAATCGGAGCTCCTTCCGCACTATCGGATGGTCCGTGATGTCGTGTCGCTCACCACCCACAGGTGTGCTTGTAGGTGGGTGGGTGGATGGGTTTACCAAATGTGATGGTTGCAGGGAGGGCCAAGCCAAGGGGAAGCAAGCAAGCAACCGGAGGCCACCACTCACCGAGGAGGCCTCCACTCACCGAGGAGGCCACCACTGACTTAGGAGGCCACCACTGACTTAGGAGGCCACCACTGACTTAGGAGGCCACCACTGACTTAGGAGGCCACCACTGACTTAGGAGGCCACCACTGACTTAGGAGGCCACCACTGACTTAGGAGGCCACCACTGACTTAGGAGGCCAGCACTGACTTAGGAGGCCACCACTGACTTAGGAGGCCACCACTGACTTAGGAGGCCTCGTAAAGCAGGCGGAACTCCTCCCGCACAATCAGATGGTCCGTGATGTCGCTCACCACCCACAGGTGTGCTTGTAGGTTGGGGAGGGTTCACCAAATGAAAGCAGTCAAGCAAAGCCCACCAACCAACCACTCACCGAGGAGGCTTCATAGAGCAATCGGAACTTCTCCCGCACAATCAGGTGGTCCGTGATGTCGCTCACCACCCACAGGTCGCCCCCTCCCGCCCCACAGTCCCTCACTGCCACCTCTAACCATCTGGGTTCTCCATCCCTCCGCACCATCCGTAGGGTTCTTGATTCCCTGAACCCCATTGCACGATCTGCCTCCAGGATTTGCCGCACCTGTGGGGGGTGAAGTGAAGGAGGGAGGTACATACAGGGCTCAACAGACACAGGCAGGCACACACCGATTGACACCTTCAGCCACCGTTCGCCATCCCTCTGCACCATCCTTAACGTCTGTGATTCTCTGAACCCCATCGCACGGTCTGCCTCCAGGATTTGCCACACCTGTGGGGGGTGAAGTGAAGGAGGGAGGTACATAGGGGGCGCAAGAGACACAGGCAGGCACACACCGATTGACACCTCCAGCCACCGTTCGCCATCCCTCTGCACCATCCTTAGAGTCTGTGATTCTCTGAACCCCATTGCACGGTCTGCCTCCAGGATCTGGCGCACCTGTGAGGGTGGGAGGGAGGTGGTTGAGGAGAGGGGGAAGAATATCAATCAACTTTCTTCTCCTCACTCCCTCACATTTCAGGCTTTATCCCCTTCCCACTGTTACCCTCTCACCTCGCCGAAAGAACAAGAAAAATAATCACCTCTTCCGCCCGTTCCCTGTAGAGGCACGAGAACCACGAGTCAACCGTACTCAGCTCATTCCCACCTCACACACACCTTCAATCCTTATCCCACTCTCACTGTCCCACTCCCCTCCCTCTCACCTCTTCTGCCCGTTCCCTGAAGAGGCACGAGAACCACGAGTCAACCGAACTCAGCTCCTCCCGTGAATACCCCGTAATTGCCTCCATATGAGGGTTAATAACCACCTCATCCCCGTTGCCACTTCCCCCACCGCCCCTCTCCCCCCTGCCGCCCCTACCACTACCAGCGCTGTTGCCGCTCCCCCCGCCGCTCCCTCCCCCTCCGCTTCCCCCTCTGGTGCGCTCCTCTGGAAGCATGTGCGCCATCCCTGCTGGCAGGTGCTGGAGAATGAAGGCACACCGCTTGGCCCGCACCTCCTGTTGTGCGGTGGGAAGGGGTGAGGCAGGTTGAGATGGGGTGAAGTACGGTTAAGTGCAGTGGAGCAGGGTGGAATGGGGTAAGGAGGAGTAGGGGAGCATACGCGCCACTCCCTTTCCCCCCCTCCGCTTCCCCCTCTGGTCCGCTCCTCTGGAAGCATGTGCGCCACTCCTGCTGGCAGGTGCTGGAGAATGAAGGCGCAACGTTTGGCCCGCACCTCCTGTCATGGAAGATTGAGATAGGTTGGAATACAGTTACGTGCAGTGGAGTATGGTGAGATGATGAGCATGTGTGAGATGGTGAGAGGCAGGGAAGCATGTGCGCCACCCCTGCTAGCATGCGCTGCAGAATGAAGGCACACCGCTTGGCCCGCACCTCCTGTTGTGCGGTGGGAAGGGGTGAGGTAGGTTGGGATGGGGTGAAGTACGGTTAAGTGCAGTGGAGCAGGGTGGAATGGGGTAAGGAGGAGTAGGGGAGCATACGCGCCACTCCCTTTCCCCTCCTCCGCTTCCCCCTCTGGTCCGCTCCTCTGGAAGCATGTGCGCCACCCCTGCTGGCAGGCGCTGCAGAATGAAAGCGCAACGTTTGGCCCGCACCTCCTGTCATGGAAGATTGAGATAGGTTGGAATACAGTTACGTGCGGTGGAGTATGGTGGGATGATGAGCAAGAGAGGCAGGGAAGCATGTGCGCCACCCCTGCAGGCAGGCGCAGCAGAATGAAAGCGCAACGTTTCGCTCGCACCTCCTGTTGTGCACTGGGGTGGAAAGTGGTGGGGAGGATTGGGGTGGGTTGAAATACGGTTGGTTGCGGTGGAGTAGAGTGGGATGAACAGAGCCATGAACATGAGGGGGGGTCATAGCCAACCCTCACCCCACCCCCCCCCTCTGCTGCTGGAACCCAGCACCACACCCAGCACCACACCCAGCACCACACCCAGCACCACACCCAGCACCACACCCAGCACCACACCCAGCACTGTTGGGTGCAAATATTTAATTTGCACGTCAACCTACCGCCTATTCGACGACAGTGAAATAAAAATGGGGTGTTTGGTTGAAGGTAATTTGTGACGTGGAAGATGTGCATTTCATTTTGCATTTTGTGTGTGCACATTTTTGTGTGTGTTCAGTGTGCATTTGTTTTTGCATTTTGTGTGTTTCGTTTTCATCCGTAACTGCATTTTGTGTTAGTGCATTTGCACTTGTATTTTCACTGTTCTCATGAAGTGCTCAAATGAGGCTCACATGATGCGCTCAAATGAAAGCTCTCATGAAGCTCTAATGAGGCTGAAATGAGCTTCCCATGAAAGTCCCGTTTGTTTCGAATGTTTCATTCGTGGCTCATGTGAGCGAGTGGTGTACCGTGGGGTGTTTTCTGTGAGGTTCGATAGTCTGACTAGTCAAGGGGGATGCTGTTGACTTTCGCGCTGGTCAAGCACGCGAAATCTTGACCGCGCGTGTGGTCCCGATTTCGCGTATGGGCCCTCAGGGCTCGAGCGTGTGCTTGCGCACTGTTGCGAGCGTGGCAGGGCCCACGATCGCAACAAGACAGGGCGAATGATCGCCCAGTCCACGCGCAGTACAGCGCACGTTTTTGCGCTGTACAGCACGACCAGTTTGTCTGGTCGTGCATGATTGTGCACATGAGGGGTGCGCATGTGTTTCGAGGGGTGCTACAAGATTCCGAAGGGTGCTCGGAAATTACAGTTGAAAAACTGTTTTCGGAGTTGACTCGTGGAACAAGAAATTGCGCACGAAAGTCACTCTGTATTGCGGAATGATTTCGCCACAGGTACAATTCGGTTACTCGCGTCGTCCAACGGTTGAATCCGTTTTATAACCGTAAACTCGCATGGAACTCATGTGAGTCACATTGGAGGCACATGGAAGTTATGAGTGCTCATGCGAGGAGTCAGCAGGGGAAATTGTCCTAAGTGAAATTTGAGTACAGGTTTTTACAAGAGGAGAAAGAAGACAATAGCCCAACAAGTTGAGCAACCGTTTTCGAGTACAGCATGGCGAAGATCCGAAATTCAGTTTGACAACTGCTTTGCTATTTCCCTCTGCTTGTGTGTTAGACGAAATATAAAATGCTTGCTTGTGCTTGTTTGTGACAATCCTTTCTAGTGGAAATATTTTCTGAATCTCTCTCACGAGTTAACGTGCTCTATCAACGTATTGACGTGAAGAGTTATTCTGCACACGAGCCCGTTTCGTCGTCAACGCTGCGCAACGAATGTTGGGAACGCTCTAGTACACACGACTGTTTTTGCACTTAGGGAATTCCCTCTACAAACACGGACCCTTGGATAGGGGCTGGCTCTGCCAGGCACCCAAGGACCCTTGGAGGTGACCCCGTGGGGAGTACCTAGTGTGAATTAAAGGTGTGTTTAGAGCCTATCTATCCCAAATAGCGGTCATCAAGTGGTATCAGAGCTGAGGACTAGACGTCTAGCCGTTAGAACACTATGGAATCGAGTGGAAACGAAGGTTCTGTGGCACGAGCTAATAGTGGAGTCCAAGATGACGGTGGTTCAGCGCCAAAGGGAGTGCAAACCAGCCGGGGCCCACTGTTGAAGGATGTGCTCAAGAACTTCGTTGTCGAAAAATTCAACGGCAGTGGCTACGACGATTGGGCGTGGAAAATGCAGTTGTACTTCCGACAAGTCGGGTTGTTGAAGCTGATGACGGGAGAGGAGAAGAGGCCGAGCGACCCCGCCCTAAAGGAAGAATGGGACGAACGTGCGTCAGCCGGCTACTACCTCTTATCGCAGACTTTGGAGCTTAACCAAAGGGCACACGTAATGCATCTGCTGGGGGAAGTTGATAATGGGCCACGAGCATGGGCGGTGCTAAAGGAACTGCACACCCCAACTTCGGTGGTTGCAACGCTCATGCTGGAGCGTGAGTTGGCGTCATTGCGGATTAATGAAGGGGAGCCGATTCAACCCGTTCTTGATAAGGTGCGGGAGTTGTACGCCAAGCTACAGATTGCGGGCATCACCTACCCGGAGCAAACGAAGTGTTTGAAAATGTTGTCACTGCTGCCGGAGTCATGGATGGTCTTCACAAGCGGTTTGAGCCTTCCCCAAAACCTGAACCTCTGGACCCTTGAGTGGGTTCGAACTAAGATACTGGAGGAGGAGCTTAGGAGGAGACAGCTGAGCCAAAACTATGATGGTGATGGCGGGTACGGAGTACAGGGCAGCAAGTGGCGAAAGGGAAATGGTCGTGGCCAAGGTGAACGTGGACAAGGCGGGAACAACCGATTTGGAAACGGACGTGATGAGAAAAAGCAGAGGAGCAGAAGTGACGATGATGATGAAGAAGATGATCGTGGCGACTACCGCGGTTTCAGGGGTAGCTGCTGGTATTGCAAGAAGCCGGGACACACATGGGCGAAATGCTGGAAGCGGCCCAAGTGGTGGACTCCCGGATGTGAGGGTGATGATGGAGATGAGAATGGTGTTGGTTATGTGGCAGAGACCGCAATGGAAGGGGGGAAAGGTTGTGAGCGTGCTCCAGGGCAGTTTTTTCACGTGCAAGGGAATGGGGGGAGCAAGAAAGCACCTGCCAAGAAGGGAGCAGAGACTCTTCCTCTCAACACCTGGATACTAGACTCTGGAACAGCATATCACATGACCCCAAGGGCGGACCTGCTCAATGAGATTGAGAGAACGGGCATTAGTGAAATGAATTCGGGGTGCGGACACACAATGAAAGTGATGGGGGTCGGCAAGGCAGCCTTCAAAGGAGCTGATGGGAAGCCGATCGTCCTGCAAGAAGTGCTTTTGGTGCCGGAGCTGAAAGGGAATCTCATTTCCCTGCAGCAGATGGGGATTGCAGGTGTTTGTACGGCAACAACTGGAGCCGAGACGTTCACGGGAAAGCTAGGTGAGCGAGTTTTGTGGGACCTGCATGAAGACAACGACCTGCATGACGAACTATGGCATGTGCCGGTGGTGCCGTGGAAGGATGTTTTACCTGAGAAGCAGAATGCAGTTTGTAGCTGCAAGGGGGAGTGTGCTGCAATAGCTGCTGAAACCATCAAGGAACTTAAAGGGACAGTGGAGATGCTGGTGCAGCAGTTGAAGCAGGTCAACGCTCGACTTGCAGCAGCTGAGAAGAGAGATGTGCTCGGTGCTGATGAGAAAAACGGTGTAGATGTCAAGGGGAGCAGAGTTGAGACTGCCACTGCAGACAAGGATGTCCCTAAGAGTGATACTCGTGAGCAGCAGAAACACAAGGGCATGGTGCAGCTGAAGGGTGCTGCTAAGAAGGAGAAATCGTTGGTGCTGAATGTAGGAGGTTATGAAGATGATGGGGCAAAGGTGTTTTGTGAACCCAAGGTGAAGCCGAGCTTGAAGGAAGCTGAGATTGCGGGGGAGCAGATGAGTGCATTCCCTAAAACTGGAGCTGGGATCAGCTATGCGGCGGTGCTGGTGAAAGGCGAACGCAAAGTGTTAGTTCAGAAGGGAAAGCATTTTGAGAAGGATGTGGATGTTCCTATTCCAATGACGGAAGCAGTGAAGGGAGCTGTCAAGTCAAGTGATCTCGAAGGTGGATTCGAATAGTCGTCAGGTTGAGGGGGAGTTTGTTGGGTGCAAATGTTTAATTTGCACGTCAACCTACCGCCTATTCGACGACAGTGAAATAAAAATGGGGTGTTTGGTTGAAGGTAATTTGTGACGTGGAAGATGTGCATTTCATTTTGCATTTTGTGTGTGCACATTTTTGTGTGTGTTCAGTGTGCATTTGTTTTTGCATTTTGTGTGTTTCGTTTTCATCCGTAACTGCATTTTGTGTTAGTGCATTTGCACTTGTATTTTCACTGTTCTCATGAAGTGCTCAAATGAGGCTCACATGATGCGCTCAAATGAAAGCTCTCATGAAGCTCTAATGAGGCTGAAATGAGCTTCCCATGAAAGTCCCGTTTGTTTCGAATGTTTCATTCGTGGCTCATGTGAGCGAGTGGTGTACCGTGGGGTGTTTTCTGTGAGGTTCGATAGTCTGACTAGTCAAGGGGGATGTTGTTGACTTTCGCGCTGGTCAAGCACGCGAAATCTTGACCGCGCGTGTGGTCCCGATTTCGCGTATGGGCCCTCAGGGCTCGAGCGTGTGCTTGCGCACTGTTGCGAGCGTGGCAGGGCCCACGATCGCAACAAGACAGGGCGAATGATCGCCCAGTCCACGCGCAGTACAGCGCACGTTTTTGCGCTGTACAGCACGACCAGTTTGTCTGGTCGTGCATGATTGTGCACATGAGGGGTGCGCATGTGTTTCGAGGGGTGCTACAAGATTCCGAAGGGTGCTCGGAAATTACAGTTGAAAAACTGTTTTCGGAGTTGACTCGTGGAACAAGAAATTGCGCACGAAAGTCACTCTGTATTGCGGAATGATTTCGCCACAGGTACAATTCGGTTACTCGCGTCGTCCAACGGTTGAATCCGTTTTATAACCGTAAACTCGCATGGAACTCATGTGAGTCACATTGGAGGCACATGGAAGTTATGAGTGCTCATGCGAGGAGTCAGCAGGGGAAATTGTCCTAAGTGAAATTTGAGTACAGGTTTTTACAAGAGGAGAAAGAAGACAATAGCCCAACAAGTTGAGCAACCGTTTTCGAGTACAGCATGGCGAAGATCCGAAATTCAGTTTGACAACTGCTTTGCTATTTCCCTCTGCTTGTGTGTTAGACGAAATATAAAATGCTTGCTTGTGCTTGTTTGTGACAATCCTTTCTAGTGGAAATATTTTCTGAATCTCTCTCACGAGTTAACGTGCTCTATCAACGTATTGACGTGAAGAGTTATTCTGCACACGAGCCCGTTTCGTCGTCAACGCTGCGCAACGAATGTTGGGAACGCTCTAGTACACACGACTGTTTTTGCACTTAGGGAATTCCCTCTACAAACACGGACCCTTGGATAGGGGCTGGCTCTGCCAGGCACCCAAGGACCCTTGGAGGTGACCCCGTGGGGAGTACCTAGTGTGAATTAAAGGTGTGTTTAGAGCCTATCTATCCCAAATAGCGGTCAACAAGCACCACACCCAGCAGCACACCCAGCAGCACCTCTCACCTTGGAGCCGTGCAGAGCAGCAGAGAGGTCGCAGAAGAGAGCCATGAACATGGAGGGGGGGTCATCGCCCCTTGCCCCGCCCACAGCATCTGCTGCTGGTGCCACGTGGCATGTCAAACGAATTCGCCGCATACTGCCTCCTGGGAGATTGTCAAGGGGGATGGAAGCATGTTAGGGAAATTCCTGCTGCTTGTGCCACGTGGCATGTAAGGCGAATACGCCGCATATTACCTCCTGGAGGATTGTGAAGGGGATGGATGGATGGATGGATGGATGGATGGATGGATGGATGGATGGATGGATGGATGGATGGATGGATGGATGGATGGATGGATGGATGGATGGATGGATGGATGGATGGATGGATGGATGGATGGATGGATGGATGGATGGATGGATGGATGGATGGATGGGTGGATGGATGGATGGATGGATGGATGGATGGATGGATGGATGGATGGATGGATGGATGGATGGATGGACAGATAAGAGAGGGGGGGACGGAAGCTTGATCCGCAGCAGATGGTGCCACACACACACATGGCACAGCTGGCATGGCGAGGGGCAGGCAAGGCATGGTGGGAGTGGTTGCGAAGAGGGAGGGGGACAGATCGCACAGCTCACAGCTTGGAGTAGGGTAGATCTTTGAGAATTCTCAAAAACCAACACAGCTGGCATGGCGAGGGGCAGGCAGGGCATGGTGGGTGGGAGTGCTTGCGAGGAGGGAGGGGGACAGATCGCACAGCTCACAGCTTGGAGTAGGGTAGATCTTTGAGAATTCTCAAAAACCAACACAGCTGGCATGGCGAGGGGCAGGCAGGGCATGGTGGGTGGGAGTGCTTGCGAGGAGGGAGGGGGACAGATCGCACAGCTCACAGCTTGGAGTAGGGTAGATTTTTTAGAATTCTCAAAAACCAACACAGCTGGCATGACGAGGGGCAGGCAGGGCATAATGGGAGTGGTTGCGAGGAGGGAGGGGGACAGAACAGAACGCACAGTGCAGTGCACACGGAGCGCACGCACAGCTCACAGCTTGGAGTAGGGTAGAGCACAGCACAGCGTAGGACACGCCGCACACACACACACACATGGCGCACCTGGCATGATGACGGGCAGGTCATGGTGGGACTGCCTGTGCCACGTGGCGTGAGGTGATAGGTGCTGTGCGTGTGCTGACAGAGTCGCTGCTGATATGCTGCCGAACCAGCTCTGGGGGTGGGGTTGAGGAGATGGAGGGCAGGGGAGGCGGGGGAGACGGGGGAGGCGGGGGAGGCGGGGGAGGCGGGGGAGGCGGGGGAGGCGGGGGAGGCGGGGGAGGCGGGGGAGGGAGGGAAAGGGGAAGGAGAGGGCGAGAGGGAGTTTATTCTTGGCGTGAGGTGATAGGTGCTGTGCGTGCGTGCGCTGACAGAGTTGCTGCTGCTATGCTGCCGAACCAACTCAGGGGGGGGGAAGGGAGGAAGGCACGGCTGCGGGGGAAGAGGGGCGAGAAGGGGAGGGAGGAGCGGACGGATGGCAGGAGGGATGAGGAAATTATGCAGCAGGGATCCCTCCAGTGCATTCACCGATCGCCCCAGCATGGCGGCTAGAGCAGCAAGTGCCTAAGATAGGACTGGTGACCCCCCACTACCCACCTGGAAGCTTCGAATGGCAGGGGCGTTGAGGAAGTTCTGCAGCGGGCTTCCCTCCAGTGCATTCACTGATCGCCCCAGCATGGCGGCTAGAGCAGCAAGTGCCTAAGATAGGACTGGTGACCCCCCACTACCCACCTGGAAGCTTCGAATGGCAGGGGCGTTGAGGAAGTTCTGCAGCGGGCTTCCCTCCAGTGCATTCACTGATCGCCCCAGCATGGCGGCTAGAGCAGCAAGTGCCTAAGATAGGACTGGTGACCCCCCACTACCCACCTGGAAGCTTCGAATGGCAGGGGCGTTGAGGAAGTTCTGCAGCGGGCTTCCCTCCAGTGCATTCACTGATCGCCCCAGCATGGCGGCTAGAGCAGCAAGTGCCTAAGATAGGACTGGTGACCCCCCACTACCCACCTGGAAGCTTCGAATGGCAGGGGCGTTGAGGAAGTTCTGCAGCGGGCTTCCCTCCAGTGCATTCACTGATCGCCCCAGCATGGCAGCTAGAGCAGCAAGTGCCTAAGATAGGACTGTGGACCCCCCACTACCCACCTGGAAGCTGCGAATGGCAGGGGCGCTGAGGAAGTTCTGCAGCGGGCTTCCCTCCAGTGCATTCACTGATCGCCCCAGCATGGCGGCTAGAGCAGCAAGTGCCTAAGATAGGACTGGTGACCCCCCACTACCCACCTGGAAGCTTCGAATGGCAGGGGCGTTGAGGAAGTTCTGCAGCGGGCTTCCCTCCAGTGCATTCACTGATCGCCCCAGCATGGCGGCTAGAGCAGCGCTGCAGTGAACCAGCTCGCCACTGCCCAGGCAAAGCTCTGCACAGTCCAGCCCCCCGCCCTGCTGGCCTGGAAGCTGGGAAACCCACCTGGAAGCTCCTAATGGCAGGGGCGCTGAGGAAATTCTGCAGCGGGCTTCCCTCCAGAGCATTCACTGATCGGCCCAGCATGGCGGCGAGAGCAGCGCTGCAGTGAACCAACTCGCCACTGCCCAGGCGGAGTCCTGCCAAGCCTATCCCTGCCTCGTCCAGGAGGGCCCGGACGTGCAGGTCCGGGAGCCAATGGGAGTCCGCCACGTCATCCAGCCATGAGTGGGTGAAACCGCCGCCCTCTGTCGGGGGTGGAGGAAGGGGGAAAAGGGGCGGGGGAAGGGGGAAAAGGGGTGGGGGAAGGGGGAAAAGGGGGGGGGGGAATGGGGATGTGGGGTGGGGAAAGGGGGTGTATTTGGGTGACTGGGGGAGAGAGGGGGTGTGGGGCGGGGGAGATGGGAGGGAGAGGTGGATGGGGTGTTGAGGGGCGGGATGAAGATGGGTGGATAATAAAGCAAATGTACAAGACACTACGAGAAAAAAGGTGACCATTGAGTCTTCTCTCCTCCCATCTCCTATTCAACCATCTCCACCCGTCTCTTTCTCTCATTCATACTCACCTGATTTCAATCGCATCCTTCTCCCAGCCCCCTCAGACAGCCTCCCCAGCCAGCTTCTGTGCCCTCGTAGGTCCGAGACGTATCTCATCACCATCACCACCGGTTTCTCTCCCTCCCTCTTTCTCTCTCACTTGATTTGAATCGGCCGTCTCTTTCTCTCTTTCTCTCTCACCTGATTTGAATCGCATCCTTCTCCCAGCCCTCTCAGACAGCCTTCCCAGCGTCTGCGCCCTCGTTGGCCCAAGACATATCTCATCCTCATCATCATCACCACCACCACCACCACCACCACCATCACCACCACCACCACCTACACCCCCCCTACCACGACCACCAACAGCAACAGCGTCAGCCTGATTTCTTCCCTGCTTCCTTCCTGCCTCCCTCCCCTCCTCCCCCCCCCTCCTCTCCCCCATCCCCTCCCCCTCCGCTTCATCCTCCCCAACTTCCGCCATATACCCCCTCTCCCCGCCCCACGACCCCCCTGTCTTCCCCCTCCCACTTCCGCTTGTCCCACACCACCTCCGCTCAGGGGACATAGCCACCATCCCCTTATCTTCCCCCCCGCCCCCGCCTCCGCCCCCGCTCCCCCCATTCTCCCCCCGTCGCCTGCAAATCCCCTTTCCCCAAACCGCTCCGCTCCCCCCATCCGCACCCCTTCCGCACCCCCCTCCGCCCCAGCGGGAACTCCTCCTCCTCAGAATCACTCTCACTCGCGGAACCTGCTAAGTCCCAGTTCCCCCCCCCAGAACCAATCTCTCGTGCGAAATTCGCGTCTAGGCTTCGCTGCCGTCCCAGTCCCCCCCCTCCTCCCCCTCTTCTCCCCATTCTCCCCCTGTTCCCCGTGTTCTCCCTGCTCCTCCCGCTCCCGGCGTTCCCCCCGCCGCCGCCGCGCATCCCCCTGCTCCCTCCGCCCGCGCCCTCCCCCAGCTGCCACGTCACCTTCTCTTCCCACGTCAGCTCGTTATCCTTAAACTCCTTTAATCGCGGCCTATTTCCCACCTGCTGCGGATTAATCTGCGCTGCTGCATTCACATTCGCCCTCGCATTCGCGTTCACACTCGCGCCCGCGCCCATGCCTACGTTCCCGTGAGCATGGGCATGCGCAAACGCATGAGGAGGAACGTTCGCGACGCCTTCGTGAGCCTGGGAATGCAGAGGCGGTAAGCGCCCCGAGCTTATGCTGTTTTCCCGCCGAAGCCCCGTCCTTAGACTGCCTTCCCGCCCGAGCGCGGAACCCGCACTATTATCCTCCGCTTTGCACTCCCCCCCACTGCCCGCCGCCTTGTATTCTCCCCCACTTTCGCCCGCGCCAGCATCCCAGCTTCCGTCATTTCCGCCAATCCCGCCAATCCCCCCCGCTGCGCCATCCCCGCCCCTGACGCTCCCGTCCTGCTTCTCCGAGCCGCTTCCGTGGTTTAAGGAGCCTACTAAGAGGCACCTCGCGGCGCCCGGGCCGCCGGAACCCGTCTGTGGCTGAGTGGTAAGGGAAAAGGACTTGGGGTATGGGGACGCGGGATCGTCAACGTCAACGTCAACGTCAGCGTTAACGTCAAGATCGCCGCCATTCCGCCCCTGCTGCGCCTGCCCCTGCTGCGCCTGCGCCTGCTGCGCCTGCGCCTGCTGCTGCGGGAGTTGCTGCGCCGTTGCTACAAGCTCCCGTTCCCCGTTACTCTCAAAGTACTGGAGCATAATGGAAAACCGAACGGGATTTCCGCCAGCAGCAGACGCGCCACTGCTCGTTTCGCGAGTCTCGCCGGGAGCGGATACCACCTGCTGTTCCCCCGCCAGCTGCTCCTTTCCCAACGGCCTCCCCCGCTCCTGCCTCTGCTCCCTCCCCTGCTGCTGCTGCTGTTCCCGCTGCTGCTGCTGGTGCCGCTTCCGCCCTTCCCTGTGCCTCCGCCTGCTCCTCCGCCTCGCCGCGCCGTTTTCCGCCCACTGCTCGCCCCCCATCCCGTCCCCGCCATAGTCGTCCTCGTCATCGTCGTCGTCGTCATCCGAAAATATTTGATTCTGCGCGAACCCGTCCCGCGAAAAGCTGTCCGACGTGGACGAGAACGACCGCACATCCTCCGACGTGCTCGTGCGCAGCGCCGCGGGCGGAGCACCCGCAGAAACTCCCCCCCTTGCTCCCCCGGCTCCGCTTCCGCCTCGCCCTGCGAAGCCAGCTCCCGTTCCCCAAGTCTTCCGCCGAACCAGCGACAACCCCGCTGCTTCCGAACCTCCTCCGCTGCTTCGGCTACTGGACCGGCCAATGCCGTCCCCCCCAACGAAACCCTCATTTTCGTTTCCCCCCGCGTTTTCCCCCGCGGTTTCCCCTGCGCTTCCGCCCGTCCCGCCTACTCCGCTTCCAAGCTTCAGAGCCGCGTCAAGCTTCGCGCCGCGCTGCTCCCCGGTCGCGATGGGAGCAACCAGCTGCAGCCATTCCGGTAACGGCAAGCCGTCAACTAAACCGCATAGCGTCAGCGCTTCTAGCTCCTCGGGGGTGTAACCTAACGCGTCGCACGCGCCCTCGCTCGCGGCGCATATACGAGCCGTCCACGGGTCAAGCACGAACTGAACGAACTGCGCTTGCTGAACAAACCCTAAGACCGTAAGGCCTTGTCCAGGCTTTCCGGCCTTTCCGCCGCCATTCCCGCCGCCATTTCCGCCGGGATTTCCGCTCCCGACGGGTCCTCCTAGTGTTTTTGGGGTATAACTCCCAGGAGAGTTTTTCCTATGGATGGGAGGAGGAGCCTGATAGGTCACAGTTAACGGCATGGCCTAAGGGCGTACCCCAATAGTACGTCTCTTGTTCTTCTATACAGTCTATTTCGGTGCGTCGCGGTACAAAGTGGTGAAGCTCGATAACCGCTTCCCACCGTGTGGAACCTTCCTGAGCCACGAAGAAAGAACTGTAGACGTACTGCTGGGACACGGCCTAAGGAAGCTGACTAGCGTGCGAACGCGTCAGGGCGTAAGACAACTTGTTACAAACAAACCTTGCTAGTGGTGCTTACTAGAGACCAGGTGGCATTTTGCTGCCTAGTTAGTGGCTAATACACGTTGCATCTATCGCCGTGCACTGTAATGCGTAGTCTACGGAAAAGCTGTCCGTTACTCCAGCCAATGACTACGTGCAAATGGCCGCAGCATCCGCCACCGAGGTCTTTGCACAATCAGGGATACTGCATACAACAGCTCATAAAAAAATCAATGCTTGGTGAGCAAAAAACGGTTCAAAGCGGTGAAACATCTTGACCGCTCCAGATTGCACGGCATCGCTCTTAACCGAAAAGGAAGGGTGCTCGAATGACGCCTCTCCCAGGGGTTGCCACTACTGTAGTTACAGTGGTCCAGGTGTTGCGCGCAGTCTTCGCCCCAATTCTTGGGACTTGTTGCAGGAACGAACTTTCCCTCGATCCTACCGAGCGAGAAGACCGTAGGGTGTACTGTAGGGTGAATTTTTACTGTGGAAGTGGCTGGAAGTTGGGGGAGCGAAGCCGTATAAGAGTTGGAACTGAGGGTGCTGGTGGTGACATTTTCCGAACTCGCAAGCGGAAGGGTCTAAAAGAGACCCGTTTTACAGCCCTAACATCCCGATAAATGAACAGGAAGCACATCGTCAGTGTCTTCAGAATCACTTTGAGAGCTAATAAAGCTCCTCATTTCTAATATCCCTCGATTCGGGAGCTTCAAACTTTGGTTAACCCGAAAACATTCTTGGGTTCAGATTGGTCAGTGATTGCTATGACTGCTACGATGCGGGTGCTAATTCTGCCTGGTTCCATCCACGCTCATCCAAACGTAGGTTGTCGATGTGGCATCCGCCACACAGAATCCCTTTTCGCATACTGAAAGTGCTGTCATCCTCCAATGAGGTCAGGTTTTGGAATCGGTTCAGAAGGTGGAAGTGGCGGAATATCTGAGATGGCGTCACTTTCCTATGGAATGCACCAGCTTTCGTGTACTTTAAGGGCGCATCCCTATATCGTGTCAGACCAAGGGTCTAAGCTTCAAAGCATCAAAAGACACCAAGTGACGAGGGAGCCAGCCACAGCCTAATTAACACTGCCACAGCACGGAAACTGAAACTGCCACTCGACAGAAGTTACCTGAGATTCATGCAAGACTAGTCGACGGCACACCACTGGCGATACGGGAACGAATGGACCGAGTTCGGATTCGATGCGGGGGTAACTCCACGTTTAGCCAGGCAATGCTCGCAACGAGCCTCGACGGGACCGACATTTTACTCGGTCGTGATTGGCTGCGACGACAAAATCCGCGAATCGACAGGACGACGGGGAACTGGACCGTGCGAGTGAACGGTAACAACATCGCTTTACCTCGCTGGAGCTCGCCTGAGTCTTCGTCGGTGCGTGTCAACGCGATCACAATAATACGTGCCGTAGCGGCAGGAGCTGACGTGTACGCGGTTGACATTCGGGAAGTCGAGGTAGCAGATAAAAGGAGTGATTTATAGAAACTGCTCGCCGACGTAGCGGATGACCTGGCAGCGCTACTGAATCAGTACGGTGGGATTTTCCCCGGACGACTTGCCAACAGGACTGCGACCTCAGCGACCGCAGAACCACACGATAGAACTAGAACCGGGGGCACAGCCGACAGTACAGCGACAGTTCCGACTGACCCAACCCGAACTAGACGAACTACAGAAGCAGCTAGATTACCTGCTTGAAAAAGCGTTCATTCGCGCAAGTTCGTCACCCTTCGCCGCATCGATACTGTTCACGCCGAAGAAAGACGGGGGATTTCGCATGTGCATAGATTACAGTGCACTAAACCGCGTTACTATCAAGTCCCGTTAACCCATTCCGCGAGCCGACGAACTGATCGACCAATTGCGCACATCCCGAGTTTTCTCGAAAATTGACCTTCGAGGAGGTTACCACCAGATCCGCGTAAATCCGCCCGACTGTCTGAAAACCGCCTTCCGAACCCGCTACGGATCTTTCGAATACACCGTCATGGCATTCGGGCTGACCAACGCCCCCGCCACTTTTCATATGACCATGAACGAAGCTTTCCGCCCGCTTTTAAGTAAGTGTGTCATCGTATACTTAGACGATATACTGATTTACAGCCCAGACCGAACACAGCACATACAGGACATCGAAGCAGTTTTCAAAATACTGAGTGAGAACCAATTACTGACAAAAGCATCCAAGTGTGAGTTCCTACACGA